GTCTTAAGTGTCTTATTGTAATGCATATACTAACCTGTTTAGGGTGCCTTTATAGGAGAGAGCCGATCAAACAACTCAAGTTGTTTTAGCTCGTTATTTTTACGCATTGCACTATCGTGAGGACAATTACTTCATACTCCCCGCGGAATTACGCTACGATTAGGAGAACAATGCCAACACGTCGTGAGTTCAAACGCTTTACGTATTCATCGTGAATTATGCAATTTTTTAGTTTAAACCCTTTTGTAAATTCATACCTCTTTTAAATTTTGTTTTTGTGCCCTCTGAATGATATAATCTAACATTTATAGCAAAGCATGATGGCAAATGCCTAATAGACTTTCTTAAGACGAAGGTTAGAGCGTTTGTTGTCTTAACTTTTTAAAATGCTTTATACGGCTGATAACATGATGCGAACCAATCGCAAAATGAGGCGTCCGCGTTCTCCCTTAGAGGAGTATAAAACATTATGTGCGGCTAAATGTTTGTTGGGTCCTTATTGCCTCTTTGCACGACCATGAACACCTGTTTACCCTACGAGTTCCTTACATCACATTACGAACGAGGCCCATCTGGTGGCATCACCCACTGCTTATTCCCACCTCTCAGAGCAATTATATTAACATCGAAATAACAACTGTGATGTGTGAACAACCCCTCCACAGGAGAACAGCGGGTCTGCCCATGACCAGAACCGCGAACCCAGATCTCAGCTGTAACACCCACGACGGCTCTGCGATTCGGTTCAGGGAAATTGAGACAGGTATCGAACTTGACAACGTGTGGACTTCCAGACGGGTTTTGAACACCGGAATCACGGTAACGTAATAGTATATTATAATAATAATTAACAACTAGGCCCCGCTTGTACTTGAGAAGGCTACCTGAAGCGTGCAAAGGTAAGGAAGGCCATCACATTATGCAACGCTAGGGAGATATCACCGCCGAAGATGCCAAAATTCAGAATTTGACTTGACTCAATTTCCCTATTTCTCCATTTCAGTTTTGGACAAATCGCAGCGTTGGCAAAATAGAGGATAAACCTCAAACGTTTGAACTGGAAGACTTTGCTTGTAGCTCCTCGTCTATGCGTTCCTTCGCCCGAAAGACCTAAACACAAATTATACAACAACGCCCATTGACAACGGTAAAACAGGTTCCATAATCGAATGCAAAATACACAAGTCTAACCAGTGCCCGCAGATACTCTTACGCTCTTGTCAGCAGCAAAAATTGTAACCAAAATAATTAAAATTTTGGGACATTAACGAGTTCACCTCATGCGCCAAAAAACGAAGACGAGAAATACGTAACAAAATACGGATGCCGAAAAAAGTCACAAAGATGCCTAAATAAACGACTTGCAAAGGAGTATAAAACTCGCATGGAATAAACTTTCTGTTGGATGTTAAATGAATGTTTTATTATACCTTGGACTGTAAGTATAGAGAACCACCGTTCTTCTTGTCATTTATATTGAAAAGATAATCGTACTTCCTAGAAACTTCGTCGGCATTATGGATGTCCGAAACGTTAAGAATTTGCTTGGCCTCCTCCAAAGAGATTCCCGACAAACTAGAAACAAAATCGGATTCGCTGGAAGACTTATTTGTATCAGCACGGATCCTTGCCGCATTCTTACTGGCAGCATACTCTTCTTGGAGGGCTTTAGCGAAAGCACGACCAAGAATACGTGATATAGAGAGAAGCATCTGAGCCAAATACTTCGCCTAAAATGCGAAGGAAAGGTAGTAGACAAGGCGAAAAAAATCCACAACTAAAATATAAAACGACACCATTCGTTTCATGACAATTTATACGTTAACAAACCATAATTAGAGCACCATACTAAGTCATAAAAATGGCGGAATAGGCGAGTCGCATCATCATTACCATAATTCTAACGCGAAGGTAACTGTGTCAAACAAGCCGCGACATTAAACTACGAATAGGAGAACAATACTAAACGCGTAAATTCAAACAATTCGCATAGAGTGGCTAAATAACACGTAGTCGCAGTAAATAATACAACAGCATATTGCATTGGGAAACCATAGTATATTATACTAAGTTTTAGAAGTTCAAAATATTTTGTTTTGAGTTTCATAAAAAGTAGGATAGCAAATGACTGTAAGCATTCCTAAAGCCGAAAATTAGGATAGTGGCAGTTGTTGTTGTAGTCTTTAAAAATTTCCAGATCTACAATAACATAAACGAACCGACTGCAAAATGAGGCGTCCGGAGTTATCCCACAGGGACGGAGAAGGCATTAATTGGATCCGAATACATGTACTCTAGGAATAGCAAAACAACTAAGCCATAACCTGGACCGACGGTCAACCCACGTGTACAGGAGCCGCACGAATCCTAAAGTAACCGCCAGACATTAGGTGATAACACCAACTAAGTACTACACCACCCCTGCCTTCCCTTAAGCGACGTCCTCAACGCTCCCCTCGGTACACCTCCTGCGCCAGCCATTACAACACATTTAATACGGCAACAAAGCACCCTCACGATAGCTACGCCAATCAACAGCTACAATGAGACTAAGGGGCGACACTTGGTCTCTCCAGCAGCTTCAACTGGATAGGGCGAATAGGGACTGCATGCATCTGTCAACAATTAATTGCTTTCCGGACCAGATGGTGGAAGTCTGGTCGAAAACAGGTGTGTTACGGGGAAAGCAGGATTAGACACAGAACCGCAGTGTCATTTCCAACACCCATACACGGATGTATTAGGGGGAATACCGACACGAATTTAAGTGTTACACGAGCTGCTGCTCATGTGTTTGCTTCAGGTCTAGTGTCTTCGTTAAGCATCATGGAAGCCTTACAACACTGAATGCCCGCTATAGATGTATTCAAAGACCCATGCGTACTGCATCTTCTACACCCTCTATTCTTTTTATCCTATATAGTTTTTCCTAATATCGATTTTGTTCTACATTAAGTTAATGGCGCTATGGTTATTGTATACTGATTGCTTTGTAATGATTTATTTAGTGTGTACCTATTATTTGTTTGCTCTATTCTCTAAATCCTCAGTGGATGTTGCCCAAACAATTTTTGTCTGCTGGCCTTGTTTTATAGCCACTAAAAGTTGTCTGTCTCTGGTAATATTAGTGTATTAGTCATCTTACTAATGAAACTAAATTATTTTAGTTGTACAGAAATAAATCTTTCGACTGGTTTGATCACGCTTTAAGTTCGTCATATTTGTTGGCCTTAAAGGCTTTGCCAATCAAGCATCAGATATTTGTTGCGGATTTGAATTGTAGGATTTGCCCCTCAATATGCTAAAACGTTTCCTGTGTTTTTCAACGCCTGATGTTCCAGTATGGAGACATGGTAGGAGGTTTTTCTCAACATGCAAATCTAGCCGTACTGAAGTAAGTTGTTTAGAACGTTATATTTTGTGTAGTCACTTCGGGAGGTGCTTGAAAAAGCCATCGTGAAGCACCGGGAGGTTGTAGCCTCTTTTCGCAATCAACATGGCTGTAAGAAAGTCGGTGAAATCACTGTTGATATGGTAGACATATGTTGGCATAAATTGCATTGCTAGATGTATGGTGGTATGCGAGGTGTCAAGGGACTAGTAACGGAAACCTCTGTTCTCGATCCAGAAGAGGGTATACGATTCCGTGGTTACACGATTAGCGACTGCCGAGAACTGCTTCCAAAAGCACCAGAAGGTAAAGAGCCGCTTCCTGAGGGCGTCCTCTTCTTGCTGCTCACGGGTCAAATTCCGTCCAAGGAACAGGTCGATTCCGTTTCCCAAGATTTAGTCGCCAGAGCTTCGTTACCAAGCTACGTTTTAAAAATAATGAAAAGCTTTCCCGCCACCCTGCATCCTATGAGTCAACTCGTGGCCGTAATAGCTTCTCTTAATTCTGAGTCGAAATTTGTGGCTGGTTACAACAAGGGTATCAGCAAAAACGCTTACTGGGAGGTAACATGGACAAACTAGTTATTTTAAAGTACACATTACTTAAAGTATACCTATGAGGACTCCATGGACCTGATAGCCAAGCTTCCTATAGTGGCGGCGACCATTTACAACAATACCTTCCATGGTGGGAAAAAAGTGAGAAACGTGGATCCAAATGCAGACTGGTCAAAGAATTTTGCATACATGATGGGCTTCGAAGATCCTCTTTTTATCGAGCTTCTTCGTCTATATTTGGCCATTCATTGTGATCATGAGGTTTGTGGTGTCTAAAGGTCGCTTTTTTCTGTAATAATGCAAGTTCTTTGACATTTCTTTATTTTTAGGGTGGGAATGTTAGCGCTCACACCTGTCATTTAGTTGGAAGTGCTCTCTCTGATCCTTATCTTAGTTTTGCTGCGTCAATGTGCGGTCTGGCTGGTCCGCTTCACGGATTAGCGAATCAGGAAGTTCTTGCATGGATTATGGACCTTGTTAAGAGCAAGGGCATATCACCGTCAGATGAGCAGGTGCTCCAGTTTGTCAAGGAAACGCTGGAAAGTGGAAGGGTATGCGAATGTACAATTCCTCATTATTAAATTTTCTATTAGTTATCTTCACTTACTGTTACTCTTTGCCGTTATAGGTTGTACCCGGTTTTGGCCACGCAGTCCTCCGTAAAACTGATCCACGGTACATGTGTCAACGAGATTTTGCTCTGAGTCACATGCCTGACGATCCCTTCATCAAAATTGTTTCGCAATGCTTCAAACTTATACCACCTTATCTTGACAGTCTTGGCAAAGTTAAAAATCCATGGCCTAACGTTGATGCCCATTCTGGTGTGCTTCTCCAGGTACATTATATTTTAATTACATTGGTATAGCTGTGATACTTACACACAAACATTGTACTCAGTAGACATTTTGAGCTTAAAAGCTGTAGCAACGATGGCTTTTGGAAATTTCTGTTGATATTTTTTTCAAAGCACTTTGGAATGAAGGAGATGAATTTCTATACGGTTCTCTTTGGAGTGTCGCGAGCTCTCGGTGTGTGCTCGTCGCTCGTTTGGGATCGGGCTCTGGGTCTGCCAATCGAGCGGCCCAAGTCCATGAGCACCGATAGTCTGCGCACCCTCTTTGAAACTATGTGACTGCTTATTTGGTGCTTTTGCTGACCATCCTCAACTCTTACTGTCTCCGCTTATTCGATCTCGTGATACTTTAGACATAACTGCCTTCTTTGGGACCGCTTTATGTCAATTTGTTGTTGTTTCACTGCTTCCTTTCAATCATTAAGTCGAGCATATTTTTGTGGATTTATTTTATGGTAACTTCTTCTCTGTCCAAATACAGCATTTGTGTCGTAACAAGACTTGTGGGAGCTTGTGGTATATGCTTATGCTACCAAAATTTATGATCTCTTTCATCGTCACCGGAGCATATAATGTCAATTTCCTTCTTTTCTCAAAGTTCTGTTACGCATCACGCCCATTGATTATCCCTCACGATGACTACTAAAATACGCCACTTCGCTAATGGGACAGTCTGGAGATCTCAAACGTGTTACTGGCACGATATTTTGCCCAATCATCTTTTCCTTGCTCATACTCCGACTTCTGTTGGGGCGCTAAAGTTAGCTGGCATGGAATTTCATGTTTAGTGCAGTTTTCACTGTAAGATTCCATGGTTATGAGTCATGCGCCTAGAATCTGTAATCAGATCGAAAATCTACGATCTGTTTTAGCCTTCAAATGCTAACGTATTGAAGTAGTTTACCTCCCGACAATTCGATTCACTTATTCGCATTCAACCATTTGTCACTGCACTTCCTCTCCTAAAGCCCTGGGTGTATGACCGATTAGATGGCGCTCATGTGGGGCAAATAGGCAAGGCTGTCTTGTGGGATACTTCAATTCATTTACGACTTTTTTTCCTTAAAATTACCGGTCTGTAGTGGGTTCTAAAAGGGACTGACTCTTTAGCCTGGATAGTGATAGTCGCGCTTATACGCAACAAAGCCAAACTACCTATAACTATACGTAAGTTCACGCATCGGGAAGTCTACCGAGAACTGACTTTTAACAAGGTGTTCCTTTTTATGAATAAATTTCTTAATACTTTGCTCTTCACTCATAACAAAGCACTGTTGCTGTTTCTGGAAAAGTAGAATGTTGCAGTCATTGTCCTCGACCATTTTGTTACGCTTTTATATGTACCAAATAACTTCATGAGCACATTCGGGTCTCAATGCTTTAGTTTGTGCTTAGGAATAATGGTCTGCTGGTTTCCTTCCCATCGCTTTGGAATGCTAGACCTCATGTTTTTAGCTGGATCTCGTCCTGAAAAGAATTAATTGATAAACGTCATTCTAATGTGTTCACAGTTTTGTGAATACAAAAAGTGAGGTTTGGTCCAAGTTGTAAAAAAGGGATTGAAAATAGGAAAAACTGGGAAGATGGTAATGCTACCACACGAGGACGCTTAGCAAATCGACGTGTCATTTTGCTCCTTACATAGATTAGTTTGTGCTTACATCCTCCTGATCCTACCACTGCAAGATTCAGTCCTAAATTGAGGGGACTTAGTTGTTGATATTGCTGGATTAGCGTAGCTGATTAGCTTAATTACGCAGTTTACAAAGAGCACACGGTCTTTTCTGTTGCTCCAAGGCATGCTCACCCATGGACTCCCAGAAAGCCTTCACATAAACGTGTGCTCCACCTCACAATATTTGTCCCATCAGCTTGAATGCATCTTTAATGCAGTCATTATTGCACCCTGACGGAGACCTATTGAATGTTCTGTTAACAATTCGTGATCACTGTTGTGTCTTAAGAGCTCTTCAAACACTCACTCACTCACTCACTCGTTATGGTACTAACTATCAACCTTTTCTATTCGAGTCCCAGTGATAGTCTCCTCTAGGCCCAATAGCTGTCTTCAGATTTGTTTTTACCGGAAGTAGTTGCAGATTTGTAACTAGCTATTTGATCAGTCATTCATTTTATGGCGTTCGTGCTGCTAGCACAACATTTTAATGCCCAAATTTCTGCTCCGTTCGTAGGTCAAGACGTGAGCTATGCCAAAGCAAAACTGGCTCGTCATCTAACCTTATGCTTTCGCAACTCTTGAGGCGATCAGGAGAGTGCGTAACATGCCTCGAAGATGCAGACATACTTAAATTGAAATTGGTTGAAACTAATGTGAAGTCGCCCCCCAGGCATATGTAGATTCACCACTTAATATTCTTTAAACAAGGTTCTGGCGCAGCCCATTTGAATAAGAGGAATTTAGTTCGCGATAGTCTTGTGGCCACGAGACTAAAATGTTGTAGTCGAATTAAGAGGTTCAAAAAATTCAGATAAATAGATCATTGTTCTTAACAGTCGTGGCACAACTCAGGTCTCTTGAGGCTTGGGTTAAATAAAGACCTCAACTGCTCCAAGTTCTGCATCACAGATGAGTTCTGAACTCTTTCCAATTCGCCATGTACTTTAAGCACTTCATAAAATCATCTCAAATTTTAATAACACTAAAAGACGGTTTAGACGTGAGTCATACCTAGGACGCAGTTCACCTTTTGGGTCAATTGGTTCCTTTACGAACAAAACAGCTCTTATTGAGGTTGATAAAATTCACGCGTCAGGGACAAAACTCAGAGCTACACGAATGGGTCCGTCAATTGCATCAAAGCATAAGTGGTGCCGATTGTCATCTGAAGTCCCTTGGGCGACCGTTTCATAGCTTTGGAAACGCTATCGTTTTCAAACAGTGCTCAAAACGATTTTGATTTGCTTGGTTGGGACATGATGACGGTACAGAAGTCCTCATCAAACCAGTTCTACAAGAAGAGTGGGGAAGATGTTAATAGGCTTGAAAGCATTTTAGCTAAAGAGAAATTGATCAAAAGAGTTGAACTTAGGGGAGGATTTCCGAAAATTCCCCTAAATGCTTGCAGGTAAAACTGAAATGACTTTTATCTGTTAAGAGCATGAAAGGAAGTTAGGTGAGCGTGTCCATCGGCCTCTCCTGGAAGTCGTTTTCTTAATTCATTAGTGTGGTCTGCTGAAATGCCTAAAAACACATCAAAAATGAACTAGCATAGGAAGATTAGAAACTTGAGTACATGTTTGTTAAAAGTCATTTTTTAAGTGAGAAGAGGCCAGGCCACGTCAACAAGGTGGCTGAACTTAACGCCAGGGCAAGGTTTGAGCCCAAATACTCTCTAAACCACGAGAACTCGTAAACCACTTCCCGGATCACCAGAGAAATAAGGGCTCTATTAATGTTTTACTTCACTCCGCAAAGTCTCGTTTCTCTGCCTCGGCACAAAACCCGCTTGCTGCTACCAATCGTTCCACATTACGTTTAATTAGAACGATGATCGGAGGCAATGCCTACACAATCCATTAGCATTCCCAACCGAGCAAGTAAAGGGCATAACCGCTGACTCCGTTCAACGTTTGCAGATTACTTCAACCGTTGATTGCAATGCGCGGAATGAAACATGAAAAGCAGCTTAAGCAGGTATGCACTCGTCTTAAGATATGCTTGAGTACGAGGCAGGACAATGAATCCAGCCCCACAGGTGAGTACACTTGTTATCGGTTGGCTTCCTCCAGCACTGAGACTGATGATCCTAAGGGAAACTTTCCTGTCTCGCTGTGTAGAGTGCATAAAGTTCGAATTGTGCGGTTAGTCTAAAAACTCGCATTGCTGAAACTTGGAATATATGCCTTCGATTGCATCACCCCCTCCACTTCCAAACCCTATTGAACCGCTTGAAAATAGGTACTATTATTGACGAACGTCTTCATTAGTACGTTTGGACTTTGATCGTAAAGTTAGGATCGCCTTTTGATGCACAAGACTTGTCGTCATCTGATGATTTACGGCTAACCCGGAGGATTGGGTCTCATTAAAGTGCTTATTGTCGATTAACCCTTTGGATTAACTCTGTGATGAATTAGCCCTTACAGAACGTTTTTACGCTGGGCTGAGGATAAGCTTTACGGTGTAAAAAAAATCCGCCACTTATTCTACGTCTAAATGCTGCTGTATAACCCAGCTTAGGCAGGAGCTAATTCTTTGGCAAATCTCACAGCAGAGGACATCTGATTAGCATTTACAATTCAATGAAAATAACCCTGTATTAAGTACCATCAAGCATGTTGGTCAAACGCTTGCATGTGTAAAATGAGAACTGCATCCCTTTTCAAAATCGGCTCTGTAATAGTTTATTCGTGCAAATGAAACGTGTTTGAGAAAAGCGTTTGGAACAATCAGCTAGTATGGTTATAGTGACTTAAACCGCTTTACTAAGTCTATGCACCAGCTAAGTCTTGGTAGGTTGCGTTTCTAGTTAGAGTTGAGATCTGTAGGCCTCTACATACTTGCGAATGTTTTTGATTCCTTGTGCTCTTACAGAGTGGTTGAAAACTGTGGGCACTAATGGAAAGCTCTACAGTCAAGGTAGAAGGTATGTTGAGGGTGAACATCTCCCCACGGTGCTATGTCTATAGGAATCTTCAGTCACTCTTAGATCAAAGCCGACTCAATTTCTTATTTTATAAATGGTTGCAATGTTTAACTACTCTAAAAACTAATGCGCGTACATCCGGAATGCCAACAATGGATTCTAAGTTTGCCTCCCTCCTCCTCCTCCTCCTCCTCCTCCTCCTGCATCGATAAAAAACTGTGTTCGTCGTAGCAACATCGCTTTACATGAGACTTTCGTGAGCGGGATGGCAAACTATATCGTCGGTTTAAAGTACCTCTATGGCATTTGTAGTGATCAAGTTCTCAGTGCTTTACACTAAAAACAGCACACACGACCATTGCCATTGCTAATGCAAATATAGTAGTCACTCTGGTCGGACTTTCTTCGCTCTAGGGAGTTTGCTTGCATAACTTCAAGAAATAGCTGACTATTAGACTACAGGTAACAAATAATTAACGTGTGAGAAGTTTCGGTAGTGAAGTCTAGGATTTTAGTGAATTCCATGCGGCATTTTCTCAGTCATACAAGTGTGTAACGACCTAAGCTTCCAATACGACCCCAACCAAGGGAAGTGGGAGGGCACACGCGTTTCTCTTCGGTTAAAGGGGACCGGAACTGGAAATTATCATGTCGCTTCCGCTGAGATTTGGTCGGCCATGCTATGATGGTTATCGTCCGCGCGATTATGGGAGGACGCTGAGCTCTTTAGACACGTTGTTGGTGTGAAATATTTCGATGCATCACAATAACGCAAGTCTATATGTCCCATTTTCGACATCCTTCCACAATAAGTGTCCAAGAAACTACCTTGCAATATAACAATAAATACTTAGCAAACAACCAAGAGCATAGCTCTACCTTCATCTTAGTAGACGTGCTGACTTTCTGAGCTGATGGTCTGTGGGAAAGTTTGACATCTTTCGAAGCGGGTTACGTTCCACTGCGTAGTCGGCAAACGAAGTCAAACAACTGGTCTTCCTTCTAATGGTTTCAACTTCCCAAAACTCCATGACCTGCCACTTACATCAACTGCATACTCACCAAGTGACTGAAGAACGAAAATGTGAGTTCTATTTGCCTGACAGGATGCTATACCGCTGAATCCTACTTATTCTCCTAAGCATACACCGTCTGGATAATTAAAGATAACTTTTGTGGACCATGCTTATCCACTTTAACAAGCAGACCCGTAATTCATGCATGCTCATGCATGCACATGAACTTTACGAACGCCGTAAAGGTCAACTCATGTGCACACTGTTCCACATTCTTGAGTAGGCAAAACCCTTTGAATAATTTGTAAACCCACGAGTTTGTGTGTCACCAACATTGCCACCAATCCTTGTCGTTCCAAGGCATGCAGAATTCAAAGTTGCAACGAGCACTTATCATAGCGTTTCTTTTCAAACCGGAATTTGTACGTACTGACACATTTTGGCATCACATCACATAACCCAGCTCCTAAATGAGATAAGTAGGGCAAAGCGAAGTGAGAGCCCAAAATCGCTACCATTCGGAAAAAACAATAAGGACGCCGAAGATTGGATACCAATTACAAAGCTATGGAAAGCTATAGCACAATTTAAGGACCCCAGCTGAGACCAATATAGTAACGATCCCGCATTGAAATACTCCACAATAGTATCTGGTGCTACCAATAACCAACTCATAAGACCGAGCCAACCTTCTAAAAATTCCCTTTTATACCCTGACACAGCAAAAGCACACTTAGTGAACTGGAATACACGAAGCCAATGCCAATGAGAACCAATCACCTGGAAAGTGCAATTTGGCCTCGTAACAAATCCCGCTTAAGCAGTAGTAGCAACGACATGGGGAAGCCCTGTACCCGGAAAGGAAATAAGAATACTCATACGATTTGTAGGTCAAACCTGTTTATATATTGGAAAGTCAACAGCTATTTTGGATCTGGTGGACCGAGGATGGAGTCGCAGTGATGGACAGTCAGAGTGGGAGGGAAGAGGCGTTAAGGAACTCTGGTTCTAGTAAATAGAACAGCCAGAGCGTACCACCTCAATTCTGGCAGCCGCCACGATTCTGAAAGAGACAGAGACAGGTAGTCCCTGAGATTGACAAATCCAAAAACAAAACCGAGTCATTGCTGAGTTTTTAGAGCAAGATTTAGCCGAGTCAATGCTTTGATAGTGGGAAAGGAACCTGTCTTTTATAAGTGGATGGACGTAAACGGGCAACACTTCTTTAAGAACCGAGTGCATACACGCGTGGAAAGGCAATGCCAATGCAAAAAAATTCCGGCACGGATAGTCGACGAGGACGACCATCGAAAAAACGTGCTCAGTAGCAAAGACATAGTGCAGTACTCTTTTGACTCTAAGCATAATTGTTTTTAGACTTTCCACAACTCACCCTGTAGATTAAAGTTGCTGGGAAGGGCTACAGTGATCTACACGTGATATGAAAATTAAACTATTATAAAGTCAAAGTGGATGCCGATGCCCAGATTGAAGAATCGTCTATTTATTTTAGAACACCAAACGAGATTAACATGAAGCCACTAAAGGAAATAGTATGAGTTTAATTGATCCTAAAACTATTTCTACTATTTTTTATAAGTAGAAGACCTGAAGCAGGTATCCCATCGGAACAACAGTACAACATACACGAGAATGAAAGCAATGCGTGGGGTTATTTGGTTTGACGACTGTTAACCTTAATAAACCTCCACCGGACTGCTTTAATCACCGAGCCACCAGTCTCTACATGCCACATCTGACTTGGCATTTGATCTGAACCGCGCGGCGAAGAAATGAAGGGGTGAAATAAATTCGACAACCATTTAAGTAATCTGCTTTGATATTAAGGCACTTCTGATACCCTGACGAAAAAAATCATGAAAAACCATACAACAAGATGACGGTAAAAGGATAGAACAAAGCCTATAGGTTAAGAAAAAATGCTAATACTTCTAATGAAAAGCCAAAACAGCACATCGCCAAAAGCTGAGTGTCGAAGGAAAAGCGAACATTGAAAATGATGGAAAAAAAAGCACACGATCAACAAATAAAACCGGATTGGGTAATGAATTCTTCGTGATCCCCAGAATTGCATGCCTAAAAAACTATTGCTTTGATAACAATAACAACGATTCCAAAGCGAATGATTTTCAAAACCTCAACAACGCCGTAACAGGAAACTGTTTATGAGCATCAGTGTCAGAAAAGATTGATGCAGATGTGGACAGGAAAATAGAAAGTGAAGCAAGTGCATTACTACGATTTTCGTTCATTGTGGGCACCAAAAAGAGCCGACCAAACATGAGGCTTTAAACTGCTTCAAAGAGCAAATGAAACTAAACAAATGGATGGATAAAAGAAACGAAACGTACACCTAGGGTTGTAGCAGTAGCCGATGTGGAGGGAGCAGTATAGCATTTGAAATCATCGGTGCCACCACCACTAGGACTACCCATCGACGTCGAAGGCTGTGCAGACTGAGAATGCTGACCCCCATCAATTTGCATAGCCTGCCTCAATAAGTGAGTCAAAAACTCCAAGTCTGCTGCTCCATTGAAGGCAGTCCAGTGCTGTGGCTGTTGTTGATTCTGATGGGCCAGCGCCGCAGCCGCAGCTATTTGGGCGAAAGGACTGTATACAGAGTCAAAGAAATTCCTACTCTGGGAGGTAGCCGCAATGAGGGAAGCTATATCTTCCGGAGCAGCCGCAGGCGAATTCTCAAAACCGGGTGGTGGTGTGAACATTAGAGGTAAGGAGGGAGGAAAAGTCTGAGTGGCAAGAGATACCTGCGGCTGAGGAGGCTGCTCGGACGCCATCAACTCCGCCAGTCCAACTTGTGATTCGCGGATTGGATCAAAGTCTATGTCGGGAAAGGCGTTCATGTTGGTGCTACTGCCGCAACTGCCACAGTCGAGGCCTTGATGATTCGGATCTACGTGGCGTTGGGAGTAAAAGAGGCCTTTGGAACTCTCATAAGAGGATATACAAGAAGAGGAGGAGTAAGAAGGTACAACGTGATCGTTTGCAGACTGAGGCTCTCCACTCCGAACGATAGCAATTGGATCCCTTTCTGACGACCGAAGAGCATCGGTGACAGTGACAGAGGTAGCTCTAGAATCTGATGCAACGACAGTTGACTCCTGATTCTGTACGGTGTTGCCGCTACTGGTATCGCAGATACCCACTTCAGGATTAGTTCCGCAGCCAGTGGTGGCCGTTGCCGCTTGATTAGCGACAAACTCATCTAGGAGTGCTTTCATATATTCTGTGTGTTTCCCGGCGTGCATCTGCTCCTTCGTAAAACTAGCTTTCGGGTCGCCCAAGCCATGAAGGTACATACACTCCTGTGGAACGAATGAATAAATAAATGATTGTTCCTTAATTAAATCTGAGCTACAATTGACGAAAATCGCATAAGATCCATTTGAAATAGTTAAGGTCGTAAAGGCCAAAACTTGAGTAAAATACTAACCATTATGAAAATACATGATAATGGCTTCACCAACACTATTAACTATGTGTAGACGGTCACAAAAGGAAAACAGTCACCAGTCAATCATAGGACCGGTAATCGAGCAGTACTACTAGAATAGTTAAGAGAATCGTACGGAAACACACTTTCTTGAAACATGCAATTATAAAAAAAGGGCGATGGCAACATGAAAGCAAATCAAGGCAAAAAATAATGCCATTTCAACGGAAACGTATAGTGCAGAGAAACAAAATTAGCTACCGTTGTTTATTTCGATAAAAGTAATAGATGGTACGCTTAGTAGTGACATAAAGGCAGCATGCAACAGCACAACTTCGCCCGCGTAGCATATCACGTGAGACCCACGTCTGATGCTAGTCATGTTTAAGCATCCGATGTGAAAACCAAATCCACTTCCGAAGTCGTTTTTGGTAAAACACAATAACCTAGTTTTTGCTGCATCCCTTCCTGCAAGGCCAAATAACAAATGGCGTCCCGAACATTCCCTCAGGGTATCCGCAATTCACAGATGCAGCAAAGCGTGAAAGTCAATCACTTGCAACTGGAGAATAGATAAAACCTAGTCTTCGGAGTAGATTCAACACTTAAAATGGCCTTTGAAAAAGTATTTTCTCACTAGCAGCACTAAATGAGTGAAAACAGATTCCTTGTAAAAAAACATTTGCCATATATCTCTCAGAGATAAACACAATGCTGAACGAGGCGGCACAGGCTGCAAAGGGAGCATTTTCCAGAACACTAAGAAACTGTGAAATTAAAAAGGGCTGCGAGAAAATGAGGTTTAGGTATACACGTATATTCAGTGACCTAAATAATGGGAAAGTAAACTAGCTATCAACATGCATCGAAGACAGCACAAAATAAGTCACACTAAGTGCCAGTGACTTACATGCTTATTACATTTATGGCCACGAAGGAATTGGCTGCAGTACTTTGTGGTTCCTAGAGACACACGCAACTGTCGACCGTGCATCATAGATTGGTCTAATGTGAGAACGGCTCGCATTGCATCCTCTGAGCGATCATAAGTGATGTAAGCACTAATGCTCGGTTGACCCTGGAGATCGCATAATCAGATCAAAAATAATGCTGTAAACCTCAAAGGGCATATAAGCGTACAGCTACCAATAAGGAAACCTCATAGAGCAGAAACCAAAAAAGCGTCAGCAAAATGCTTTAGGAGCTAGCAATATGGTAGAAGCAAAAGGTAAAAGACATATACGTGGAAATCGTACTTGTGGACCGGTAAATGTTTGATTGGCGTTAACTTCGACCTTGTACACTTTACCAAACTGACCAAAATATTGAGGACCCTTCAGAATTTCCTTGTCCTTCGATATCCACTGAGGCAAACCAACTACAAAAACTAGATTTGTTTGAATAACCCTACAAAAATGTGAAACTGTGTAAATGGGTATACCTGAGCTCTGGCAGGAGCTTAAACGTTTCTTTGGAAATCTGCGGTTTGTTCAATACCTCCTTTTTCCTTTTCATAGGCTTTCGCTTAGATTCACTGAAAGATCTAAGTAAAACACATAAGCTTACCCTGTCGATGTTTGCGGAACTCGAACGGCGGGTGCATCCGGGTCGTAAGGCTGAGAATAATTTACGAAAATTATTTTACCTGTCTGCAAGCTGGACAGAGACCATTTTCCTCATTTATAATTTTTGCCCAGCAAAAACGGCAAACCTTCTGCTAGGTATTAACAATAAAGAAAGTACCTGGTAGAGACAGGGGCATGGGAAGAACGATACATCATCGGAATCCATGGGTTCCAGACAAAGGGGACACTGAATTTAAAATTAGGTTAGAATTCGCTGTAATACATCACTCCCATCGGATGACATTATCAGGGTTTTCCAGGAAAATCAAGTGCAAAACCAAATGCGTCCAGTTAGAAATGATAATATGCAAGTGGGCTAAGCCGAACAACCCTAGTTTGATCATTGGAATTAACTTTATATCAATTCAGAACAAAAGGTCTGCATTAAATTATACTGATGGCCATAAAAAGATTCCCATTCTACAAATTTATCCCAAAAGACTTAAAAAACAATTTTACGACGTCACGAAAATACTTAGATTTTGATTTTGAATAAATACTTATATTACTTGTTAATATTTACCAGAAGTTATTTTACAAATAATATTAGGGACTCACAGGATCACTCAATCTTACATAAATAAGACATACAATGATGACACACACTACTTAAAATGTAAAATTTGAATAACATATGTCTAACTTGTAGTTAAGTTCTGTAATATACGCTAGTAAGTCTAAGTTAGCCCTTATATTGGAGAGGCGGGAGTGCAAAGTGAATACAAAATTGGTGAGTGCACTGCATGCAGGTTAGTTTCTCGGGAGGTACTTGCTTTCCGTCCCATCCACACTTTTCATTGCCGTTCCTTTTATATACAAAGCTAAATAAGGCTTTCGCAACTAACCATCTCCTAAAGTCCAATGTTCAAGGGCCTGAGGGTAAGTAGGTGGGCTCTATTATACTATCTTTATGTGACTAACGAACGTTCGGGTGTCACTTTAGGCTTTGTCTGGTCTTTGTGCTCGTGGGCTGGCCTTTGGGTCATTCTTAGGCCCATTTGCTCTGCTCTCTTCGGAATACATGTATCCAGCCCCACTGCACTCTTCACCCTATGGGAAGTCTCCGGACGCCACGGGCTCTAGGAGTACTTTTTGTAGCGCCGTGAGACGTCCCACAGGGAAGAAGGCATTAAGTGGATCCGAATACATGTACTCTAGGAATAGCAAAACAACTAAGTCATAACCTGGACCGACGGTCAACCCACGTGTACAGGAGCCGCACGAATCCTAAAGTAACCGCCAGACATTAGGTGATAACACCAACTAAGTACTACACCACCCCTGCCTTCCCTTAAGCGACGTCCTCAACGCTCCCCTCGGTACACCTCCTGCGCCAGCCATTACAACACATTTAATACGGCAACAAAGCACCCTCACGATAGCTACGCCAATCAACAGCTACAATGAGACTAAGGGGCGACACTTGGTCTCTCCAGCAGCTTCAACTGGATAGGGCGAATAGGGACTGCATGCATCTGTCAACAATTAATTGCTTTCCGGACCAGATGGTGGAAGTCTGGTCGAAAACAGGTGTGTTACGGGGAAAGCAGGATTAGACACAGAACCGCAGTGTCATTTCCAACACCCATACACGGATGTATTAGGGAGAATACCGACACGAATTTAAGTGTTACACGAGCTGCTGCTCATGTGTTTGCTTCAGGTCTAGTGTCTTCGTTAAGCATCATGGAAGCCTTACAACACTGAATGCCCGCTATAGATGTATTCAAAGACCCATGCGTACTGCATCCTCTCTTTTAAACCGTTAATGCCATTTCGTGTTCGTTTTGCAATCCTCTGATAATTTGTGCCAGCCTGCATTGAGGAAGTACACTAGTAATGGTCATTTTGGCCATCTACTTGATAAAGCGTAACTAAGATTGGAAAGCTTTAGGATAATCTTGTGATAAGTAGATTCTAAAGCTATGCACAGAGTAGAAGCCCTTCCATTTTAGGTTAATAAAATCTCCCTACCGCTCTCCACTTGCTTGTTTTTTACCCAATTTATTGTGACGACTAGATGCTTTCGTAATTCTGGTAAACTGCATTGTATTAGTGTAGAAAACGCATTTTTATGCAATCGTCCTCCAGTTACTGATCCAGCTGCGGAGACAATTCCACTTAGCAAAATTTCGAAGGCTAATTCAAGGTGCCAAAATCGAGGGTTAAGGATTCACGAATAAAAGTATAGTAGCCAATTTTAGACCAGCTTATTTACTGTTCTGAGTACACTAGAGCAACACTGGGGCTGATACTCAGAGCATTTTGGTCCAAGCTTCATACATTGCAAACATTGAGCTACGCCAGGTTGCACGCATCCCAATTTTCAAGGCGCGCATAGAACGGTTACATTCTGTCGCGCATTTTGAATGGGCACATGGAGTACCAATTTGGTGCAAAGAGGGCTGTTGCACAGATCACAAGAAATCGCGATCCGAATGTGCCTTAAGAGCGCTCATCCCGACTCCTTAATCATAACAATTAAGAGTACCCTCATCAAAGCAGAATTTCAATGCCTTTGGTGCATTTCTCCCTACAATTCATGCCCAAAATTTGTGATTTCGCATTGAGAATGTAAAAGACAACAGGTGGGCCTGTGCAACTTACCTATCCAATTCAAAGATTCGTATATGCCAACAATATTATTTTTAATTAACTCCAATTAAGGTAGTATGCGTTAAAACATGCATAGAGTGCCTAAAATACGAGGTATCAAAGAGATTTCAATAAAACCGCTGTTCCATTTCGCACCCATTTCTGTTGGGTACCAGGAGGGCAAGGAACCTGCAATTGCGTTACCAAGCCTGAGCGTGTCGCATCAGAGTAGACCGGTAACTCGACGATCTCATCCATCGCAAGTGGTTCAGAGGTTTCCTATATGAATACGAACACTTACTCAATTGAGTAGATGAAAAACACGCTGACACGCTTAAGCGCTCCTGTTTTGGAGCATTCAACTGCAATGGTCCGCCCCAAACACTTTCTCATGTACTTCATCAGTAGGAGACAAAACACCGTTTGACATGAAAAGAACAATATTGAAAATAAAGGTTTCAAAATTAGTTGCAGACGTGAAAAATAATACCAAAAAGCTTTCAGCTCACAACCATCCTTCAAGCAGGACTTATTTGTGATCTGTGGTCACAACTTCGTAGGCTCGAATGCCTTCTTTCCTCATCCATCACACCAAAGTGTGAAAACAACAGCAAAAATGATAATTGAAATTTCAAAATTATGCCATAAAAGGATCGACCATTAACTAAATTAGATTGAGATGGCAATCACATTCACTTTTAGCACTGAAAGAAGTAGACGTCGCTGGTACCACTTGTTAGAATTGTAAAGTTCTAGGGAGGCAGAAATGAATATAATTGTGGAAAGATCATTCCAGATGGCCAGACCCTAGAGCTTGACATAAAAATCCTAGCTATTTTAAGAGGCAAATAGCTGTAAGTATTCCACATACACATGGCCTCCATGCGATTTGTATATCAGGTAGTGCCGAAACAGCCGGAGATGTTGCGTGGCATTCAGTTAGCCTTCCATCTTTGAAAAGAGCTCCCTCTAGCTGCAGATTGGAGATTGCAAGAAAGTCACTGCCAGAATAGCTCTCAAGTTCTCGCTGAAGGCTGGGCCACTTCGATACAAGCTTTAGTTGATCAATTGCCAACTGAAGGTGGCGAGCCGTCTGCTGTCGCAGAGCGTTGAGAAAGATGGCAGGATTGAAGAAATCAGCAAGATTGCAATTTACTTCAGGAGAAAAAAACCGAGGCAATGATTCGGAACGAAGCAGCCATTTCTAGAAAAGAGATTTCAATCCACGCTTACTGATTCATGCATCAAAGTAACAAAGAAGCAGTTGTTATGGATTGACAAAAAGGCAAAACTAGCTTTCGGTAGACATGTATTTCAGCCTCTTCTCAGTTGAAAAATTGCGAAAAAAGATTACACAGCAATTTAAAGCCTTAACAACTGTCTGCTAAACATTTCAAGAGTAACTGTGAACTCGCAAAATAATAGACCAGTTTTAATACCTGTAGAGCCTGTGTTTTTGCAACAGCGGATCGGATGAAGGAATAACTGTCCTCTGGTCCCGTGTTCCACATGGCTAACCAAGCAGCAGGTGTCTTGCTCTGGAGAAGTGAACAAACTACCACGTACAGTTCTTGTGAGAGAACCTGGGTTCCACGTAGGAATTTTGCCAATGATCCTAGATTACTGTGAATCCTGGCGATGAGGTCAAGAGCACTGGTCATTTCGCGGTGAAGAAACGAGAGCACCGGAGACTCCTTGGCATCGTGCAGTGATTTCTCCTCCACCCTCACCAGCATGTCTCTCAGACGTTTATCTCTGCTCTTTTCCATAAGTTTTGCGTAAAAAAATACATGTTAGCTTTTCTCGTATTTAAAACGATCTAAAACTATTCGATAATCAGCTTTACAATAGTGCTGGTTACAGGGACTCCAAAAGTTGATACACTGCATGGACACACTTGCATCATACAGTAGTTACCACACTAGCATTGACGCAATAAATATCTCTGAACAAAGGTTATTACTGGTAAAAGAGCTCCGTCCGCGTTGATTTTCCTCCAAAGACCAAGGATGGGATTGAGCTCCTCTGCCCAGAGACTCCGATCACTTTCGTGCGAAGAACCAACATGGCTTTGAAGAAGGCGCAGTTGTCCAAGTACGTTCGCTGCTGCGGCAAGTTGAGCCGTCTTATTTATATTTGCTGGTAGTCCAAGATCGTGCGGATCGTCCATATCGGAGAGTTGATCAATGGCAGTTACGTAATCCTATTTTTTGCCGAGAAATGATGCGGAACATTTCAATACTCATTTTAATATGTTCCAAAACCAACTAAATTTATGGAGAAGAATGCTTGAAAAAATCATGAAAGTTAATTTTGGTAAAGTAACATCGGAATCTATCAGTTAATATGGTTAAATCACCACCTCTTTATACACACTTCGAAATTTATTAAACTTTAGGCTAAAATAGCTGATGTTCATTAACACGCCACACCACAGCAGATGGGAGGGCACCAGCTGAATCACAAAAGGGGATTATTTCTCAATCAGCTAGCAATCTGCTTGATGAGGCTCAAAATTCAAGCAGAATAACTGACAATAGGAGCAAGTTTGTCGAAAGTTTACAAAAGGCCTTAAACACCATACGATAAACCTGATTTCGGCCTTGCTAATGTTTAGGTGGGAAGAAATACTGCACTAAAATTTCCAATGATACAAATATCTGACCTTCAAATTAGTCGTGTTCGGCAATTTCAGTGAGCCCAACTGTCGCAGACTCAGGGTTGAATCGCTAAAAATGCAATTAAGAAATGACTTGAGCACGCTGAAATCGAATGCATTGTCCATGCGTCCGCCGTAGATGGCACTGCCAAGCAGCCCCCTCACGGTCGGCCAGATGGCCGATGTGGGCACAGCGGAGACAGCAGGTGTAATGAGCCGATCAAGTGTGCTTGCTGCAGCCCGAACGTCAACAGAGGTGAACTCGTAGAACTTCGTCCAACTCTTGAAGTTGAATTATCAAATTAGAGAGAAAAATCCTCTAGTAGCCTACCTGTGGAATGAAGCTACGTCGCTCTTGGAGAACAGCATGGAACCAGGCCAGACAAGCGAGAGCTGTAGTGCGCGTTAGAGACCCACTCTTTGCAAAGAAATCGGGATGCCAGCTCTCATATGTCCGCTTTAGATTATTTTTCAGTCCCGGTGGTGCCTATTGTTTAAATATTATGACCATGAATCTTATTCATTCCTTGAAACGCTGCCATATCCACGGTCTTGGTAGCCAAAATCACGGTATTATTCCTCAACGTGCATGAGACGACGCACTCCAGGCGTTTTTTCACAATAATTTTCAGTAAACAGTAATGGTTCTGTATTAATGTGGTACGTCACATGTTATAGATGCTTCAAATATGCAAGCATGTATTCCTTCCTACGAAAAGTGAGATCCACCTAGTGAAGAAATTCCGATTGCAAGGTTTCGTTTCACTAACTTTGAAATCAGTCTCGAAACTGAATTATGGAACTGGGTAATGTGGTGCAGAAGCAATTCAACAAGCAACAAGTATTATTCGTCAAAGAACCTACACTCGAATGCGTGCACTTCAGTTTGAATCAACCTTTATTTATATTTAGATTAAATTCAAAGGCTGATTTTAGTTATGTTTACAAAATGGAAGCAACATCCTTCGACGATTAAAACACATTTTTTTGGAGTGTAAAACGGTCGATCTCTAGCGCAAATATTCGACAATGTCCCAAAGGTTCCGGTAATTGTTTGCTCAACTAGCAGAGCGAAAATAGTTACCAAGGTAGGCAAATTGAAATTACCTCATAAGCTACTTTAAGGCAGGACTGAAGAAGGGTGGAGGGAAAGTTGTCATGTGGCTCCGTGGTTAGCCACAAGCGGAAGTGAGGGTGGAGGTGCCGCTGTGTCCTAGCTGCTACTTCCTCCATCTCGCAATCAGCACTTATCAGTAGATTTATGTGTTTCTCGAGCACTGGAAGCCAGTGAGTGACAAGATGGAGATTCTTTAGGCATACCCACCCGCCTGACTGGGCGGCTGCAGAGATCTCGGACAACGCGATTTCTAACTGACCCTGTCCCATAGCAACCTCATGGTAGTTACACCCTATCGTACCGCCACTGGCAGCGGAGGCGGCGGCTGCGGCGTCGGCTAATTCTTGCGAAGGATCGGCTCCAGGACTAGTAACTAGTAGGACTGGCTCCCGTGGACTAGTTTCAACGGTAAAGAGACGAAGAAGGCTGATGCCCGAGGGGGAGAGGTGTGGTAAACCTTGAAATAAAAAAAAAAATTATTAAGAAAAATCCTGTTTTAAGCTGAGTAATCCCCGCAAATGATACATTAATAGGACGGAAGTTAAACTTGAAACACAATGACGCTATAGAAAGGCGGAAGAATCATGAATTCATATTTCTTAAAAATTTAGCTTCACAAATAAGGCATTTCATTGATGTAAACATCAAATGGAGGTTCCAAACCAGCGCTCGGAGCTTAGGATCTGAAGGAGCACGAATCCGTAGCTACTGGTCAGTTGACTTGCTTATAAGAATAGATTACAACAGGCTTGTAAACTGATTGAAAGACCGTCTTCCTACCAAGGGCCTTCTTTGTAAACTCATTCATCGTTCGGTAAAGTGCAGTGGGTTGAAGTGTCTGAATCACAATCATTGTTTGGAGAGGAGCCAGTGGAATGTCACTCAGTGCTGCAGGTAATTTACCACATTCAGAATCCTCTGAATGCATCCAGTGCGACCAAATCTCAGCATCATTGAAGCGAAGCTTTTCGTACAATTTTGGCTGACCAGCCTAGGTGGGAAGGGACTGGTGTTTATAATAACTACACACGCGGAGTTTAATTTCGCATCTGTGTATAAATCAAGGGATGGTAAAACAAAGAACGAATCTTATCAGTTATCAAGTGACAAACTTCAAATCGGCTCTGATGACCACGGAAGCAATAGAAACAAAAATGACTTCACTGATTTTCGTAGCACTATTGGAAGGTCTACTTTTGCTTAACTATTTGAACTTGGTTTAGAAGTGCAAGGAAGTAGATAAATTTATTTAATAGTTTGTAAGTAGAACACCATGGACAAAGAGTGGTGAAACAGAGGTCTGCAACAAGCAGCATCCATTAGTATACCAAAAAAGTAGTTAATATAATGAGGACTTACTGTGCTCAGAGTTTCCGGTTGAAAATTTACTTGAGATTAAAACTGATTCACCGAATCTCTGGGAAGATGTTATGAGATAGTGGGAAGGGACGGGAAAATTTTTACAGAAGACATATTTGCAGCATACATCAATCATTAAGGGACTCATCAGCATTGCCTCCTACCAAAAGAATCATGGCTGACTGGTTGAATTTCACTAAGACGATAAGTTGGGGAATCGTAGTACAACCGAGAGCAATCTATTTTGAAGATACAATTATAGGCGTTGTTGTAGCTAAGGCATAATGCATCCAATCATTTCAATGATGATTTTGTGCTAAGTTAGAGCGAATTAAAGCAACAAGCCGTAAAATTCCAGCATTTTCGACAGATTACAAAAGCAAAAGCAAATAACTTTACTCTGAGGTTACACATTGCAGCAGTTCTATCGGGGAGGACCCAAGAAGGGACACTTTCCGTACCTTCCTTACAGTCGCATGGACAACCGCTGATAAAAAATTTCCAATCCTAAACAAAAAAAAACAAAGTTGTGTTTGATGTGATGCTATTAATCCTAATTTTACGCACGCTTTCGGCTAGGGCAACGCGACTACCAATGGGGATTGGTGAAAGAGACTACTCCTAACAGACACTAGAGTCCCGGACTAACCTTAGATACTGTGTCGGGACATTAGTCGCCCATATATTTGGATCTGCCCACTGCCTTTACGAGTAAAAAATCGCAGTGCATAAATGCGTGTCCTCCAGTGAATTGCCATCCCATCCTCTGCACTAACAACTGTCTCCTGACCAGACTATCTAGTAAAAATATCACACTAGTTTAACTCATCCACCAAAAATGAGTGGGTAACGCGCAACAAAATAAATTGTGCTGGCTTTCTTCCATTTATACAAGACTAAAATTTAGGCCAACACGAAGGAGTAAGATTTAGCAATGCCAAAACTATGGAAGCAAAACTATTCGAAGTGAAGTGTTTCCAAATCAATCTCAATTGGCGTTGTTTACCTGGTGAGGCAGCACATCTCGCGTACACAGGGTGATTGAATATGCAAGTTTGAATACAAAATGCTGGATGTGAGTGGAGCCACCCAGAGGATGAGACTTACTGCATCCTTTACTTCACATGGACGCAAGCAGTAGGTCAGATGCAGCAGGAATGTCAGTCTATCCACCTTGAAGAGGGCTCGCAGTACGTGCTCCACAACAAGGGCCTCAAGACGTCTCAGAAAAAACATCATTCTTTTTTGTACAGACAGGGTAGTCTCCTGGAGGTATGCAAATTTCTGGATAGTTATTAATGTCATACGGGTAAAACTGCTGAAAGTAAACTTGGAAAAATGACTCACACATGGACTTTCAAGAGCTCTGCGAAAGAGGTTGGTAAAGCTGCTCAGACTAAACTGATACATATTGTTGATTTTCAACAAATCACTTAGAGCAAAGAATACACGGCTTCCGCCTTCTGCTAAACATCGAAATTCATCCCGTTCCTAAGGCGATGAAGCACAATAAAATAATGCAGTCTTATGGCTTCTCAAAAAGAGTGGTATCTTCCACTTACATTTTCAAGTTCCACCTGAAGGCGTTCGAATTCAGCGAGAGTTTGTGCTACAGTGATGCTTGAGTGCTTTGTTTTGTTGAGAGAATCAAGAAGATCCGTGTTTTCCAAAATGTTCCCGCGAGAACTCGCCAACTCCTTTAATAAGGCAGATATGAAAATCGCTGAAAGAGGCTACAATAATGTAGACAGGTCGATACGTTTTTGTACAATTGCTATGCCAGCGAAAATTGATGTAAATTACCAATGACAAATACACTTAGCAAAGAAGAACGTGAATCGACTTAATGAAAAGCAAGACCAAAATTCAGCCTGTAACCCTAAACTCTCTTGGCAATACCGTGTGTGGGGTTTTGAAACATTGTTTACACAACACGTCTTTGAGATTCTAAGCCTTGAAACCTTTCCTTTAAAACTCTTAAGGTAACAAAGGAGACCAGATAGAGACTCAAAAAACAGCGTGGTTTTGCTGTCGATCCATTTGATCCATTTGCATTTGACATAGTCAAGCGATAAAAGGGAACCGAAGTCACAATTACATGGGTAGGGAAGTCATTTGTAGCGAGCAAAATCAATCCAAAAATGTTATGAATAAGTTAAGTAAGAAGTACGATAACGGATTTTGCTTGAATCGCCAATGAAAATCCAAAAAGCTCTATTTCCCCAACCTCAAGTAATTGATCTTCTAGTTGTGCAAGCTCAAGTTTCTTGACCTCCTCCCCTTCAAGAAGTTCCAATCGACGAGTCTCAAGTTCACTGCACTCGTGTTGGAGGGTGATTTCGAGTAGGTGACCCACCAAACTGGAGCGCGTAGTCTGGAAGTTCACCACGGTGACCAGCGAGGCTATGCACCCGGGTTGCACCGAGCTTGTCGAAAGCCAGGGCTCTCGAGTCATCATGAAGAGGCGGAAGTTCTCATTGTAGTCTACCTCCTTATCGCCCAACTTCACCGTCTTCCGTGGACCTATAGTTTCTGGGCTCATTTAGGGGTTCTGAAGTGAAATAGTTAACGGTCGAATCCTGACTTACTTACTTACTTGTACTAGTAGCCAGGATATTTTTGGCAGACAGCATGCAACAGAAAAATGGAAACCATTCTGAAAGATTTGACTAACCTTGCAACGAAAAATCACGCCTCAAAATTGGGAAAAGGATGGGGTCAATTCGATCGATTTCCTGAACTACAAGCGCTTTTCCAAAACGAATTGCCAATTCCAGTACGGTTGGAAAGTTGTGACTCTAAAATGCGAGACAGAATTTCAAAGGCTTGAAACAAGTTATTTCTAGCTTTACTTTTAAGTAAACATTGAATACCCGCTGATCAGTGACTTCAATTTGCTGGTCCTCAAGTTGACTCTTTAACCATCGGACAACACTTCCAGAAGGAGCAACAATGAAGGGGAATAAGTTTGACTAAAAAGGAGAAAGGAGTTGAAAAATTAGAAGTTGTTATCCGTCAGTAATGAGTTTAGTTGATCTAATGCCAACCAGATTTGCGCATTTCACATTACAAGCAGGAGGATATTAAGGAAAGAGCCACAAGTAGTCAATATAAAAGTGTTTCCAAAAGTTACTTGGACACCTAAAACCCGAAATGCAAAACGCATCGATTTTTCGAAAAAAAATTTGGGTTTTGGATCTACACTGTCAAGCGATTAGTAATTACACCATTGTAAAAATGCTTTACACAAACCGTCGGGGAGGATGCAAACCAAAGTCCTTCAAGCCCAGTAAAACTGAGTACGTCGAAGAATAGCTTGGATTTCAATAAGTATCCGTAAATAAGTTTCCTCACTTAAAAAAAATCGTACCCGGAGTATAACCACGGCGTTTTCCAATGAAAGACTGTCGGAGGGCAGTCCTTGTGTTTTCCAATGAAGCCGGTCCTTCTCTGTTACCAGAAAGCGCAGAAGATCGAAGCGCGATGTCTTCTGCGCGCAGTCTTCAACGGACAATCGCAACTCCAATTCTTCTAGCTGCTGCCACCAATTGGCCATGGTATTTTGACGTACATCCTCCGAGCAGGATGAGAGGTAAGTAATGAAGCCAGCAGCCATGAGTGACATAACTGGTAGCACTTTCAACTGCTCGTTTAAGGAGTCGACCTGTTCGCCAGAATACAAAATGGAGTGGTGGAAGAGTCGAATCTACACAGCTCTTAAATAAAGTCCTTTAATAATCTTTTCCTCTAGTTGATTTAACAAATCGTCTACTTGGCTATATATAAGATTCGTTAATCATCATTTTCGATGGTAGTTGGGCACTTTGACATTATAACGCCTCGATTCCTCGATGGCAGATAATTCCGTAATTTTCTAACTATAACTTCATAAAGCCTAACTTATAGCAACCATTAACTGCCACTAACACTAGGCACTGTAGGTAAACCAGCAAAACATAGAGGACTTTTCAAGAGGAAAACAAGGATGGGATCGTCTGGTTACAATAGCGTTCGTCCATGCTTATCCGAAAGATCCTTTAGCTACTTATTTTTGGTGACACTATCATTACCCAAACCAATATTATTATTCTTGCTTTACAAATTAAACTTTTCCTACCTCCTTTTCCCAGCGTCCGTGCTCGCTTTCCAGCCCAGAAATAAGATCTTCAGCAATTGAGAGAGTATGTTTAGCCTTCCCAAGCTCAGTTTGAAGATCTGTAGCTGCCTTGGCATGCACCTCGAAGACGCTCTGCAGGTTTGCCACTCTTGCGTCCACGGAGTTGAGATCTCGAGTTAGACGCTGCACTTCGGCTTGGGTAATTTCAAGGGAGTGATGAAGACTAGCCTGCTCTCTCTCCAACGGCGCAAGCTTCTCCAAGACTCTTGCATACTGCACATTTGCTTGCACCCATGAGGCTAACGGTGCAGCAGCTACCGATGCCCGCCGCGCTGACTAAAAACACACCACATTTCAATATCTACCTCATCCATTTTGTACTACTATAATTGTTCGGTCAATCAAAGGCGACAAATATGACAAAAGGTTTTCATTCAGCTTCTACAAAGTTCGCCATTGAACGGGAAATGACATCTAGGATAGTTAGAATTGTAGTTTCTTTACCAAAAAGCCGAAATGACAGTTCCTACGACCAAACTATGAAAGGTGCTACAAAATTCACTGAGAATGGGCTGCTTAAGAGGCCCACCTTGGGACTGAAAGAATCGGCATTCTTCTTCAGAAGAACCTCGACACTATGCCTCAAGTCAGGCGTAATGCGTCGAGCGTCAAAGTTCCGGATTTCATCCTGAATCCCACGTCGGGCGAGGAATGTACGCATACTAGCCCAAGAAGTGTCACGAACACCCATAAGAAGGAGGACACCTTCGAGGATATCGCGAATAACATCGGGAGGGGCGCGCAGTGCTCGCACTTCCGACAGTGCCTCTGAGCGAATGTTACCTACTGCCGCCTGCGCCTCCTTTAGTAGCGGACCGATTTTCGCCATCTCGGCATCTATTGTCGCCTTACGCCCCTCCAAACTCGCCGCCTCTACTACTGAACGCTTCTGAAGTTCCTCCATATCCGCTCTCTGCTTTCCTGCGCCCTATTAGGTGATATCAAAAGCACAGGTGATATATACCAATCAGCGTTCAATGTAATGCAAACTTATAGGTCTTCCGTGCAAGATTTTTAGGGAGGACCAAAGTGTCAATAATTAGGTGCTGCAAAAGTAATCATTTAAAGATGCAAGTTCCACGAAAATCCCCAATTTAACAATAACCAGAGGAGTTTCCTGTAAGATGCAAACATCGAGCAAACTTCAACAGCCCATCCGATTTGGAATCGTGTACCGAAACGATAATGAAAAGAGTGCAAACAAATTGTAACGCACTTGCATTGCCAAACTAATTTCTGAAAGGGCTTTGTCAGCTTCCGCTTGTCTTTCATGGAGCAGTCGCTCTTGCTTTGCAGCGTCCATTTTCAGTTTGTTTACATGCTGTCTAGCTTCAAATAACTTTGTCAAACCTGCTCTAAAGCGCGTAATTTGAAACTCTAACTGATTTCTGCTGCGTGCACAGAGATCCTGACAGGTGGTACACATTGAAATGAAGCGCCTCGGTGAAGCCAACCTTGGATATGGAACAGAATTATGAATCGCCAAACATGCTCGTGAGAATGAAGTCTTCCGAGGGTTCTCTACTAGATTTGGGGCCAGTAAGTTTGGGAGGATGGATTGTCCCACAGATGACCACTTATCCAACCAACTGATTTCACAGTTTTTGTACAAAGAGGGATTGGCTTGTAAGCATGAAACCAAATTTTCCTTTTCCTCAATGTCAAGCAGAATGACGACATGGAGATAAGCACGAATCCTTTTAGCAAAGAAACTCATTAAAGTTCCCGCATAATTAGTTTCTGCAGCTATATCTCGAAGATTGGCACCTTCGCTTGAGGTCATTGATTCAACATCCTCAACAGATATTAGTCCCGGAGCCTCTCCACTGGACAGGATGCTATTTATGGCTTCCAAAATGATCTCATTTACCAAATGGTGATCTTCTAGGAGAAGAACAGTAGGCACGCAATCGACTGCTGCTGATTGACAGGCGGACTTTAAGTCGTTTTGGAAGTTGCGTTTGGTAATGTTGGACCCTGCTCGGGGGGTAAACAATTGAAATCGGTGAAGGTGAACGACAACACGAAGAGCAGACCGTCTACCGATACCACACCGACCAGCTAGCAACAAATTCCCATGAGGTTTGCTGAGAACTCTATCTATTCTCGTTATAAGGTCCAAAAAGTCAGGGAAGACAACCAGTTCTTCGGCTTTGGGATACGACTCCCTTGCAAGTTGTTTTAAGCTCGAGGCAACTATTTCATGCATCGAGGAGTAGGAAACTAGAGAGAGCACCTTATTGCAAGGTTTCATGTTGCTTTTTAGCGGATGAGGTTCGAACAAACAGGAAGAAACGAACCAATGTTGACCTTTCTTAATTGAAGCCTCGGCAATTTCAGCATCAGACTCAACTGCTATGGGATCACCGGAAGCAAACTTGGCAGCCAATGAAGATTCAGAGAGCGTTTTTGACTGAACACTACTCCAACCACCAAATCCGATGCCTGCCTCAGAATCTACATTTAGAAGACGATAAAATAATTTATCGAATTTCAGCCTGTATTCTTCGCCTGGCATGCGATCACGAAAGAGACGTCGCGCCTCGTAAGCGAATGCTACCCACATGTTCCCAGATATGGGTTCAGGAGCCAGATTGTAACGCATCATTCCAATCACCCAGTGTGTCAAATCCCTTAAAGAGAAACTACAATGAGGAAACCCACTGGCTTTGAAGGTCTGCTCCAGCTGCGACCACATATGTACCATTGTGCTAGCTAGGGTATGTAGACGATTGGAACAATCTCTACCTTTAAATGTTGAGGTTGCTAGCTCAAAAGCAGGCTTAACTGATACATTGAAGACATGCTGAAGCAGACAGTTGTAAATCTTAACAAGCTCGTCCGAACTAGGATTAGTTATCGAAGCGATACGAAGAATTGAGGTCAGTCTAGGTGACAGGAGAAACCGCCCCAAACCTCCAGAGAGAGAACTTGGTGTGAGGGTTGCAATGATCTGAATATCTTCGATCCCAATAAACTCCAAGGAATTGGCATCGTAGAAGCCTCGATACGTCAAAATCTAAAAGTGAAGAAATCAGTAATCCTAAATAGAAGGACTTCAGCTAACTTAAGTTAGCCAGAAAAGCTATCAATTTAAAGTCAAAATGTCTATAGGCGTATCTTACCTATGTTCAAATAGTGATAATTTTTCAACCCTAACTGTAAGTGAACCGATGGACCAGACTTTCTCGTACTTCAAAATGGAGGCAAAATAGCTCAAATCAATTGCATTTATTTGCTAACATTGCGCCATTGACGTCAAAATCTAAGCGTATTTCGCCTACATGGCTCAACGCAATGACCTAACTTGGTTCAAATGCCATTAACTGGTCGAGGAAAATACTGAGTTTGTACGTGCTTTGCTTTAACTCGAACGCGACACTAACTTGTTGCAGAAAAGCTACAACTTCACAGGATCCCCATTTATCCGGTTTGGGCAGATTGAGGTCGCGCAATAATAGCACTAGCCGATCACCCTTCTTGGGGCGGAGGACTCGACTAGCTCCGATGACACTGCTCCCCGTCACGGTGACGCAAGCCTGGCCCAGTTTATCAAGAATATTGCTGGGACGTGTCTGCGCAGTACACTGTAACACTATTACATGGGCCCTTCCCTTGCTTTCGGATAGACAGTGCTCAAGGAGTAGGCTAGAAGAGGAATGGGAGGAATAATTATCCACAAAGCAATGGAGGTTAATTAATTTCGAATTTCAATTAGACATAGAAATGTAGTGTTTTGGTAATGATAATACCAACAACAACTTTTGATGTAATGAAGGGGCATCAAAAGTTCAGGCGAAAGTAGACTGACTGACCCCTTTCCACACCCCTCTGGCCCAACAAGCAAAAATGACTGCTTTGCTGATGGGTCATCGAGCCACAAGCGAAAAGCGTCAATAGCACAGCGAATGTGTGCAGATATCACGAGTGGTGGTCGCAGAGTAGGTGCAAAGTCTTGCACAAATTTTGCCTCTATAAAGTTCTTATTCTCCGCGTTAATTTCATCAGTTCCTTGCAAACTGGCTAAATCCATATCGACCAAAGAAATTTCATCCGAATAGGCGACGAGCCGAGTTCCTGTTTCCTCATCCACCTATCCAGGAAAGGAGAATAAAAGGTCGACTATGAGGCTAAACTGTGCTCAACTTACACACGATTTATGAATAAGAGCAGAACTTTAACTGTAGAAATTTTTTGAAAAAAAAATAAAAATACAACGAGCCTAAAATTAGTTTGGACGAGCGATGAAGTGTTATTCATTCAATGTATATGGAGACGAGAAGAAGCAGAAAAACAAATTCAACCTCCATCATAAAGCTTCAATCCTATTTAATAGCAATATCTAATAGGGTAAAAAGACGCACGCTAAAACGCAGGTTGCGAATACACATTAACTTCTATGTTGGCATTCATAGGAATCAGTTAAAATTATTCAATAAGCAACACAGCCTCAGAATGTGTATACTGACCCGGACATTCAGAGGATGAGAAGGATCAGGTGGAGTTTCACCTGTTGCCTCGTAGACCTTTGCTGCTAATTGGCTCTTAACCGGCTCCAGCAAATTCGAACCCAGACCACGGATTAGCCCAACTGCAAACCTAGCCCGGTTAGTGGCGCCCACTAGATGTGAGAGGCCATTAAGGATGGTCGCCGTATAGCTAGCCTCTATCAAATATTCGTTCTGAAAGAAATCAGAATTATGGTTTGTATTCACGATTAATGCAGTGCAATTCCTAATCCAAGTGCAACTAGAATGACTAGCAGGACAGAAATGTGGAACTTACGGTTATCCTATGGGCAAGCAGTATGTTTATCAAGAGGTACATTACCAAAATAATAATAAATAGTTGATGTCGGAAAACTGAGCAGCATTTTCATTGGAATAAAAATGGCGAGAGCGAACTTGAGTCAGTAAAACGAACATATGAAGTTCGCTGAGGTACCATTGTTGAGAAACGGATAGCAATTACCTACGTAACTAAGAGCTTCTTTAAGTTTGTTTGCACAAATGCTATCTAGTAAAAGCAGACATCAGATGCTTATGAACCATGAAACACCATAGTATATGAGAAAAAAAGAAGGGTAAAGTCACCTTTGTTTCAACCCAACTAAGGCATGGACAGAATGCTGTATTGAGCATATCTGAAAGGAACTGTCTATGCTCCTTGGGTTGCTTTAAGAGCCAGGTCTTGATTATCGCGTCAGCACCGAGCATCTCATCACTGATGAAGACGATACCCATTCGTGAGACAGTTGCTGGACTGGCGCAGGATAGGTCATGTGTCTCAAAGATGAAGTTGACATTACTTCCGAATCGAATGCGCTCACCACTAGGCAGTGTCAGCAGGCCGTTATCATCAAGTACCGAATTCAGCGACTCGACCCACTCAGGATCAATGTCCCCATCACAAATTATCCAAGACACGGTTCCTAAAATAGACATTAAGTTCAGCAGAAAACTATTTGCCCACTGACACCGTAAACAGGCAATTGTGAGGGTGTAATGTAGTTGTGAACCTTTATGTAAACCATAAGCAGAGCTATCTCTAACATTTTGGAAAAGATTCAAACGCAGGTACTCAGCAGATGAGACTGTTAATTACTCTTCCGACAGGAATCCAAACGTGGGTTCTAGACGAAACGCCAAAAGTGAAATGTACACAAAAGTAGCGCAAATTGGTTTTTATCATTGCCAACAACAGCGCCTCAGATACAGATCTTAGTAATAGAATTAAAGTAATCACACCGCATATACATTGTGCTTAAAAGATCGTCAAACAGATGTGCACAATAAAACTCTTAGCAGCGAAAGGGAACTCAAACGTTGGGACACAACTATAGAATGTTGGTTGAATATCAAAGACCTCTTAGAAAAGACGATTCGCCATTCCTATTTCCATGCTCATAAAGGAAACCAAAAATGAACCACCTGAAGGTTCTCGAACTACGTCTCTAGCACTGCGAGTTAATACACCGTCAGTCCATTCTCTGGTGTCGGGATCGATACGCCCAAGCAGATGAGTTCTTGAGAGAGCCTTCGGATTCATGATGTAGCGCTTAACACGGACACCAATCTTCTGTAGAGCCAACCATAAAACGCAAAGTACGGTGGATTTCCCACAGCCTGATGGACCAACTACAACCACCCCGGTTCGCTGATTTAGCAAAGAGTATACTTCAAGCGTTTTCTTCACCTGATAGAGGTTTCGAAATTTCAACAAGATTGCCAAAACTGGTAGAAAGTTAGGCTAAACAAGCTTATTCTAACCTGGTGTTCAATTGCATACAAATGATTTTCAGCTAGAACTTCGTGAATGGCTGTAATGAGTTTCTTTGTAAAATCATCCTCCTGAGCGCCAGCATGATGCCTCAAATTGGGAAAGACGTCGCCCAAAAGGGCCTCAAAACGAGTAGCGTCTGAATGCGTTAACCTTGCTAGGCTGCAACTCCGCACAGACTGGATAATCAGTTGGGTCTCGACGACCAACGAATCCAATTGTTGCGAAGGTGATTCTGGCAAGTTTGCAGCGGATAAGGAGTCCTCTTGGGACATTTTTTGCTTTGTCTGGTGCAGAAGCATTCCTGCACGTCGCAGCACAGATTTTAGGGCTCGCAAGCCCCAGTCGTAGTGCTGTTGTACTGAGAGGGTTTGGCTGAAACAAATACAATGTGAATACTAAGTGTTAGGCATTTCCTCATCAAATATTGCCAGATCTTATGTGTACAAACACCATTAGAAACTCAATGCATTGGATTTACTACGAACATTGTAAGTACTAGCTAAACACGTACCTAGAGAGAGTGAAGATAGCGACTAGTTTCTTGCCCAGTTCATGTCCATGACTAAAGCCATATGAAAATAAAAGAGTCTCAGCTATTAATTCGTTGTCTGGCTTGGTCATTGATACGGGTCTGAAGAGCTGTTTTAAATTGCCGGGCAGTTTCTGACGTCCACCATAACCTTTCCCTGCCGGATTCAGCGTTATGAAAATACTTGCGGTTGGATTAGGATTTATGGACTTTCCCAAAAGCTCCACAGTTGGCGCGCCTGAACGAAGGGCATTCTGTATGACCTATAAACCATCCAAAGGTTCGGTCACACAGTAAATAGTGCTGTTTATGTTACAGCACTCATGATCCCAACCAGTGCACATCACCTGTCGTAACGATTCCTGCTTTCACTATTTTTGCAAAAACGATGAATAGTATCTTGATTATAGAGGGTAAATAAGGAACAACGGATTGCAAGCATTAAAGCAGGTGTGAGCACTACAGATAAAATCTATTGAATAAAATGCAATGATTTTGCTCCAAGTCGCCTTAAAGCGAAAATCCACAAAGATCCATCGATCATTCCTACTTCAAGATCATTCACTGAATAGAGAAACGGAAACATTTAACATCACCGCGAGAGGACTTAAACATGAAATAAATATCGGTTTAGCAATAAGCGAAGCTGTGCCACTTTAATAGAGCAAAATCAAGTTAAAATATGTGCTTTATAGCAAGCACCGCCTACAATTTCGAAGCTAACCATTTGATCCGCATGCATTTAAAATGAAATTATAGTAAAAAGCAATAAGTACGCTGTCCATGCAGAGTCTCAGCTTATGAGCTATGCATCTCTATATTTACTTGAATTTGTGTTGATATAGCAGACATCACAGCTTCTTCTAGACGATTAAATTCATCGAAGCATCCCCAAGCTCCGCATTTCACCAGTCCCACAAAAATGCGTCCCATCGACTCTACATCAATGCCACCATCACAATTGAACACGAGGACCTTAATCAAAATCCAACAAATCAGTAAACAGATAGGAAATCAATATTTCTAGTGGGAATGGCAGCTTTAAAGTCAATTTACCTGCCTTCCAAATAGTTCGCCTAATTGCTTCACTGACTCAGTTTTGCCTGTGCCTGCAGGTCCATAGGGGTTCCCGCCTAATCCCGATTGCAGTGCCTGTGTCAATGTGAGGTAGCACTTGTCCGTTAAGGGTGTATGTACTAGTCTAGGATTATTGCCCTGATACTCAAAAGTGTAGGTAAATTCAGCGTTTGCCATGCGAATTTTTGGGGCGGTCGCCTCTACGTCTCTAGCAGAGTAAAAACGCAGCTGCTTCTGCCAGGTCCAATCGTGCACAGAGGTAGCAACCTCCCTGATCAGGTGGCTCACAACATTAATATTGTGGCCTGTATCCAGAATGAGGGTGGATAATTTGGCGGAGGACACACGAGAAAGCATTTGCGAAGTGTCGCCTGAGTCGGAGTTCATTCCAGCCCACTGGCATCTTATATTTGCTTCAGCGTAAGATTTTAGTGTAGTCTAGTAAATAAGGGATTCAAATGCGGTAAAAGTAGTGGATTTAAAGCAATAAATGCCAAAAGAGATGTTTTAAGATCTATGAACAGCGGTAAGAGCAAATAGATTGATTTCACCAAACCCGGAAGCTCATGATTGAATGAGGCTTGTCAAAATTTGAGAAATATTAAAATTAATGGGCTCTATTACCATTACGCACGTCAAACTACAATTACTAGACTACTCCGATGTTTGCTAGGTTTTATGAAGTCTTGGTTAGTTTTTAAACTCCTATCAAGAGTCCTGTTGGAGAAATTGTTGCTTTCCTTTATTAGAACAAATTTAATGCACCCTAAAATTATCAACGATAACCGAGTTAAACCTCAACCTCCCTTCGTTTAATGTGAATACTTACAGTTCAAGCAAGCAAGTTTAACAGTAATGTACTTGAAGACATGGAACACAATTACAAACCTGCAACTCCCGAAGAAGGAGAGAAAGCTTCCCAGTTTTGATGGCTTTTTCAACCTTTTCTGAAAATCTAACTGATTCTCGAAGAGCAAGTATTTGTCCAGGGTAATCATGGAGTTCACCACGACCCTCCAAGCAATCGAAAAACATGGTCCCAAGAGTAGAGTGCATTTCTGCTTCAAGCTCCCGAAGCCATTTTTCAATTTCATTGTCAACTAAAACAGGTTTCTTCATAGGCACTGATTCGCCTTCGCGTGAGCAAAAATCAGTAATATTTATTCCATTATCAATTTTAAGGAATTTTGCATCTTGGATGGCTTGAAATAGTTTCCGCAGATGCGTCTGAATGATGACGGGGTTGGATGACTGTCCGAGCACCTCCAGAAGGTCATCGTCGCCAAGGAAGTAAAATCGAGGGAAAAGGTTTCGCTTCTCTTCAAGATATTCAGTCAAGGCACGCTGGCAGCGGATAAGTTGATTCTGAATGATAAAAGATACGCAGTGATGAAAAAGATTTCGCGATCCAAGGAGCACGCCGGTGATTATCAAGGTCGAATAAACACCTGCATGTTTGTGAGTACGCCCTGAAGTTCGTTCTCCCGTCGTCCCTTAGTCAAACTGACAACTCGACTGTCACACTCAATGTCAGCCATCAAGCTCCTAAAATCTGCATCAACTCGATTGAACCGTGGGGTCTCGACCTTTAAAGCACCCCCACCGAAAATAGGCTCAAGGTAAACCCAACGCCGCTGTACCATCTGAAGACTACTGAGACTGGCGTCGAGATCAACGAGCCGCCTCTCCCATGCGTCCACGCGGTCTGCAAAACTATTGAAACTGGGCGACCCTTGCAGAGAAGCGAGTAAGGTCTGCTTATCTCCGACCTAATTTACAAAAAATTACAGAGTACAATACTTTCTGAAACTTTTGAATTACACATTGGTGTAAAAAAATATTATAATTCTAACAGACTTTTGCAATGAAAGGCGAATCATGGTCAATGGTGAGGGTAGCATACTTGCGTGATAATGTCCTGCCAATCCTTAATAAGCTTTAGGTGTTTGCCCCTGCAGTCAGTATAGGGTGTGAGCAGGAAGGTCGTCCCGGCAGCCCAGACGTCGAGTTCCTGCAGCGCCTCGCACATCACCCTCTCGCTTTGAGCGCGTTGGGCAAGCGCCTTGAGGGCGCTGGCGTTGGCCACTATCCATGGAGCCGCGGAGAGGATAGTACCAAAGCTAACTTCCTCTAGGCGTATCTCGTGCGACAAACCGATGAGACGAAACAGCTCCATTCTATGGTTAAGTGACAGTGAATCACCTCGCACCCACTTTAGCAGTGGCAGCAGTTCCTAACCCGTGGAACCAGGAAGTGGTTCAGCGTTGATAGGACCATATCAATTCAGCTCAAGTATCTATATGCGTTTGAGTAGCTCTACATTTAAAGAAGTGGTGGTCTACACTCAATCCCATAGTGTAAAAATAAATTATCGAGGTCGTATGTTTGAGACTCAATGAAATATTTGGTAGCTATAGATATTTAAGTACTCAAAAAAGTAAGATTTGATACAAAGAATAAATTAATTGGAGCAGTGATTGCAATTATTTCCACAATAAACCTGATAGCTTTTAAACTCGTTCTTCTGTGAAACTAGCTTATGAACTGTTTACAAAGCATACCTTCGTTTTATGTCTTAGAAACAAAACATGAAAAATAAACTTAAAACAGTAAACACGAACTGGTATCATTGAGTTATTTCCCTTAGCAGAGCATGGAAGTAGCTGCGATTCTACTCGCCGTTCACCTAGCCACTTTTAGAACCCACGTAGACCAACTTCAATTAGAAAGTTGGACTTACCTTGTAGCGGTTTATTTCCTTTTGCAAGCTGACTGTCACAGGCGTTGCTGGGCTTTTATTGAGGTGATCAGTCCATTTTATCAGAAATTCATCGAAAACGCAAATTTGAGTTGTACTATGGGGAAGGGAAATTTGGAAATAACGTAGACAAAACAAAGTTTCCTTCACATTTTGATTTGATTTTCGGAAATAATCAATTTGGAACTATGCAAACCTAAATGCAATCCACTTTTCTTTTTCAAGATCCCGAAGCTCAAGAGTAAACTGTTCATACATAGACCACATGTTCTCCGCCTTGGCTAAACTGGAACGCAGTTCTTCGGCTAGATCGAGGTTTGGTAAAGGAGTTTTGAAATACGCACAGTCCATCCTACGAAAAAAGTGAAATGTAAATTAGAATGCACAATTCTTGAAATAGAAAGCTGGCATCAACTCACGAAATGTCATTCAAGGCTTTCTCGATTTCCGCAAAGTCCTCTTTCCAACTTTTTATGATTGTCACAGCAGCGAGGCACTGCTTTCTGTCGCCAGATGCAAGTAGATCAGTGGGGGGCTGTGTGTGCTGCCAGCGTGCGGAAAAGCGCTCTACTTGGGCCACGAAAGCTCTGACTCGAGAATCCAGGTTCGATTGCATAACCTGCATGATTTTTATCGGAAAAAAACCAACTTCGAGGTATCAAAAGAGGTGGTCTATGGAAACGCATCTTGCTATTACAGTTTAAAACACACATTCATTTGCTCATCCATCATGAGTTTGAAACTGTCCATCATGAGTTGGAATTTTGTCCACTTTGATTTGATAGTGCTAAATGAACCGACACCGCAGCCGGAGACATGACGAAGAAGCTTATCTTTCTTCTCTATGCAGGCCAGACGATCGGCTAGACGTAACTGCTCTCTGGTCAGCACGCTGTGTCCTCCCCGCGCACCTGCCATCTCTTCCAGATTTTGGGGTCGAATGGAGAGTCTCTCAAGGGCATCTGAACTCACAACCGAAAGCACGCCAAGCGATTACTTACCAAGGTGCGACTACGAACTTTCGATTATATTCGGCAAAAAAGACCCGTAAATCTAACAGACATTGAGATAACCATGCAAGCATACCTATCAATTTTGGGTTAAGGCTCACATCATATAACGAGGTAAAATGAAGAACTTGGTTTGTGTGACGGACGAAAATATGCTTACACATAAATTCATCAAAAAGCAATTATGACACTCCTTAATAGGATCACCTGTTAAGAAAGCATCAGCAGTCACAAGGTCAGCCTGTACTGAACGCCTTAAGCAATTTAGCAAGGCTTCATATAGATTCTGCAAAAGCCGTTCAATTCCATTCTTCGCAGGGACACAATTAACAATAAAGCAGTCTATTTTAGCTTCATTAGGCAGTTCCTCCACAGCGCGCCCTCGACGCTTGAGAGCCTAAAACAGTGGATTGGGAGAAACACCATAGGTTCAAGGATGCAATGTGTGTAGTCTCGAGATAAAACTTAAATTTTTACAAAAGTTAAGTATTGTCGGATTGAAATTTCTTCAAACGATCGACCGACCAGGATCAAAAAGGAAACGAGAGTAAGGATTAACCATGCGAAATAGAAGGTCTTGATGTCAATAAGGAGAAAAGAAAGTAGGCGTTACTTGCCCTAAAGTTACTTTCATAATCAGCCAGATCTCGGCATTGCACATCGACGAGGTCCTCAAGATTAACGCTACCCAGTGCAACCCAGGTGAGAAATAAATCCATTACGGCTTGCAAACGGGTAAAGAGTATTTCTGCTCTGTGGTAGCACATCCGAAATCTCGGCATATGTTTTTCGATGATGAGGGGGAAAATGCAAGAGGTATCAGTAGTGAAATCCTTATTTTGATAGTCCAAGATTCCTCTAAAGTGCAGTGGTATTCCGATAAACTTTCGGATCTCACGATAGTACTTCGCTTTTATCTGAAAAGTGTTGCGTTGAGAAATAAAAGTTGGACAGTTGGAGCAACAAAATATCAAAGCAAATTATAACACAGGGAGCTTAAAAAGCGGAAACACCACAGTGTCGCAGTGCCTTTGATCCAAAATCAGCAAGAGCGTTCAGCGAAATATACTTTCGCCAAGTTGAAAAGGTCGAAAAAAAATTGACAGCGTCACTTGATCCGATTTCAACTTTAGAGTTTGATAATGATATTTGCGCCTGTGTGACAGTGAAATAATAATTCAAGAAGCTTCCAAACACGATTTGAATGACTCCAGAGTTGAGCCACAAAGGTTCCAGAAGGCGACTTCATGTCGAAACACAACTTTTAACTCAAAATCACAATATTTTTGGAGTGAGATTGCATTCTAAAAGAGCTATTGGATACGGTGAGTTTTTGTTTGCAATCACTAAAAGCATGCGTAAAATCTAGGAAAGTTATCGGACGTCCTCCAAGAAACAAAAAGCAACTTAATTTTAAATGCAGTAAAAACATGATTCCGTTCAAAGGTCCAGCTGAAATGTAAACATGCCTCTTCGAGGGGTGGTTGAAAGGAAAGTTGGGAGTGTTGATAGATGAGTTCGATGTGCATCGCAGGCATTCGTTGGCTGAGAGTCTCAAGCCCTAGACGGTACTGTACACTAAGAGCCTTGTAGAGCTGTCGATCAAGGTGAGCAAGCCAGGGGCGCATGTGATCTGCTGGGTAGCCGCCGGTGCTGGCTGTTTCTGCTAAGCGACATCGCATCCATGCTAGCCCCTCACGCCACTTCCCTGGTTCCCGTAACAAATCCACTTCCATCAGTGCTACTACCTACAAAACACAGCTGCGTATGATATCTGCATTCTATTTCCTTTCTACCCTCTTGTCTTCCCAACGTTTTGCTACTTTTTATTAAAGAATTGTTGTCTCAGTCCGTCACCTCAGTACTTGAGTCGCTTTACGACACGTTGTCGGATTGTATCCATTCTGTAAATCGAATCAGAGCCGAAATATAACAACGCAACAAAAAAGATCTTCAAATCGGAGTTGCACATTTTTGCATTCACTCAAATGCCTTCTTGTAGTTTGGTCAAGACGACACAAGCATACCTGCAGAAGGCTGTAAACCCAAATGCGAAATACTAAAAATTAAAGTCGATGATACTGATTCAAATGCTTGAGCAAATGAGAGAAAAACAATGGTGTGATGGGCTCACTTTAGAAACTAGCTCTTGATGTACTTTTCGCAGCTGTCTGTTCTCTTCCATCAGATTTCGTGCAGTTGTCTGTAGCAGAGCAATAAAAGCAGGAATTTGTTCAGTCTGATTCCAGGTAATGCGGCATAGTTGGTCTCCCAGGCTTGAAAAGCAAACATCACCTTTGCCCTTTTGATGACCGAATTTGATAAGGTGCTCAAAAGCCAACGCAGACTTCAGCATTAGTGCTTGCTGGCACGGCAACATTTCACTATCGATGGAGTTGTAAAAGTGGGCAACCTTGAGTGATGGGAATGGAAGAAAAGTAAGATTCTTACAATTGGTGGTGGCTTGTGAATCGCAAAGCACCATTTCACCAAGTCTCTTTGGATACTTAATGCGAACAAAACGCTCTTTACATTAAGCCTTCAAGTCAACTGGATTTTGCTTGTAATTTTTCCATTGAAGATGTCGAAATCTGGCTGTGTATCCTTTGCGTTCACCGTTGCTCCCGACTATACCCCTGTTTCCGCTTAGCAGTTAAACGCGGAATGAGAATGCATACAAACTTAACATTACTAAAACGCAATACCAAATTAGCCAAAGTTTTGAAATTTTAAAGACGAACCCCATGTAAAACTCATCAATGAGTTCATCCACCCATTAGGCTTCTTTGTTTAAGTAGTCATCTGCATCAAATCACCATCTTAGATATTGACACGAATGCACAAGCAAAAATGAATAGTGACAAGTTTCGTGTAGGTTTTTTGGCATGAAAGCACTGCTTTTGTGAAGCAACAAAAACAAATTACAGTTATATCCTAGCTAATAGCCGACAGTTTTGTCAAGGTTCAAAATAGCTTTCCATTGATGAGCTGCCTCAGGTGAGGCATCAAGATAAATGGGATTGAGGAACTTACCTGCTTTAGAACGATAGCGTGCCGACAGAGAGCCTCGGCCTGAGCGGCGACCTTGCGGAGGCGCTGGGGCACAGAATAACCGAGGCCAGACAGTAGACGCACCTCGCGCTGAAGCCGCACCAACCCATCGGGGTAGCCTACGCGTAGACGTCCATCCGTTGTGGAGAGGCACAGGAGGCTACCGGAAGAATCAAATGTCAGAAACTCCTCAGCACTCCAGTCCTTCCCCGTGGCGTCAAGAGCCAACTGGGTGAGGCGACACCAGCTGTGGAACTGATCCTTACACCATTGGGATATCTCATCCTTGAGCAATTGAAGTTTCTGCTTGCATTGTGATGAATATGATGTGAATCAATGTTCGGAAGGATTTTGATAATGGAGGGTCCCGTAAGTAAGCAATCTATGTTAATGCTCGCGATAAAACAAGTCTTATTCGAAACGTCAGGGTATGTTTTAATCAGGTGCTATTATTATGCGTTTCCGTAAAAGTAATGAAAGCTAATGCTCAAATGCAAAGGTTCCTCTCGGTTGCCAACAGTTAAATTCATGCATGAAGTTCCTGTAAGGTCAAAGGCGATAAAAAGAGTACAAGTTTCTTCGTCAGATGGACAAAGCTGACGCACAATGTTGCACAAAATTAAACTTGTTGTGAATCATTTGTGTACACAAAAAAAACTAAAGATAAATACGATGAATACTGATACCTTCACCAAAAAAAGGGAGCAACTTTAGGTTTCGCGAACCAAAAGGAGCAGTGGATAGTAACCATACCTCCTTTAAACTTCCATAATTAGTGAGATCGTGGAGGATCGAGTCAGTCAGAATGAGGTGCTCTGAAACTCTGGCCTCCAATTGACCGGCCCAAACAAGTCTGTCAACCAGATCAGGAATGTTCTTTCCATGGCGCGTATGAGTTGGATCAATGAATTTATTCTCTGATGAATCCATCAGTCTAGTCGAAAATTCTTCTCGAATCTAAGGAAAGTGGAAGTTGACCCAAGAATGTGTTTGTCTCTATCATGACTTATTTCAATGTACGAATAAACGGCGTCTTTCAAGTGAATATGATCCTAAAGTTACTAAGCGCAACCCAAAAGTTTCCATAAAAAATTGTTTCAAAAAAACTCCGCATACATGTGGATAGTAGTAGGTTCAGTACGTCTTCCTTACATTGAGTTAAAACATAGTAACAAAATGGACAAAATATAGAAGGCCAAGATGGGTAGTATGGTTCAATAACCCAAAAGTGCATTGAAAAAGGTTCCGAAAATTGTCAAAATTCAGGTAGTAAATGAGCTAAATTTGCTTAAGAGGAACAAGTAAATTGAGAAAATTACAAAAAGCAATAGAAGGCTTACCGCCTTTTCGCCCACTTCAATGAAGCCAAGAAGTACTTCGCGATCCGCTTGCAGAGCTTTTGCAATCACAGGTCTTCCATAAAGCACACCGTAACGCTGAAACTCCAAAATTACTTGCGGTGCGACCATCGCGATTTCGGCAGCTAAATACGATCAACAGTTAATCCCTATACGCAAAAGGAGCCTCGTTTAAGCCACAGCAGCACATCAACTTTGACACGTACTTTTGGTTGATCGAGTAACTATAATGTCTTAGGTATGGGTTCAAACAGAAGAACTAACAAGGTCGAGGACGTAATAAAACAATGAACTTGGTAGCAAAATGCTCACAGTTTTGCACGATGGAGGATAGTGAAAAATGCAAATGGGGCACTGCCGAGACCTCCGCTACACGAATCCCTTCATTGAAGAGGCTCACCAGTGCGTTCCAGTGATCGATATTGCAAGGACTGTAGGCCAAAGGGTTGCATATAAACTGGTAAAAAGCGCTATTTTGGAGGCCAGGTTTTGTCGAAGAGGTGAGTAAACCTTTGCATAGAAATTCATCCAAGCTTTGCTGTAGTCCTAGTCGCTCACGTTCTTGAAGATCAAACACCTTCACTAATTTGCTGTAAACACACCGGATTTCTAGTACCTGGGAAAAATGCGCTTGAGCGTTGATTTTGCAGTTGCTCATACCTACGAATTAACTACCAAGGCAACATGTTCTGTGTGAACCCCTTAAAGTTAACACGCCAATAATCTTTTGAGCCGGTAGATTTGTTCAATAAAGTGAAAATAATACAAGCTGTGTGCAGCAAGTGGAAAATGATTGCCTAGGCAAGCATGTAAAGAGACACAAAACCTCGTAAGCTCATTTCAATGTCAAAGAGCAACGTGAATCAAGAATTAGTCCCAATAAGACACCACGCATTACACACCTCTTTCAGACGCCTCCTGAAGTTTTGGAGGTAGATGAACGAAGGAAGCTCCCCCTCCCATCTGTGGGAGTTCTCACAGGCCCACAAATGGCCAACGAAGAACTCGCACGATCTCTCCCACTTTTCACTTAATTGTATACCAAGATTCAGTTGCGTTTGCACCTTAGCAAAGAATGAAATTTTAGTGTAAATTGTTTGAAAGGATAAGATACATCCCTTTGTCCTTACACCCTAAAAAATGCACAACACATTTTCCTTTGAATGCAAAAAATAAAGCTGTGCGATTTTCGTTACCATACAAGTGTTAAAATTAGTAAATTAGTTTCTAAAGGGTGTAAATCATCGCAAAACTTGAACTCATATTTAACTCTTGGTGGACCATATTCAATTAAATGGTAATATTTGTCATATATTGCTCTTTCAACAGACGAGAGAGGTAAGCACCGAGCTCAGACTTTACACACTCTTGATCGCGACAAATTTAAATAAAATTTTCGTTCTCATCACTATAGTGAAATAGCAAATTGTTTCAATGAAGGTTGAAACGTATTGAACGTGCATACCGTCTGAACCACCCCAAGAGCAATCAATAGCCAACCTGTTTGAATGGCCTGCTCCAAACTGTTGAGACACCAGAACCGTCACTTGGAGCATTCAGGTACGAAACGAGAGTTCGACAAATCCAACATGTGGTTGCTTCTATGAGAGAGCGCATTCTAGACTCCGGGTAGGGTGTGAAAGCAGATTCTTCACTAAGCCGCCAGATATCATCAAGACTGTCAAGTACAGTTGATTCTAGGGTCTCTGTGAGGAGCCCAAGGAAACCAAATGGATCCGCAGACTCAGTTGACCCAGATCCTGGGTTACAATGAAGCTGGAGTCTTTGGGTAGCGTCGGCCGCAGGTTTAAGATGTCTGTAAATAGTCTCAGCAACGTGCCGATCCCTATTGAGCTTAACTTGTACTGACCTCGACTTTGCCTTCCAGAACTCAGCCTCTGAAGCTATGTCAAATATGACTGCAACGAGAAGAGCGATCAATCAACTAAAACCCAATACCACACGATTTATAGATTTGATGCCTTGAATAAATCAGTTTTCAGTTCAACCGCATCAACGGTACCAATGTGCATTAAATAAAATTGAAGTTTTATTGTAAACCCAAGTGACTGTGTAGTACCTCTAAGAAGCGGTACATTTGTTTTGTTTATTTTCTGTACAAACTAATTCGGTCGGAAGAAGTTGTAGTGGCAGGAAGCACTTAAGGCAAAGGTTTTACAAAGTAGATCGATAAAAATGTGACTCGCCATTAACTGAGCTTCCCTCATCTCCTCTAAAGGAACGCAATTTGGCGAGATTGGATAGTCCAGTGACCAAATCATGGAGCGCCGTTTGAAGGAGTGGATTTTGGTTAACAGCCTTCTCCTCATACTAGCAACGCAGTTACATTCCCAAGTTATAAGTGTATCATACCTTCATCAGCAGTGGCGCGTACAAAGTGTCGATAACGTTGTAAAAGTTCTGGGATACAGAACCTCTAACAGAGACAGTTAGGATCCCTGAGTGAATGTTCTCTTCGGTTAGTTCTTCAGGGATCGCTTTCAAAAATGCATACGCCACTTTATACTGATCCATATTTGGAACCTTCATGGAAAGCCAGAATCATAAATGGTATCCGTTTACCTCAAGCCAAAACAAGATTTCCTGTTCTTCCGTAAGCGTTACAAAAAGAAGCTTAGCATTGCTGGTATTCAAAAATGTTTCGACAATTGAGTTTGAATACACCACAGTGGTATTTGAGTCTTCCAGATTGAAACATAATTCCAGAGATTTCGCAATAAACTTCTTACGCGGATCAAGGAATCCCATTCTAAAATAAGCACAAATGTGGTGACTGCACTACATGCCAAAGTTGTTATAACATCAACAATGACACATTTCCAATGCATCACTAAAACTAATTCCAGATCACGTTCTAATCTAAAACCGCGTAAAAAAAGCAAAAGACATTTATCGATAAACAGTTTATGCTGGTTAAAGGAAAAACGGGCAAACCAATGCAAGATACCAGCTCAGGGCAAAACATACATTGATCACCGATTCCACTGGTTCCATAATGTTAGACCTCAAACCAGCTAACGGAACAAAGATCTCCAAAAGCAGTGAAGGCTAACGGTGGGGTCCTCAATGCGATTTACGAATTAGGCACACAGTTGCATGGTAAAACATTGCAGTTATATCTCTGGCAGGCATCTTAAAATCAGGATTCGATATTTTGCAGATAAAAACCATGGATATCGGCACACAACGTAAGACTTAACGACAAGAACGGAACGGCGTATCCAACGCCCCTAGGGAGCTAGTTCAGTTTGTCTCAATCGGCAAGGTTGGACCTGACAGAAATTTAATAAATTAAGAAACAATCATTAAAATGTCCTTAAGCAGAGGATTACGATAAATTTTGCGCCTTAAAGCTAGTTTAGAATTCAATCTACGGACAAGTGGATCTCAAACAAGGGAACAAAATAATTATTCGCAAAAACAAATGCGCTAATGGAGGTGAAGTAAACGGTTTTGACGCATCTTGCATTTGTGCAGTTCACAAATGCACAGCTTGACACGAAAAAAGCATGATCTGTACAATTCGATGTGCTCATCAGGACATCAGTTTCAGTAGCCACTGGTAACGACATTGGGGTGTGCACCAACTTGGATGTAATAATAGCATCAGAAAAGTTCCAAAATAGCGACGATCAGTTTGCACCAAATCAATACACTTAACTTTGAAATTATTTTTCAATTTTAGAATTACTAAATTGTACTCATTACAAATTTGTTTTACTTATCTGCGGTAATGGCGCTCAATGCAGAGTGTTGACCAACTTAGCATTGTCTGCTCCATGTCTTCATGGAGTCCGGCGTGTTCTCGGGTGTAAGATACTACGTTATAGACAGCAACGATGACAAGGTTAGTTGCAATGCAGTCATGCTCATCTGTCAGCCCTGAGTCCTGTTGTTAGTTGCGTTTTTTTAACATTACTCTGGTGTATTTACTTTATTAGCAGAAGTGAATTCCTGGTACTTTTATGGGTTTTGTCGTCGCTCTTTTTTGGTCTGTTGTCCATTTTGTTACTGTTTACAAGTTATTTTCAATATATTGTACCGCTTTGTCTCCTTGCATCTTCTTTCCTACGGTTCTAATATTCTCTAGGTGTGTACGAATCTTGTAATAAGTCCTTACATTTTCCTACTTATTATCAATTCATTCACCGACATTCAGTAGACCTTATTGTCTCACGACCTGCATTCTCAATTCGGTGTTTCATTGTAACGTTTACGTCTTCATACTTAGACATAGGTAACGACTTCGAAACTCCTGTCATGCATGATTTGGTTACGTACGAGTTGATGTGCTTTACATTTTCCCTTTAACAGAAGGATTTGCTTTGCCTAGATTGTCTGCGATTTAAAGGCTCTTGGTGCATTGAAGCATCCTATCCTTTCGGATAGTGTCAAGTTTGCAATCAGCGATAACGGAGAAGCGGGTGAAGTTGGCGAGGCTGAGGACCTTTACGCTGTTCCTGTTGTGACTGTCAGTTTTGGTTTTAAAATTATTGGTTGTTTAGTCCCAATGGGTTCGATACTCCATCTCGAGAAACTGCTTTCTGCCGTAGGTCATTGGAGTGTGTTTTTATTGTTCTCTTAGGTTTTCGCCCTTTCATCCTAATTTTCCTAAAATCTTTAAAGGTGTTACGGCTGTTATCTCAGAGGTATGCACTTTATTCTTGTAACTTTTCGTAATGGACATAGATCTCACTTAAGGATGTTGTGACATTGACATCTCATCTTATCATTCGTGGAGCTGATTGCCGAACGTCTGTTGATGCAAAAACAACTCATCTTATTATAGGGCGAGCATCAGGCGTTGGTTGTGATATGGCTAATAACACTTTTTAGTTCTTTTATGAGCGTTGCAAAACGCACTTTCCTAATGTCAGGATGGTGTCCCCTGATTGGGTTGTCGAATGTGTAAAGGCACAGGAACTGCTCGATTTCGAAAAATACAACGTTGAGCTTCTGATGAAGCCTGCTCTTCCAAAGCCCCCGATTATGCCAAAGCCACCAGTATCCTCTTTTCAGTTCGTTGAACAGCCCTCACAGAGTCTGGCTTCGCAGATAGGAGGAGTTGGAACATCAGTCGTAAGTCTGCATCCCTCGAACGAACCAACAGTTTTGCCATGAATTTGCCGGTTCACGTTAGTGTAAAGCAATGATAGACCTAGCTCTAATTCCATTCCCAATGGTAGGAATACTATCACATTACTCCTGAAGCAGTTCGCCATGTTTTCGGCATCCAGGTATGTATGCTGATCTCTGCTTTCTTCGTTGTATCACGTCTGGAATGTCCCCTATAAATTTGTTCAAGAAAGTTAGTTACTATGACTAAAATTCTCTTTTTTTAGTCTGCAATAAATGCTTCGTTAGAAAACGCCTCCGGTAATTTGGCCTCTCGAATACTGTCAACAAATTCTGGTATATCCATGTGACTATTCGATTGTGTATGACCAGATGCTTATTTCATCTTATCTGCCATTGCTATTAATTTCTTAAGGCTTGGTCGGATTTACGTCTGGCACTATGCCTGTTGCCTCACAGCCTCCAGTGGCAACCACTTTTCAGCAGCAACTTCATCATCCCCCCGATCCGAAACCGGCTAAAAGTTCTGGCAAAAGCAAAGTCAATAAACATCCCAGCGAGCAGGGCTTGAATGAAGAGCAGAAGCATGCTATTGTCATGCAAAATGTTAAGAATATTCTCAGTCAACAGGCTAATTGGAATAAGGTAAGTTGCAATTGCATTGCATTGTATGTTCAAAATGCAAATACTGGTCATTCATACCACTAATGCGAATCTTCTTTTCTACACGTGCAGGACAACTCCCAAAATCGTAGCGAAAGCGGACAAATGCCGGGCGCTTTCCTCCCCACGGGTGCTACTCCCATAGCTACTGGTGGAACACAGAGGAAGCCCAAATCTCCAAAATCACCGGCTAATCGTGGTGCTGGTCAGGCTGCCGGTGCAGGGAGTGGCACCTCCGTATCGAAGATGAGCGCCGGAGGTCAGAAGACTCCTAAAGGCAGTATAAAACGCACCGAGCTGGCAGAGATTGCGGTAGCACCAGTAGCCTCGCTTGGCCAGTCACAGCAATTCACAACGGTGACAGTAGATCCCTCCGGAGGGGCAACCCAGCTCTTCCCACACTCTACCACAGCGACCGTTTTAGTCGCCACAGCCAATCCCGGAGTAGCTCAAATGACTGGCGCACCGCGAATGTCTTCCACCTCACAGCAAAATGGGGCTATTCAGCAGACTCCTACCTTCCTGCTTCAGCAGCAACAGCATCAACAATATCATCAGCAGGCTCTAATAGCCGCTCAGAGTAAGCTAAAACAAACCGTTTGTATTTTTTAACTTGATGCATTTGTTTTGTGATGTGATTCTTAAGTCTTTTTGTTTTCAGGCCAGTTTCAAAAGGGGAGGATGGCCTCCGTTGGAACGCCTCAGCAAGTACAGGTATCTCCATTGCTGTTGCAGGGTGCACAGGCTGCACCCGGCCAGCCCAGAACAGCCACTTTTATCGTTCGAGCACCTTCAGCTCCAGATCTTCAATTGGGACAAACTGTAACTACAGCGGAGAACGTTCAGGCTCTTTTAGAGAGCTCTACGAGCAAGGAAGGCTTGCCTCCCACTGGTACACAGCAAGTGCTTTTGCAACCAGGCCAACCATCACAGCAGCAGCAGTCGCAGCACCTCATTCAATTGCAGCATCAGCAGCAGCAACAACAGCAGAAACGTGTTCCTTCACCCTCAGGCAGTGGTAGTGTGCTTTCCCCTGTTTTTATTCAGGGTAGACAGCCCCAACCGCAGCAATACAAGCAGACACCGGGGCAAATGCAGATCCAAGTCACAGGGTTGCAAACCCAGCAACAGCAGCAACAGCAGCAACAACCCACCATTAGGCCTCAGCCACCGCGTACAGCTCAGACTGCAAGACAGGCATTACCTCCCAATCATCAAGGCCAACAACAGTATACCCAACTGGCCCAGCAAGTGAAAACGAATCCACAACAGCACTCTCATCAGCTAGGGCAGCAGCAGATAATTATTCAGACATCAGTCGGGGTACAGCAGGTTGTAACTGCTCAAGATCTCACTGTAAGTATTTGGTTGTTGTTAGATATTTACCCTCATTTATCGGTGCTTATGCTTTTGTTGGGGCCAATTTTCCCTCAGAATGCTCAATACATCGGAGCCAGTGGAGCTCAGATGCGAGCAGTTGCAAGCTCTTGTTCCATGGCCCAATGTGCATCACCTCGTCCTCCAGGTATTGTTGGGTCGCCTGTTTACACCCAGGCACAGCAAGCCTTGACAAGCAATGGGTCGGCCTCTTCCATTCTCTATCACAGTTCTTCAACTCAAGCAACTGCTGGAGTTTCTGCAGATCCTGGCTCTGCCAGTGGTGGCCAACAAGAACGCGTCGCATGTATGAAATGGAATTTTCACTTATTATTGATGCTCAGGTTTTTCTCAAAGCGTTGTCGTTTGCTTGACTTTGCTCTATGCTAATTCCCTCTTACAATCAAGCTTCCTTGTCGATTTTCAAGATTAGCGTGAGTTCTGTCAATTTGTTGGAACATAGTGATACTAGTTCTTAGGACAAATTTTATTCCATGGCAAAAATGGATAGTAGCAAACAGAATTGTCGTTGTTTGAGTAGAATAATACGAAATTGTATCTGGATCCTCTTATGTGCTCACTACAGACATAGCTTCCATACAACAACACCATCAGACACAGCCTGTTGGTGGAAGGCTTCAGCCAGCAGTTGTGCAGGGTCAGCAAATACCACAGCAGCAGGCAATGATCGGTGTATCCGCTGCAAGACCCATAACGAGTGCAGCAGGTGCTCAAGCATCAATTATCCAGACCCAGCAGCCTCAGCAAGCAGTGTCAGTTCAACAAGGACAATTTTATAGTCAAGCACAATCTCAGACGCAACCACAGCAGCAGCAGCAACACCGAATTATCGTACAGTCCCCTCATGCGTCGGCTTCAGCCCAGGTTACTTCAACTCAGCAGCATTGTATGGTCACACAAAGTGGGTGGATATGCTATTTTATTTAGTTGTATCAAAATATGCTAAATGCTGAGTAGAATAAATGCTAGTAATGAAATCAATGGGCCTGCAAATATTGGCCCTTTGTTATAAATTCTTAGGACTTTCAGCCAAAATTGAACCGCTGCTTTTACAGACAGTTGACTGCAATTATCAGATCGTCCTTCAGTATCATTTAACCAAACAGTCAATTGATTCCTATCAAATACTGTTTGTCCTTATCTCCAGTTAGATTTGAGTTATCTGCTGCCTTTACTTTTGCTTTCATTTTGTGTGAGGATGTTTGTGACTGATAAATATTGTTTTCTTGATCTATCCATGAGACATTGCTTATAGGCCAAATTCAAAGTCAAATTCCTCAGGGAGGTGGCAATTTCATTCAACAGAGGCAGGTGTTACCACAGCCTCAGCCTCATCAGGTGTCTTCTTCAGGCCATCCGGCGCAGGGCACCCATGCCGCCGTTGCTCAGCCATTGGGTACCTGTGCCCGCGCCCCGCTGAATGCAACCTCGCAAATCCGACATATGATGGCTGCTGCGGCGGTGCAGCAGCGTCACGTGGTGCCTCCTTCCTCTCATTACCGAAGTGGGGGCGTGTTGCCTACTCGGCCCTCTGCTGCGGCTGCCGGCGGCGCCTATACACCCCCTGTTCTGCGAACCCCACAGCAGCAGCAGCAACTGAATGCTGCTGCGATTGCCACTGCCACGGGCGTGCAGCAGCCAGTTGCTGTACAGCAGTCTGTTCCCTCGATCCCTCCTGCCTTCCAACTCCCTGCCTTTCGCGGACACGTGGGTTACTCCTGTCCTGCAGCTGCTCAGGATTGCCTCATTGGCTGTGTTATGCTTATAATTGGATACCAATCCTTTGGTGAGGCTCGTAAATCCCTCTGGAAAAAAATTATCCGCTCATATGGTGCGGAAGTTGTAACAACTTATGATCCTGCTCGTGTTACGCACATCATTATGGATTGGACACTGGGAGACCCAGATCTTTACCATCAGGTACTTATGAACATCTTCTATTGGGGCTAATTTCCACCTTGAAGTTCCATTTGCTGAAAGTTTAGTAAAAATCGTTTGTCTTTCTAGTATGAGTTTGAATTCAAGAACCCGTTTAAACTCAATGTGATCACAACTACTGTTTGACCAGGTGTTATTTTAGTTACCGACTTGTCCATTCACCCATGTAATGATGACATACTTTATTGACAAAACCAGTGTAGTCTAAACTTCCAGCTGATGCTGCGCACTTTTTGTTGTTACGTCTTATTGATTGCTAGTTGAATTTGTACTGTGTTTCGAATAGGATCTCATTGCTCCCATTGTCACCTATCTTTTATTTCTCCTATGGCATTGGCTTTTTTTCGCCCAACTTTTCGCTGCCGTAATTCTCCGGACCCAGGTCACCTGTCTTGCTCTGTAGGAATTGAGCTAGAAACTGTCATAGTCGCGATTGGCAACCCCACAAATATCGTGCTTCGATTGCTAGATAGGTGTAAATCGTATTCAAAATCGTTACAAGTATTTGATGAACCCCTTCTTGTCACCGAATTTGAGCGTTTTCATTATAGCAGTGGTTTTGAGTCGTCTCCCAGTCTCGTAGATACGGCCAGCACAGAAATATCCGTAAAGAACGCTTCCTCCAATTCTTTTTCGTCCTTCACATTGGGAGATAAAGTCTTGAACCTTTGTGGGACAGTAAAAAACGCCCTTATTCGCGAAAATATCGAGTCTCCCGAGCTGCTGTACCGAACTGATCATGAAATCGTTCGACGCTTTTTGGTTCAAGATCTGTACGGTCTGTCAGAACAGATGCGGCAAGGGAGGCTGGTCACCACATTGCTCCGTTACAAGGGAACCAGAGTCGAATTACTGGCCTGCTGTCAAGAAAATAGTCCTTGGGTGCCTTGCTATTTTCTCAGTCTTCATGCTCGTTCATGGGGTCAAATGTACCAACTCGTTCGCTATCTTGATCAGATGTACCCCACATGGAAACTGATGTCCCAGTTGACTCATAAGAAATAATTCACCTTGTTTTTCTGTTACTTGTAGTGCTAATTAACTTTTTGCGCATAGTTTTACTTCTTGCGGTGGTTTTTCTTCGTAATATGGGTCGGCTTTTCAGAAGCACACTTTCGAGTTTCAGTTGTGTTCAAATCTCTACTAAGTGTAGATTTGGTGAAAGCAAGCTAATGATTAAAGAGGTATTTATTTGGCAACCATTTGTCGTCAAGTAATTTGTTTTTAAGTTCATTTTTTTAGTAAGGGTCATTGTAAACAGCCAGTAGATTCTATGGTTTTACTAGTAGTCATTTGGACTACTTGTGGATACATGAAATGATCCCGACTTTCCCAGGCCATTCGTGATCGGAAACGACTTGTGACAATCTACTGGCTGAATGACATCTTAGCCAAGGGTAAAATGGTCCCGCCCTACGAGATTATTCATCTTCCCTCTACTTTCGCTCCGAGTGTTACTTTCTCATTCATCCGATCTCAGGTTAGCCATCTTCGCATTACACATTGTAGAGTTTTAGCTTTTTTCAATAAATTTAAGTTTCGTCAAAGCAAGGATTTGGGCTCATTAAGAGCAACGCTACCTTTATTTTAGCTCCTTTTTTTGTTACTTTATTGTCCTTTTCTTACCACAATTGAGTAGTTTTGGCAAGACTTCCGGAAAGACTGTTTTATTATATCATTAAATGGCTCTTGAATGGTAGGACCACGTTTATCATGGAAACTAGTGATAATATTCCAAAATTGCATGGATAAGTGTACAAAGGCTAAGATGGTAAGAATGTGTTTTAAACTTGTTATTTGTTTTCTCCACAGGTAATATCCATCACCGGATTTGATGGCATAGAAAGAGTAAAGGTTGAGACCATAATCAAGCAAATAGGCGCTTCTTTTACGGATTACCTCGATCAAATGAATACTATTCTGATTTGTAAACGGTCAGTTTTGCTAAGTTCAGTTATGCTGATCTCTTTATTCAAACTTAATTCACCTTATGATTGTTAAATGCTCAAGTCTTTACAGGTAAGAATCTTCGAAGTCTTGAATGGCTTCTCTTCGTTAAATTCTTGGAGATGATACGATGTTCACTGCTTTGGTAATTCTTTCTAGACTATAAAACGCAGTTGTCCTCATCATTGGTTAGTTTAGTGATTAGTGAATTGCCAATGCCTTTGTGTTCACATCATTGCTACAGTTTTAGTTTTCAAAACGACAAATGTACTAGATATTTACTACGATATTGTCCATTCGGTTTTGAACTTTGGTTTGGACATCGAAATTCCATTGATTTACGAGTCTCATTTACTTAATCAATCTCAAAACAGACCACAAGGCAGGAAATACGAAATGGCAACAGTTTGGGGTATCCCATGTGTGAACCTTCGATGGTTACAGGACGTTTACCTGGGCGATGTGTCAGCTATGGCGGCAGACATTTCTCACAAGTACCTCTGCTTCGACGCCTCCGATGCCTCCATTGCTTTGGAGACGCGAACTCCACGTGTACAGGAGATCATGGGTTTGTTCAGTTTCTCATTCTCCATTGAAACTGTTTGAGCGAACGGCTGAAACGTGACCACGAACATTGTCACCCTTCTGGACCGTTTTAATGCAGTTTAGGTTTGAAATCTTATTCCAAAAAATACTGCTTTCGCATGGACTTGGTTCTCTCATATCGGCTTTGTAGTTGTTGGATCGAATTGTTTTGCGTGTAGCTCATTATTCATTGAGCTCCTCACTTTTACAGGATGCTCTGGCGCTCATGCTTGCTGACTTCATCTCACAAATTTGTTGTACATGAGTCATGCTGAAATGCTGTCTTTTAAAACAAGACATAATTTTATCTGCGTTTTAGTTGGCTGGCAGCATGGCATTTCCATTACCTCTGAATCTTGGGAGGTAAATTATTCCATTATCGTCTGTGAATTTTATTATGTTTGCCGATTTACTAATGCCATTTTGGCTCACACTTGAAGTATAGCTAAGTAGTTGCCAAGGCTGTCCCACTTCCTTGCATATTTGTGCCAACTGATGACTTCATTGCCATAATAAGGGAAGCTTCGGAGACTCCTACAAACGCATGCGTTGATATGCTGCAAAATTTCCTTGGTTTGCCTGTCAAAAGCTTGCTACGACTTATTTTTGGTCATAACATTATTTAGTTACGCGGTCCTCTAAATTACCAAATTTGTTGAACTCCACAACTTATTTCATTATCAAATAGTGTTATCACGCGACATTGCTCGAAAATAATTTTTCTTTTGTAAGACTACAACTTCGAAGGCAGTGGATATGCGCTTTATTTTCTTATAATGATTTTGTCTGCCATGTATGTAACGACCTTAACTGTTCTATTAATGGTTGCTCTTGAAGGGATCTGAAACCAACCAATTGTCTTGCGCGGCAGGTTGATGTTTATTGGCCTATCGTCTGAATGTGACATTTTACCACGAGCCTGCGAATTTCGGTTCAGTTATATTCACCATATTTAGCATTTGGCGAAACTGCGAAGTCAGTTGCGACAGGAGGAGGCGGAGGAAGAAGCGGCTGCTGCCCTGAGGCGTCAGCAGCAGGCGGAAGATGGAGAGGGCAGCATTGAGAGTGAGGACGAGAAAAGGTCAGTTAGCACCAGTCAACCTGTGTTTTGAAGGTTCGCCTGAAATTGAGTTATTACACCGACCTCCATGGTAATAAGTAACACTGTCATATTGGCTCTTGTTTTGCAATTGTTTAAAGCGGTAAGTTTCAAAGTTACTGCACAAATCCTCTTGAAATTTTAAAGTTTTGAGTATATAAGGCAGCAAGCGGTCATGCTTTACTTACTTTGGTGTTAATTAAAGCAATTTTCATGGGCTTGCCTCATTGGCGATATCCAATGTTTACATGGTGCTTAACTCTTCTACCAGCATAGCATAAGTACTGCATCTTCCAAACAGGTGCACTTTGCCGAGCCTGACGGCAGAGGAAGTTGATCGCGCCAAAACGGGTATGCTGCGAGAGACTCTGCTTCGTGAAGAAAGTGAAAGAGTATCAGCTCATCGCGCCACTGCTGCTAATGCAGTGCAGCAACTTTCTACCTCCTCTGCCTATCCGATACTCTACCCTGTTCCCTCCACATCTCAATGTCCTGCAGGTTCCCCTCTCCCTATGAATCATCAGCTTTCTACGTCAGCACCACTCTCCGCGGGTTCTCTTCCACTCGTCGCTACGTCCACGTCGCATACGCTAACACCGCCACCACTACCATCACAATCGTCATCTACTGCCATGATGGGAATCAAAATAGAGGTAATTAACGTGCTTCTATGTGCGTTCGAGCTAATTCGAGATTGTACATTTCCTGAATCTTAACATGTCCTTTTTACCACTTCTGTTGTTTGTTGTAACTGTCTCAGACTATCCACGGAATTTACGGTATTTAGCTGTGCCTGTTGTTCAAAATATCTGTATTTTTTTATTTAAGCTATTCGTAGAAGTTATGTGCTTTTGTTGCATATTCTTAATGTTTATTCATTAGTACTCTTTATTGTGACAAAGATGTACTGGTTTGAAATCTTTTCTTTGTTCGGTTGTCTAGGTAACACCATCAGTATCGGATACCCATTTCGAAGCGGAGTCTCATATTTCGAAGCGCTCACACAGTCCGTCAACGGATAGTTATGCTTCACCACCTCAGAAACGGCAGGCAAACGATCCACCGAGGTCTGTCTCTCCCCACCGCGTTACCGCTTCGCCGGACACTACCCCACGACCCGCATCAGTAGGTCCAATGTTAGGGCCAACGTCTCAGCGGCTTAAGGCCGAATCAGCACCGGATGTACCAGCCTCCAGAATACCTGAAGCTCTCTCCTTCGCCTCTGCTGCTGCCTTGCCTCTTCCGAATCAGGAGGCTGGTATCAAGCTCACAGCCCCTCTGCTGAACCCCCTGAAACCACCGTCCCCACCGCCCTCTCAAAAACCTTTGACACCATCGCCGATGGTTGAATCTAAGGCAGACGTCGAAATCGACACGGAAGTGAGGTTAATCTTCACGGGCGTGGACATGGAGACCCGTCTAGCCATCATGCAGCTTCTAGCCCAGATGCCTAAGACTGGTATTGCACCACATCGCCTAGTGGAGAATGTGAGCGAAGCCACCCATGTAATCACCGAGCGCCTTACTCGAACACCCAAAATCTACATGGCGGTCGCTTTGGGATGCCCCATCGTCACTGCAAAGTGGGTTCAGGCCTGTCTCGTTCGAGGTGACTGGCTGGGTGAGAATGCAATATCTGTTGCTCCTAGTCCTCGTGCTTGATACTTTTCTACCATTTCACTAGTTTAATTAACTGTAAACTTATCATTTGTACGCATTACTTTCTACTGTATTAAAGGCATTCGCTTGCATTAAATTTTCTAATCATATTATTCAGTTTACATTTTGTAAGTTTTGCCATTTTTGCACACATCTCGATCCAGTTTTCCATAAGATTTGGACCCTGATACGAGTAATCATCGCTTATTTCCAGGTCAACGAACTAGCACCATTCGAGTAATATTTTTTGCCTCTTCGTTTTGCTCGATTGCAGAGTTTGACCCGCTCATTATTATAGTCAGTATTTTGGAAATTATAGACATTTTAGTCATATTTCGTGGAGTTTTCTCCAATGATGAACATTAGTAGAAGGATTGTTTAGCTGATTTAATTCTTCCTCCTTCTTTACATTGTTAAGCTCCATGACATTTGCTTGTCTTACTGGTAAATATCCCTTTGACCCACCTTTTCATAAGATTTTTTATTCAAATACATTTTTACCGCTTCCCATTATCATGCCCAAACTCTTTGTGACAAAAGCGGAAGTCGACTGGCTTATTGAGGACCCCGAAGCGGAAGAAAATCTCGGCTTTCGACTGGCTACCTCCTTCCGCATCGCCCACGAACGACGACTGTTGGATGAGCCGGGCCTGTTTGCTGATCTAGAATTTTGGTTTTCCCCAATGGCGCATCATCGCGAGGTCTGCGAGCAACTTGTACGAGCCTGTGGCGGTCGAATTCGTGAACGTCGTCCCACGCAGAAAATGGCCCTCCTGCCCACTCCGCGGCAGATTATCATTTGCCACGAGGAGGATTCTCATGTGGCCTCTTACCTCATGCGTACCAAAACAGGCAATCGAGGTGGGTTCACTATGGTGTTGGTTTTCATATTTAGTGCCGTCGTTTAATTGAGAAAGCACATTTTTATCCAAATTTAACTAGCGGTTCACCACGAAGAATTCATCTTGAGCGGCGTGCTACGACAGGAACTCGACTTTGACTCTTATCAAATCCAGTTGGTGAGCATACAATTCGCCGAGTTGCAGGCGGCCATCTCAGTGGCCAACAATAGCGCCCCAGCCCCTGTACGTACTGCCGTTTCTCGCAATCAGCCTGAAGTTCCGGTGGCGCCTTCTCAATCGGCTGTCTACATGCGTCCTCCGCCCCCGCCTCCACCTGCACCATCCTGCGTGCTTCTTGTTTCTGGTGCAGAAAATCAGCAGTCTTCGGTAATGTACTACATCTCATCCGGCTCCACTATCTCCTCAGCCTCTCGGGCACGAGTGTCTGCTTCTGCCTCCTCTGTGATTCCTATGGCCGCAACTGCTGTTACCACTGCTGTGGCTGGTGTCACTGCGTCGTCAGGAGGTCAAGAGGAGCCCTTGACACTGCATCTACCTGAGGGCGTCTCAGCGGTAGTGGTGACGGGCAGTGATACTGGAGTCCATGTCGGCGATGACGGTCTCAACGCAGCACGAGTCGCTGCTGCCGACGCACACGTCGTCGCCTCAGCCACCGCTGCTCTCACCACGACAAACAATAACTCATCGTTAATCGCTGACAGCGGAGCCCTTGTAACTGCTGCTGTTGCCCTTGGTCGGAGTCAAGCGAACTGTACTTCGCATCACTTACCGCCACAGCATCAAAACCCACCACCCCAACCTCCTCCCTCGGGCATGGTCAGTTCTTCCATTGGGCTTACATTTGCCTTCAATCATTCATTCGGCAACTTGTTGCCTCTGGAAGTAGTTTAAATCGTGATGCTTCTGAATTCTAAACTGATGAGCTTCCCAAAAGTACATCTCAGTTGTATTTTCTCAGTTTTAGGTATGAATATTTACTAGCAAGCGTCGCCGGCCGAAAAAAATCTCACATTATGTGCCATCTCGTCCCTCTCATCAGACTAAATTTTGTATTCTAATTTTGTGCTTTTTTAATGTAAACTTGTTCCCACGGGCAATCGCAATGCGGCCGCTCGCCCTTGTACCTATAGTGATGGTCTTCTATGATCGTGATAGTTGTTTTGAGATTTATTAACCGGCTAACCTCATAATTATAAGGCCTTCATAGATGTTGGTTAAAGCTGTGTAATCGAATATAAGAAATGCGTGGAACTGGTCCCAACTTACGAAGTGTATTTGAATAAAGTCGCTCACCGGTTGCTCTACAAAAAAGCATGACAACTAAAGTCATCCCTTCGCTCACTTTTTAAAATACGAATAATTTTCAAAATTATTTTTCTTTGTGATACAAATATTGTCTCGAAGTCTAAGGCCTGTACTATTAACAATCCCTCCAACCAGTTTTCGGATTATCAATTAGGAAATTTGCAAGAACATTGTAGTCACCACACGCATAAATCAAACTAATTTGAACTTGTACTGAAACATGAGGTTTTTTACAATAAGCCACCTCTGATGTTCGGGGATTTGAGCGATTTTTCGGCACCCGTCTTTAAAGTGCTTGAATTAAATAGTTTCACATTCCTAAGATACTGTAAAAGCCATAATGATGATGCTCATAAACAAAAATAAGGACATTAAAGATGGTAAGTTGAATTTAGGTCAGGATAATCATTAAAAGTTGTCCAAAAAAAAATTTAAGAAAGGTGATCAGAAATCAAGGCAGTAGAGGGGATGCGTCTCTCGGTGCCACGCATCGATCCACGAGGCAACGTGATCGGCAATCAGAGCTCGAGCCGCGCGCACTTCTGCAGTGTCGTTGGGATGACTTCCGCGCAGATCAAGATGGTGTGCACCTGAGGCGATGCGGATCACCGTTGCGCCTGGCACCAATTCTCCCTCCAACACCCCAAACGCCGACCAAGGGTCAAGGTCTCCATTACTGCGACAAAAAGGCGTGGATGAAAGTGTCGTGAGAGTTCCATAGGTTGAGAACATCAAGAGGTACACAAATGGCGTGTGCGCAGGGTTCTTCCCACTTTTGGCGTCTTATGCAATTGTCTTTGGTCATATGCGCAAGAAAAGGGGAGGGGAGGTAGCTTATTGAAGGAGTGACGATCAAGGAATGGATTTTACTTAACACCGATGGTAGATACAACTTGCAACCGGCGGGTTAATATGCGCGTAGATGTAGGTTTTGAGACGTGTATGTAAGCAATTCCACGAAAGTAATTCAAACGACATGAGTATATAACAAGTGGAGTGACAAACCTGAAGATTAGTCTAGTGACGGTGTTCAGATTCCGTGCCCACCACTGTACGCCGGCCCAACTCATGCGCGGTCTCACACCAAACCTCCTTTGACAATCGTTGGAAAATTCAATCGGGTCCCATGAGTACGGCTTGAACATGTCGAGTTTACCGTCAGAACATAATGGGTTTGTCATTTCCATACATGACTGCAAATATGACCAAGAGATGGGTAATATTTGGGTTATGACTTAGGTATAGTCGTGTAGCTACGGCAAGAAGGTTCGCATGTATAGGCAAAATTGAGTGCGTAAACGCTACGAATTTGACTTTGCTAATTTAATGAAACTAATGCTCCAACATAAGGTTCTATGAAATTAATTTACAATGAGGCTCAAATCTTAGTTGTGGAGTTTGAACGAATTCGTCGTGAAGCTTTATGCATGTTGCACCAATCCTGGTGAGATGTGCTGGTGGAACATTGAAGTACCTGGAGTTCCCATCCATTGGCGTCTAGGTTAGTGGCGTTATCATCAAAAGATAGGCAATTATCTTCCTGTTGATAATTGTAGATGGAAAAGAAGGCACATGCAAATTTCTCCACCTGTGGTGCCATCCTTCCCTTGGGCTGGCAGTCCACCATAGCCTTGCAAAATTCCTAAAAATTATATAACTGTAAATCCATAATAGTGTGCGCAATGAGTCCATACTGATGTACTCTGGTTTCGACGGTCTTAAACGTTTGCATAATTCGTAAGTCCGAACAGTACAGTGAGTAGGCTAGGTGTTTACCTCAATTTCATGTCACATAAAGTTAAAGCTATGCTGAATACGTGATTTCAAGCTACCATTTTTATGAGCATACTGTGGTTACTACCTGATTGTGACTGGGGGGTCGTGATTTAGCTCATCATAAGCTATCACCTGCTTGGTATGACCGTCATTAATAACACCAAACAGATTAAATCAAACGTTTTTTTATATAGAACTCAAAAACTCAAAATGCTCACCTTCACAGGCCATGCAGGTAGATTTCCAAGAAAAGAAGCACTATAGGGGTAGTTTGCCATTGCCAGAGTAACTAAATAATCTTTTGTAAACTCGTAAACAAAGTCACCGTTTGGAAATGGTCTACATGTTTTAAAAAGATGCGACAGACGAGCCAAACCACCTGCTAGTAAAGAAAACCAATCAAATACGGAAAATCACAGCTATGACTTACGCATTGCAATAATGTCGTCCATGAGTGACCAAACCGCACGAATAGCCGAGACACAAGTTTCACCTCCAGCCTGCCTGTAAGCCCTTGTAGCGACCCGATAAAAGCCATAGCAATCAGCCATTCCAGGAAATAACCATATGGGTGCAGATGATGCCAAACCTCTGCGATGAATAAAATAGTGCTTGCAAAAATTTGTTAACCAACCGTCAAGATAGGTGATACATGCAGTTTCGGTAAAGATAAGACCTACCCCGCAACGATATTGGGATAAGCCTGACGAAACCAAGCTGTCAACATGCCTCCATATGAGCCACCAAATGAAATTACTGGAGAGTCGGCAAACTGGCGATTCGCACATTTGAAGTCAGACACAAATTTTGCATAATCCGCCAGCGCTTGCTCCGCAGTCAGATAACCAAAATGATTGCGATCCTTATAAGAGAGGACTAAAGATAAGTGAAGAGTAACAATGACAGAGAGCCGTTATATCAGTTGGAGTTTATGTGAGCTAGGACTGATAATACAATAGACATGCCAAAAGTGCATATTTACATGGCTCGCCAGAGGTAGTTCAAATATGGTGAATAAAAACGGCAGCTAACGGTTACGTGAATCACCAGTAAGAATAAATTAGAAAAACCGACAATCTCAAATGCATTACCATGTCCAGATTAAAATGTGATATAGCTACGAATGCACTATGGGAAACATACCGAAAAGGAGCGACAACCGAACGGTAGCGATGTGCCATAATAACGATGTTCAGCAAAGATAACAGCTCCAGACATTTTCTTGGCTAGCTCAAACATGAACCCCTAAAATAGAATGCAACAATCGACCAACTGTATTCTGTGCAAAAAGCTCAATTGAACCCTCATTCCCGGTATAGAACAAAATAGGACCTCCAGGTTTCCAATCCACCGTCGATATCAAATACGTTAAGTTAAATTCTTGGGAAAGTGCAAAAGAAAAGTGGTCGACCTTAAAGATTCGTAATTAACCATAGTAGGTACAAATTCAGTAAAATTTTTTCTTTCGTACGAATATATATTATGTACGTTCTTCCGCGGGACCACTCGATGGAATAAAATGGCAGCAGACGCATGGGCACATAGTAACACTACGCCCACGCAGCACCAAAGGCAAGATGACCCCATTACCAATTGCCCTCAATCCCACGGCTACAACAATATCAGGCAAATTAGAAATTAAAACAAAATAAAAAACTTCATTAATGTATAAGCTTAAAATGCAAATCAGACTTTTAAAACTCTAACGTCAGGTTATGCTGGTTTATTTATTCATAAAATTAGGCAAGAATGTAAGTTAAATGAATATGGATTGTACGACTATTAATTACAGAGATGCTAGTGTATAACTTGCATTGAGGTTGTTAGAGTACAGCATTAGATGCTATATAAAACCTTGTTTGCTTGACTACTGCCATTTCGTAAGCTTGCTTTAGTGATCATCTGGACTTTGTCGGGTGTACATGCTTCAGGATATGTCAAAAAGCCGAGCGCTGTTTCATTAAAAAATATGCTGGCCGATGTAGCGTTTCGAGACCTCCTAGCCGGAATAAGATTTCAGTAAGTGCAGCTGGACACATATATTATGAGGACAGCGGGACAACTGGCCCAGGACATGGCCCGAAGACCAACCCACTTGTACAATGGCCACACAAATCCTACAGTGACCGCCAAACGTCATGTGGTCACATAAACAATGTATTACACTGTCCCTCTTGTCTTTTGAGCGACGTCCCCGGCGATCCCTTGGTACACCTCTCGCGCCAGCCATCACAACATATTCGGTACTGCATGAAAGCACCCACGAGCCAAACGCGACGGTCTACAGACAGCATGAGACTGCTGAACCGTGCTTGTTCTCCTCGGCAGCTTTAACCGCATCTGGCGTTACGTTCGGTCTGGCATCCAGATTCAGGGCCGCATACATCTGTTGACCGTCAATTGCTTCCAGGAATAGACGTGGAACTCTGGCCTAATACACACATGTTACAGGGAAAACAGGATGAGCCACTGTCCTGTAATGCAAGGAGAACCGTAGTGTCATTTCTAACAGCTATACACGGATTTTGTAGGAGAAATTCCAACACGAAACTTTTCCAGAAGGTTCACGGTGGTGTCGCTTCAGTTGTTACTAGCTTGTCTGTGGAACATGGGAATAAGGTGGAGCCAAATACAGACGTCAGTCTCGACCCTTTCGTTGTGAAGTATTCAGGGATCCTCCGTCCCTAAGGTAAATATGCCTCCTTCAAGTCACATCCCTTTTCGCCTGTGTCTTTACCTATTGCCCTTCGACAGAGTCCGACTTCCTTTTACGCATGCATAGCTCATGATTTCCAATGCAAAACACCAAAATGCGCTTGTTAATCTTGGGTTTCTTCACTATAAAGAAGAACCCCTTCGCAGTCTTGTCTGCTGGTTGGATCATAAACCTCTTGTCGTGAAAAGAGGGGTTTCGAGTTTCCGGCCATGGGAACCCGATTCTGGAGTCCAACAGATTATCGGGCTCATAGATGCTTAGGCCCAGAGCATCGGCACTAAGAACAAGTGACATACATCTCCACATCCTGTATGATTTGTAGGTGCTGAACCCTTGCATTATCCGATCGAACCATTGCTCGTCGGCTCGTTCATACTGTTCTTTTCCGAAAATCAGTCGATTAATTGGCAATATTTAGCAACAGAAACGTAGGACACCAGTAAGACAGCGGTGTCTGTTAGGCAATAGATTTTCCGGGACACTATGTCGCTTTTATCAAATGACCAACGAGGAACAAGCCGCAGAGGGAGACCCCAACTCGACTGCAGCAGAGGTTCTTCAAAAGCCCTTTATGCCTAAAAGTCGTTGAAAAATGTAAGGTGCGCTTTCCGCTGGCACCAGTGTAGCGTCCCGAGACTTCCTAGCCCATATAAGAAATTAGTAAGTGCAGCTGAATAAATGCGTTCTGAAGACGACAGGACAAATGGGCCTGGACATGGCCCGAAGACCAGCCGCTAAACGTCATGCAGTCACATAAACAAAGTATTACAAACATCAATCTCAACCCTTTTGTTGCGAAGGCTTCAGAGATTCCCCCACCACTGATGTAAATGCGGCTCCCTCATCCCGAAAGTACACGCAACAAACGGTCAATACCAGAATAGAAGCCGCAAAAGAAGATCCCGCTTTCGCGTTCCCCTACCACCAGTGTTATAGCGACACAAGACCCACTAGGCAGAAGAATACAGTAAGTGGGACTGAATATATGTATTCTGGGGAGGGCAGGAGGATTGGGCCTGAGCTTGGCCCGAAGGCCAATCCGTGTGTAAAAAGGCCAGACGAATCTTAAAGTAGTCACTAGACATCAGATTGTTGCATAAACAAAGTATTCCAACATTCTTTCTGACAATGGGTTTTATTTAATTCGATGGGAGCTGAAATGGAAACTGACTGCGGAACTACTTTTCTTGTTCCCATTATTTGTGGCAAACTTGAACAGTACTAATAAAACCCTAATTTTAGCATGAAGGGTTCTTATAATCCATTACAGAGGTGTAAGAATTGACGAATGCATCCAGCATCTGTCTTGACTCATTATCTCCACATCAGTACTATTAAAAGTGACACTTATCCAGAACCACTTAAACGCCTCGTTGCTCACGGAATTTTCCCTGCTGTAACGGCTTTAGGTGCCAAAAGCGTATATTTGATGCAGATTCTATCCTAGTGGAACAGTACTCAAGATCGAATCCTCCTTGTTTATCTACCTTTGACCAGGCTTCACTGTCTAGCCATGGTAACAAGATAGTCTGCAAATTTTCAAAAATCTTAATCTCTTGGTTTTAAGATGGATGGACTTCAGATCCAGTTAAATCTATCCAGAGATTAAGGACCTTTTCGCCACCACAAAGAGGATTATGCTAGTACAGGTTGCATTGATTACATTATTAACGGCGTGAGAAGCGGATAAAAATGGAAATTCAAACCAAAACAGTATTATGAAAACGAAAAACAAACAACAAATGCATCTTCGTCCCCCTTGAATCCATCTCCCATTTATTCTCTCCTACCTAAGGGGAGAATTTGGAACGCTAGAAATGAATAATCAAACAATGCATAGCAGGTCCCCAAAATGCTCGTCTACTCATCACACAAACTTCCCATTAGATAGAAGGAGGCATTATGTTGGGCTGAATGCATGCATTCCATAAGAATAGGGGGATTTTAAGCTTTGGCTCGGCCTTAAGACCAGTTCATGCGCATGAGGGGAGTACAAGAGCCACCATCTTGATGACATTTCTTCATAAAATCTTATTTTACAAATTTTAGTTCCGCTTCTAAGACAATCTATAAAAACGGAGTCTCTCTGGAACATCCAAATTTATGCTCATTTTTTTGTAAAACTGTTATCCTTATTTTTTATCAATACAAGCGCAGCACTTGCTATCGCCAGCAGAACTGCAGTTATAACACCAATTTTCAATCGAAATATCCATTTGAAACGCCCTCAGCTCACTGCTATTTCCTCTCTTATACCCATATTTTATGAACCAATAAATTCTTCGGCTGTCGGTGTCATATGTCTGAGTGTTAGGGTTGTGTATCGAAGGTGGAGACAATAATTTGTTGATTTCGTGGCATCGCAAACAACGACCTGATGTTCAAACAATAACTTATTGTCATTACCAATATACGTTCTGTGCTTCCTTTTAGTCGGATTTTGTAATGCCTATCGTTCTTTGCTCACAACTCCCAACATCTCGGCTGATATCTTATGGAGTTTTTTCCATCTTACTTTCATGTCTAGCCTTGTGGAGATATCGACAGTACCCTTCTCACGAATCTGATGGAAGGGCTGCCTTAAAGCGCATGAAAGATTTGTCCACTCTGGAACGCGTTATGCAGGACAACTGCATTGTTGTCGCAGCATTTAATATGGTGTTTTGTCTTCTTATGTCTCTAGTGAAAGGATTACAGTACTTTTTCTTCGGGGCGCTCGTTGGCTCAGAGCCTCAATTTATACGCGAGAGGTTGGTGCAATTTGCATTGTCAAGATCTGTGTTTTTAATTGGTGTTGTTAATTCAACAAAGTGGAGCAGTTTGATAGGTTGGACTTTGTGGTTCGGTTGCCTCAGTTGCTTGTACGGCTTTACGCGTTTAGCGCGTCTTCGATGCGAACAGCTCATTGCGAAAAGCAACTCCACACGACAGCAGTGGCTACGCTTCTGCAGTATGCTTATTGCTTTGAATTGTGGAACCCTGGCTCTCCTCACACTAGGCCTGAAATTCTGTTATTATCTTTCTGATGTTACTCCAGAAGCTGATATATTTGGCGAATTGAGTTCTCGGTGTTCCAAAGAGGTTGTGCTTGAGGAGACTGATTCACTTGAATATGCAGATGAAGCTTCATCGGATTTCTACCAAATTGTTCATGTGTTGATATTCATGTTTTCGGATTCAATTCTCATTCTGATTCTGCTGCTAAGAATTGAACTTATAGGAGCTATTAATGTGCTGGATGGGACTACATGGATCCGTCATATGTCGCCTTTTGACAAGGCTGTTTGGCTTTATTACGTCAATCTTGTGTTCGATGTTCTCTCTCTCACTCTTCATTTCTCGAACCACGTACATATGCTTATATGGACTCGAATGGCGTCTCTGACGAGTCCCATCATTTGCATCCAGATATTCATTAGCTATGGATGTCTGGCTCGACGTCTTAGACGTCACTTCGCTTACCAAAATCACGTTAGGGTCGTTCGTCAAGAATTCCCACTAGAGTACATTGATCGCAAAGTACGTATATGGTCTCCATTTCAATGCAAACTGTATTTGTGTTGCTTTCGTATTTAGGCTGCCTTATTTGATCAAGATCTGTGCTTTGATAAAGTAGTGATAGAATCAATTACGTTCATTTTTATCACAAATGCAGTGTTTCAAACCTCGTTTATTATAGATGATTGATGTGGATAAAACCAAGGATGAAGGGCAGGCTCGGGAACCAGAGACCTGCGCCATATGTTGGGACCCTCTGTGGAGTTGGCGGAGGCTGCCCTGTAATCACTGTTTCCATGAATCCTGCTTGACGATGTGGATTGACCAAGATCTTAGCTGTCCCACCTGCAGGCATCGTATTCTACCTCAAGTTTCACGTCGCCAGCGTAGGACGCAACGCCCGAGCGTAATTGGAGCAGTTGTGCGCGACCTTTTTAGCTTGTTCGATAGAGGCGATGTAGAATCGCCGCCTCACCGAACTGCTGAAAATCAGCAGGCCATGCGTAACATGCTAGTTCGTCTAAGGCAGCGCGGCGTGGCTCGTGCCACCGGTCCTTCATTTGATTTCAGCGTCCGCGTCACCTTGGGCTCTGGCAGACATCTGACACAGCATGCTGCTCAACTACCTGCAAACGAAATAGCCCAAGTAAACTTTGCGTTTCCTTAAGTTGGTCACTACTTCATTGGCTTTGAGTCATCTTTTAGCCCAGTTAATCTCTTCAGGATACGACCGGTGGAGGACAGTAGCTAGCTCTAAAAGAATTATTTAACGATGGTTTTCAGGCAAATCATGATACACCAACGAACGATCAGCATCAACATGACCATGTAATACACTCAACGACTCGCAGTCGTTTTTATCGCTTCGATGGGTCTCGCTACATCTCGTGGCTACCTGCCCTTGACATTGAGTTCTCCGAGGTACTTCTTTTGTGTTTATGCTCTGACTGTAATCCTTGGTCGTTTCGAGATGCTCATTGTCTTTTTCAAGCTGATGCTTATCTCGATAAGTTGCACTCCCTATCAATGAACCACTCATATAGTGGTTGTGATTCTCATTTATTTTGGATGCATGTTCTGTTTACCGTGGCTTTATCTGCTTTATCTTAAATCCGAGTCACAAGTTCTTAATTATTTTAACGTCAACGGGGATGTATAAGATTAAACGGATCAGAAAGCACGTTATGAGACACTGAGACTTGTTGGTTTCTATATTATAACGCGCGGACACCAGAATACGTCTCATACGGTAATATTATGCAAGAGCTGTTGGCATTTTTCAGACCGAACAGCATGTGGCACCTATGAATGAGTCGCCAGCAGCGGTTGTTATCCACCAACACCAGAATCAGAGGCAGCGCGCATCGACAACGACCATTTCGCGATTGCTTCCCTTCCACGCCACTACTACCGACGGTGCGCATAGACGTCGCCATTTGGTGCGTGGTCTCTCGTCTAGCATGCGCGCCCAGGCAGAGCAGATTGGTGCGGCCTTTCCTGGCATCTCAATGCAAGCGATTTTGGCTGACCTTGCGGTGACTCGTGTGCCAGAAGTTACTGTTGAGAATATTCTTGCAGGGCGCGTAGTGGGCACGGAGAGCGTTTCGTTATCTGAGGAATCTCCTCAGGAGAGTTCTAGTATTAGCAGCGCTTTTGAAGGGGTACGCGATGCAGTCGCAAGTTTAGCGTTTAGTGACCAATTATGCATGCTTAAACACATTCTTATTGGGATCTTAATTTTGGCTCCACCTAAGTTTGGTGAAACAATGGCAAATTTATTTAGTACATTGCTTCCACATGACTTAAATCCATTTTCAGCATCGTGTTGCTGAGTAATCAGATTTATATGCCTAATTTTGTGCATCACATGGCTCACATTTTCTTTGTTTTCGGTGGTGTTCTCATGTTACTATAAATTGGTGGTTTTTAGACGGTTATAAGTATTTTATGGTTCCTCTGATCAATTCCCATAAGTTCTGTTATTTAAAAAACAATTGCTCTGTATGAGGCATCCCAGTATTACGCGTTGCTTATTGCTTAGCAATCTTGTTGTAGCTAACTGCTGAGAATATGGCTCCTTCCACCTCTGTTCGTCCACCTTTGGAGACTGAGACAACAGTGGCGGGAGCAGAACACGAACTCTCTACCAAGGAGCAACAAGTCTCAGGTTCCTCTTTGATAGCTCAACGAAAGCAGCAGATGTTTGCGCGAGCCCGCCAGCACTTCCTCCTCCTGCAGCAGCGTCGCAGGCCATCGTAAGCAGCCTTCAATGCACCCAACTGTCTTATTAATAAAATTCTTAGCTGCTCCTCCTTTCTTCCTACCTACTCGTCATGTGTTCTTTTGTGCCAACTGACCGCTGGTATTTTGGACTCACTTGTGATCTGCCTGACGGCGTGACTGTTTTATTTTGCGATATAAAATTAAAGCCATTTAACGTTCTCAGCACTCTACTCGCAGTTCTCATGAGGATACGTTGTATGTGGGGTTATCTACCAATTAATGGCACTTTAGATCCTACAAATACCCTACGAAAGGTCATGGTTTGTTCGTACCCATTAACCCAGTTTTACTAAACGTTTATAAAGTTTCTATCTAATGACAAAGAGTAGCATGTGGGCGATAAAGTCAGGTGAACCCACGCGGAAATGATGGTGGCGTCGTTTTTGGCTTGTCGCAGGCGCGTGTAGTGAATTGTGAGAAAACGATAAGCAATTGGTGGCTGTGATTCGAATTGATCCAATCTCTTGCACGTGGTAGTCTTGACCAAGTTATTCCAACTTGGCGACTTTTAGCGCTGCACTGGTAGGTCACTGAATTGTCATACGACCCCAAATAACTCAGGAGGGGGGATAAATCAAATGGCGAAGTCCAATTTATGAGTGCATCAAAAGTCAGTGATCGAGCTTTCAGCAAGGAAGCAAAACTGGAAACTGGAGAAGGCTTCCCTCTACTCTCGTGATAGATGTCTGCCCAATTTGTGTGTTCAGGCAGATGGTTTCTTTTTATGGGTAGGTAGGACGCTTTTTTTCATTTTCTAGCTATTCCTTACTGCCGATGAAAGCTGAGTGAATGTTAGTTCATTTGCTAGAAAATTTACAAACACGTTTCCGACTTTTTATTTATTTGCTGAGCAATGAAACAAATGCATGAGGCTGAGGCAGCAGGGAGGTTCAACATGAAGTGCACGGATTCAGTGTGCCAAGTACCAAAAATCGTTTAATTTCATGGACTTAATTCAAGAGGTATCTATAGGAAATTATCGGAATAAGCACGCTCCAGCCTCTCTGGGTGATTATCCGACTCCAAATATCCTCGTGGCCTAAAATGTAAACAAAGTTAGCATGAAACCCTTTAGCATTGTCCAAGTTTCCTAAAGGCAACAACTTTGGTTCCAACGATGTATTGTAATGCGTAACTATTTGAATTATGCTTGTAGAATACTGCGTTATGAGAAGAGATTGTAAGAAATAGCTGCACTTTTATAGAAAAAGATGTTGTCTAGTTTTAGACGACATAGCACATTAGTACTTACTTTGTTTAAAGTACAATCGTAAATCCTATGGCTAGGTGTGTCAGGACGTGTTTGGAGTACGACAATTACGGGGCGATTTGGATAATGCGGTCCGCATGGTAGAATTGGCAGTCGGTACGCCAGGATAGAAGTTCCGATCTGATAATGCGAACCACTCCAGCGCCCCCAATTCTGGGCGCTTCTTTGTGGATGGGAAGGTAGCAACCCGACAAAGATCAAAAGGATGAAGGCGTGAGGGTAGTGCTCTGATTTGTCAACAGAGTGAAGGCCATATCGCAAACTCTATTATTCTGATTCATGACTCCATTCCTTCCAAGGCATTGCGAGACAAAATCGTCTACGCTGTTGTTCGCCCAATACCTTATCCAAAGAACTCGTTCCCCAACTTCTTTGCTCTGACTCCATGGACTCTTTTTTTTTTCTCCATTATATATTTCAGTGAGTATTAAATGGTGAAAATGTTGCGTCGTTGTATTCTCACTAATGTAGCTAGATCTTTAGGCCATTCCAGTAGTTTACGTATCGTGTTCTCCTCCCCTCCAATGAAGGTCTTGTGGAGCTACTTCACAATACTAATCCGGCTAAAGATCAGCCAGAGTACCATTCTAGATCACCTATAGCATCAAAGAATGACTTCAGAAAAATTTTTCTTACACCGTTTTATGGAAGTTTTGTAGAGTTTGATTCTTCCCTCACTGAGCATGGAATCAGCAGTGCGAAATACTATTACGTAGCACAAGTTCCTTGATCCAAAATAGCCTTCACCTTCCTTAGTACAGCGTCTTAAAGGGGAAAAGGGCCGATCGCGTCTCACATTCGTGCCTACTTTTATTCAGCCAAATGGAACAGCAAACAACAGGGAGCATTACGGCAACTTTCCTGAAGTATTCCGTTTGCTTTGCTTAGTTTACGTACATTTTAATTCTCAACGTAGAAGCATTCGTGCCAGCTTTTAATGGGGATGAGTGGATAAAGGAAACCCCTTCTGGATTGAGCATTTTTACAAATTACTATTCATTTTCTGATAATTCAAAAAATGTCTACTTGCATTACTGTTACACTTGCCAAGTCAAGTCAGCAGGTGCACTCCAAAACACACTAAACTACACAACGTAAATAACATTCCGACTGCAAATGATGGTTGGGAAATTGTGCGAGCAAAAGCAGCTTCTTCGAGCGCAAATAGCTTGATTAAGTTGATTGCTACATCGTGCGGCAATGTTTGCCTGCGGACACGTGGCAGATCATGTCGACTCCCGTCCAAGCTGCGAGCATCAGTGGCTTCAAAGTTTTCGCGATGTATCCGCCTCAATCTTATGTCCTATTGTCGTCTTTCTTACACCAACAGTTTGTCTGACTCGCTTAAGGCGATTGACAAAAAGTAAAGCAGAGCCATTCTTGCAGTTCCGCATTTCGATGTTGAGGGTTCACACGCATACACAAACGTCTATGTGGGGATGAAGCTGCACACACATTTAGGTTAGGTGATTGAGGTATCGTCATAGGTCTGCCTATTTTTTGTCACTTTCCATAAAATCGGTCCCCTGTCACTAAATTGAAATACTTCTCCTTTAATGGTTAGCAGTTGTTGTTGCAGAAGCGGCGAGTTAATTGAGGAGGAAAGGAAAGGTTCTATTCGTGCGTAATGACATGTCTTTAAAGCTACTAGAAGTTCGAATCACAGTTTAGTTGGCTTTTAAGCCAAACTCCTACATTTTACTTCCTCAGAAGCATCTTCATTTGCTTAAAAAATTTGAAATAGTCAAAATCGTTTGTTCGTTTGCTCTGCATCACCACAAACTGCCAGTAATACTACAGTTGCATCATGCTACTTTTCGAACTGCTTAATTCGGTATTTAGAAATAGTCGGCCCTATGTGAAAACGTCAACCGACGAAGCATCTGATGATCGCCAAGTCTTGACCGACTCCATTAACAAAGATGAATTCTTACTTAAGCAAAAAATTAGTAGCAACAAATCTCACACCTCAACACAAACATCAGCTTGTAGTTGCTGGCTCGACAGTTAGTTTGGTATAACTTGTTTGATAAGAAGGTGGACGCTGCTGTAGCAAGGGCAGTGAGTAGTAAGTGACCGTAGTTAGGTTTCAAATTCTTACTCCCTTTGCCCAAGGTGAGCACCCACTTATTTCGGATTTTGCTTTTCTGATTTCTTTAGGAGTGTTGAAAATGATACGATGCTCAGACATTTCCCTCCTGTAAGATTTCGACTTTGACATCTTCCCAACGAAATGCGGTTGTGGCGGATTTCGATCCCCTTTTAATGCAAACACACCCAAGCCGAGGGGTGCTCATTTCGCTCACGCTGTTTCCCAACACGTCTCGTGTGAGATGAAGTGTTCAGACCTGCCACGACTCAAATGCAGCCTTAAAAGGTCATCCATTTGGATAGAAGCAGTGGTAATGCACACTTTCCGACAAGTCAGCGAATAGTAAAAAATAAATTAATTGCAGTCTTATTTTGGTTCTTCTTCATAATAAGTGTGGCTTCACCAAACGGTATCAACCCTTAAGGCGGCTGGACTGTTGTAATTGTTTAACCGAATGTGTAGTAAGAAGAAGGCATTGTGGCATTACTTGTGAAAATTCCGACAACATCCGAAACCCAACTACGTTATCCACTTTTTGCCTCATCTTGTGAAGAGTGATTATCGGTGCTGCACTCGAAGATGATCGTCGATGCCTCGCATTCGTTGCGTCAAATGCCTCATCAAATGCACATTTACCAATTCAACTGCAGCCAATTTTATGGGTTCGCAATAAACGTTGAATGGAAGGGATAGTGGAAAAGCTCACGTAAAATTAGCCTTGGATAGGCATTACCGAAATGGCAAGTACATGGCGTAGGTAGGGGATAAATCAAGCCTTTAATGTCCTGATTTACTTATCTGTCAAATCGAGTTTCTAATGTTTCCAGTTGGTCTATTCTGATCAGAAAAGATCTCCTCCAATCCAGTAGGTGGAGAATGGCAAGTAGCTGCTGTCGGAACGCTTAGACTGCTATGTGGTGATCCAGCTTAATTCTGTTGTAAAGTTCTGCTTGACATTATACATAAAGGCGGAAAGGTTGTGGCAACACTGCTACCTTTGTGCTGCAAATTATTAAAATTGTACTTTTGAAGCAGTAATGACCAGTAGGCAGGTCCACGTACAACAGCACCTTAATCAGTTTCCCCCCTTTTGCACACATCTTTTATCGCCTAGCAACTGTTGGTAAATGGAATTCTGTTAACGCAGCATCAACTTGCGCGCTCTGCGAGGCAATCTGAAGGCACGCCTTGCTCGTCAAAGTGGCTATTGCGAATCGAGTGTTTTGGAACAGCTAGTCTTAATGACACTTTAAGGATGCATTATACGGCCCTGAAAAGCGTCTCACTACAGACATATTGAAGTAGAAAACTTGGCACTTTCCAAATATCACCTAACTGCTTTGACCGAACCTTTTAATGAACTCAAATAAATTTCATCTTTGCACACTTTAATTAGAAAATAATATAGCACTGTCTACGAAGTTGATTGAAGCACCAAAACGGGTTTCGAGGAAGTTTTGATGAAATAAAAGACATTAGTAGGATAGATTGTTAACGTAATGAGGGTATGAAAGGCAAGCTAAAAGCAATTCATATTCTTAGTGTTTACCTTTCCTGTTCATGCTTGAAACTGTTCATAATAGTGATAAAACTTTAAATTGCTTGACATTTCCCATAAGGGCTACGACGATGTGGCAAGTGATTTGCCTTCCAAGTGCTGAAAAAGTGTGCGTTTAGAGACGCCGTGTCACGCATTAACCTCGAGATTCTGCTAGCGCCTGACAGCAGCACCCGTGGAGGCGTAGCCACCAGATTATGGGTCCGAGTGGCAGAGAACGCCACACATAGTGCCTTAACGCCAAACACAAAGAAGAGAAAGTTTTGTACTAATTAATCGCATTTATTTGGCAGTGCAACTTGGAAGTCTATTCGGAAAAGTCAAAGTACAGAAATCATCCTCAAAGATTACCATAAAATGGACAAAATGTAAACTCGTTTAAAAGTTGGCTGGTACAACAATCCCTCTTAATTTTGCGTTCGGAAATTTCCTGGCTCCAATGTATTATGCATTTCCAATCCACTTGTTAACCTGTTTGCCAGTTTATTCTTCATCCTATGTTTTTTTTGCGCTGAGGTGGCTCTCTTCCACCTTCGGTTCCAGAATGTCTCCTACAATGTCTCCAATTAAAGAGCTGCACAAATGCTTAAGATTGTATGAAGAGTTGATAGTCGCCTCTACCTCAGCCGCAGCTGACACCCACTCAGCCGCACCATTGGCATCCCAGTCTGGTGCCCAAGTGCACAAATGAGCCGTGCAGAAATAGACATTTGCCACCAATACATCATTTACACACTTCTCAAAATTAACAACGTACTCAATTTACATTCACGGACTGTTTATTTTTAACTGCCAGACTCAGAAATCGCCAAAGTACACAATAACAGGAAATTGTCTGGCCACAAGCGTCTCGCTTGCTAGTCTCCATTTCTTATCATTGCGAATTTTGATTAAAAATAAACTCGTACCCCTTCAGGCCATCAGATGGGGAGAAACAAAACTTCCCTTCAAAGAGTCAGGACCAGAAGGCCTCTCAGTAGGCATGGCAGACCTATCTCATCCAGACGAAACGTCGATCTGCGGTGCTGCATTATTAACCTATCCCCGGGGATAATGTACTGGGCTCAAATGAGGAAATGGTTTTCCTTCGTACAAAATTTTAACAAATACACAAGGAGGTCAAGTAAATTATGCAATTTGTAGCTTTGAAGATCAAGAGCTTTATCTAAAAGGTAAGTTAGTCCTACACGTAAAGAAGCACTGCTCAATGATGGAAAAATAATGCTATATGGGTATAGAGGCCATAATGATACGTGCTTCGTGGCTTTCAACGAAATCCTCAAAATTACCAGGAAATGTGGATGCCTTCGGAATCAACTAATTTCGATCCAGAGAGTCGTTGCGCCTCAACAGACTGCCATTCTTCCCTGTGCAAGTTAAGGTGTGGAGTCCGCATTGGCCCCGTTTCAATGCGAGAGAGCCAAATTGAGACGTTGAATATGAGGCAACAAGGCTTAGAGTCTCATGAAATGAGACGCCATCAAGAGATGGAAGTAGAGCGCCATTACCTTAACAGCTAGTTAATTAGTAAAGAGAACGTATTAGTGGCATCGTTTAGTCCTATCAAATAAGCTTCGAAATCTTTAAGAAAAGATCGTGTGTGCCCTTCTATAAAGACTTCCCACGTTGTGGTTAACCTACAGCCGTCTGAAGAGCCTGCGTGAAGTTATTCAATACGCTCCTTATTTCCTCACTTCTGCCGAGATGCACAAACACGAAACTACCAAACGATTGCACTATGCAGACAATAAATTAAAATTGTGATAATTTAAGGGAGGATAAGTGTGCTCATAAAATATCGAGCTTAGCTAATCAGTTTCATGTTCCCTAACCGCTCGAAGCTGTCGAAATTTGTGAAGTTTATCGCTTGGCGACACCGGGAAACCCACTGAGTCTAAGCCTTTAATCTTACCCTTGTGGAAAGAGCGGTGTTTTGTGTAAACATTCAAAACTAGACGCTAATAACTGACTACCACAATTTAACGCCCATGCATTGCAATATTTGCTAAGAAGAGCGTCTGATTCGAATATAAATCAGGACATTTCCATAATGCTTGTGCTTTGTTGCCTGCACCAGCTTATGAACGGTGTCTCTGAGCCCTTGCCAATCTACCGCATCTGACGGGCAGCATAAAATAGCGGAGCATAGCTCGACTGTACCCCACGACCCATTGTTGTTGAACAAAATACTTTAACAGAAAATTCACTACCTTCATAAATAGAGATGTCAATGATGCAAAGGAAATGGAAAGATGGTGATCTGTCACCCATAGCCCTGACCACTCTGATATACATTTTGTTGCTGGCGAAATGTTCAATTCTCGGCCGTTTCATTGTAATCAAATGGTATATAGTGCTGCCAGATTTTGAGAACTTCAAATTCTTGGCATGCAAAGAGGATGAACAATCGTTGTAGGTAGCATAAATGCTTAACATATTCATCCTTGCTCTTGTTTTGGTGCTTCATGCTACTAAATCCTATAACTTTCTAGTTTTTTGCCTTGTTGTGCCCCACTTGAAGCAGTGTTGCAGTTCGTTTGGCCATTCAAACGGGTTCAACCCCTGTACTATCAAAAGTAGGTCCTCATTTTAGCTGGTGTTATTTTTAGTGGAGTAGATCTGCACTCCACCTACTACTTATCCAACTTGCATAGCCAATTGGATTTCAGGTTGCAACTAATCGGTAGATACTATCTGAATCTTTCAGTGAATTTTCCTCCCCCTGACTCGTCATCATTTGCAATGTGCCAAAGGAATGCTAAACTTGTGCTATACAAAATACGCATTCGCATGTCAGCAATTCGACGTTGTCGTCCTTTGTCATCCACACCACTGCTTGTACAGGCTCGCCTCCTATTGCTCTTCGAGTAGTGCCTACTACACTGCCAATGCTGAGGTTACATCTTTCAACCTCACTGAAGAAGTGGATTCTTCATTCCAATGCCAAACTTGCTATATCTGCTTAATTTAGGAAGAAAAGAACATTTTTTATGTGAATGCCTTTTCTGAGAGCTCACAGCGCAAAACGGAAGTCATGCCTCATAGAATTCATTCCCCTTCCAACTTTACGTTCCGCATTTCTTTGTTACGATGGGAATCCTTCAAACTTGCCTACTCTTCTTCCACCTAAAGTCTAATTACTGTCAAGAGCGGTTAACTTAATCAAGCAAGAAACAATGTATCCTTTTGTTACTAACTAGCGTATTTGTTCAAATGTTTACCTCTAAAAACAGACACAAATTCGGAAAATGGTAAAATGAACTAAGTTAAGTGGAACTAACGAATGCACACTTTTTTATTACAATTGGATATTTTTTCTTCCATTGGACGGTTCCCATAATATAAATTGAAAGTCAAGGGGACATTTAAACTTTGCTGCGAGCAATCGTGCTGAAGATATGCGCCTTGACTAGTTCGATAAGTTAGGAGTTAAAATGGGGTCGCAACTCCTTTCCCCTCCCTCAAAGGCGAAATCAGGCTCAGCTTATCATTGGCTGATTGACTGCCATTTTGAGATTTTGATTGGTTGTGCCTTCTGAGTGGACTCGACATAGGTTGAAGGAAATTACCACAGAATTGTACTAGGCGGAAGGTTGCCACTAAATTTGTCGCAACAATGTCCTCGAAGGCTTCTGCCATTCGCGAAGAATCTCCACCCAGCAGGGAAGCAATTGTAGGTGAGTACTGCTGCGTGGTTAACATTTGGGAGTCTAACAAATGCTAGCTTAAGTTGGAAAAGGTCAATAAAATACAAGCAAGCATTACAGCTGTAGTCCGATTTCAGCTGTGTACTGCGTTCGAGGAAGAATCTCGACTTAAAATGATTAAAAATGTCGTAATCTGACGAGCACCCGCTAGTTTCAGAGGCACTGTAACTTCTTTTCCACACTCCCCTTGATATTAATAATTTAGTGCTGCTCTATGACTATTGAAACATGCAGGCTTTGTTACTGTAAGTAGCGAGTGTATGAGGGTCAAGCAGATGACGATTTTTTTGAAAAATTGCTGTGTTAAGCTACTTTTAGGACCTTTTTAGATGAGCTTTGCAATAATTTTGCAAGATATGTAAGCGTTTAGTTCTAGTACCCGGATTTACTTAATTTTTAATGCACCTGTGTTCATTAAGCGATTAAATATATTGAAAACTGCTAGAAAAGTGGCAGGCCAGCATTGTCGCTGTAAGACTAGACAACTCGTAGAAAAATTTGGAGCAGTTTGTGGTACACAAGGTGAGAGAGGTTCGTTTCATGGTTGAGAGGCAAGAAAAGCTGAGCTTGACGTTAACTTGGTCCTAAATTAAGGCAGGTGACACAAAAGTGAGTAGTTGGATGTCCCATGGATGCCAGCTACTTAGTCTACTCTGCAAGCACCTAGCAACTCTACTCCGTAAAAGGGTGCTCAACAAAATCAACTGCATTTTGAGGCATTATATGAATTTATGTGCCACATACTAGGGTTGAAACTCTAGTTACTACGAAACACTGCCCAATCAAACAGGTTTACTTTAGTTTTCCTGGTGAGACTCATTTTCAATCCCCATAGGGGATGGCTCAAATAGCAGGATTAATGAGATCCAAGTAGTTTCTGCACAGCAAGCGCACTCTACGTCCTTCCCCGTCCCCAAACAGAATAATTTGCAGAAATTAAGTGACTCTGAGCTTGGGGTTATATTTTGGAAAATAAAAAAGGGAGGAAGCTAAACAATAACACGAAGGCTTTTCCACACGTCGTATTTGTACGATGCCTCATTGCTACCAAAGGCCAATCATAAAGTGCATGCCTAAAAGACATAAATCTTCATTTTTTCTGGAAATTTCACATTTGCTCTTCAACAAAATTTTTTAAAGCGCAGTACTGAAGGAAACAATATCCTTTTTAACGTCTTATGAGTGTTTTGCAAATTTTGTGCGGCACACTTCACATGAACACGTAAGCAAGACTTTGTGGTTGCAATGCAATCGGTGGATTGGTGCAAGGGTGTCGCTCTCGAAGGCATAATGCGAGTGTGAAATAGTAGAAGAATAGGCAGACCATGTATCGTTATGCACCAGGCCAAACCCAACTTCTTTGAATAGATTAGGACAATATTTCTTATTCCCAAAGGAACGAAACGTTTATGCCACATTTCCGGTTCTGTCATGCCTTTCGGCACTCTGTATTGAAGTCTTCATTCATAAATCTGACTTCAGGCCATCAGTTTCGCACATCCGGGCCCCATTTTACAGGCCCCATAGCGGCGACAGCATTTACATCTCGGTGGTCTGGCGATTATTGAATTGCATTCCATCTGATAAAACAAGTTCAACCTATAGATTTGAATTTTTAGAGCCTACATCCTCCAAAGCAGTGCCTCTGGTAATCTGTGGTCCTTCTGGATCTGGAAAGAGTAGCATAATACAAAGACTTCTCCTGAGGAATCCAGATATCTTTCAAGTATGTATCTCCCGTAAGTCTACTTTCAAAGGGTACAAATTGTAGTCCAACACACATTTATCCTAAAACATAAATATCTTTAAGCTTATCATTAGAAACTTTTTTCCCCCTTGTAAAAATGTCCATTCACAGTGCTTTTCATAGCACCTGTTTTGTGACACATCTCGAGTGAACAGTGGTGAAGAGGTGGTTTTGGCAACAGCATTTTTGTCTTAAAAATCCTCACGCCAACACCTCATTTTTTTGCTGCCTAAATGCATCGCAAGAAGGCTCCTACCTCAACCCCACGTCAATAACGGCCTAAGAATGCAGCGATGAGATGTGACCCACTGTAAAGTAAACTACTCCTCTCAAATGCTTACTTTAGACACCACCCGTCAAAGGAGACCAAATGAGGTGGACGGAAAAGGTATGTGTCAGTTTTTTTCAAAATTATAAAAGAATAATATCCTAAAAGTCTACTAGTTGTAGATAATAGAGAAGCATAAAGTCATTTTTGTCCTAAAGCGATCTTAAAGAGAGTGCCCTTCCAAGATACGTTAACAATAAAATCATGCTGTGATTGTTTGCCTTTCGAGAGGTGGCAAGCTCACTCCGTCGACTTGCTCTGAAGCACACTTGCATGCAACTTAGCACAAAGTCTAGCCTTCTGTAGTATTTACTCCTTTCAACAACTGACCAAATAAATGAGGGGATTTTAAGGAAAAATTCGGACAACGGTCTCCCGTGGGGTAAATTTTTATGCCTGTTTCAGTTATCCTCGAAGCAAAGGTACAACATAAGAATAGGAGCTTATGAAGTGTCAAGTTCTTGTGTTTTAGACTACATTTTCGTTACCAAGGATGAGTTTAAAGCGGCCATAAGACGAAATGAATTTGTGGAATACGCGGTATTTTCCGGAAACTATTATGGAACAAGGTGAGTCTGATTTGTGGCAGCTTTTTGCTGTTGAAGCACAGCGAAGCCTCTGAAATTCTATCCTCTAATTGCCTCCAAAACCACATCAACTCATCTGAAGTTATTTTAAGCAGAACACATCATGGGAAAGCTGGTGTTGTTTTGGCCTCTTGTGCGTGAATGTGTGAGAAATTGAATGTGTTTACGGTAAATCAACGGCCAATGGAGCAGCTCCTCCCTTCAAGCGTTTGCAAACACTGCTGAAAATTGTGCTTTTTATCTCATACCTTGATGGAACCTTTCGTTTCTCAGACTTTAATTGGCTTTTCTTTGAAAAAAATTGCCCTTTCCTTTTTCCAACTTAAAATTCTTGCACCTTTTTGCTTTAATCTCCACGATATTCATAAAAGAACTTCTTCAGCAGAATTATGAACTTTTCATTGCAAATTTCTCCTTCCAAACTAATGCATTTCCTGGTCCTAGATTGTTTTCTTCAAAAAGTCCCAATTTGCCTCTTAAAAAAGATAGCTGATGCGAAGCAGTCAGCATTGACTAATGCATAGGTGGTTGGAGCAGTGAGTTTACGATGCGGTGCGGTTGTCACAAAGTCGTTTTGGCGAATCAAGTTCAGCAATAAATAGTTGAGCTCACGTCAAACTGAGGCTACTTAGTGAATGAGCTTGTAAAAGAATGGGGACCGCCTTTCATTTTTGTAATTTTATGATTAAATAGAGGAGCCTTTTCCTTACCCTATGCACAAAGAGCGCTGACCCAAGGCCAACTATTGTAGGAGTAGCTTTTGAGCTTTCTTTCCAGCAAGTTAACCACCAACCACTGCTGACCGTTAATTACAGTTTCTTTGCAAGCACACTTCAAATGCCATAATTATAAAACTATAATATCCTTATTTTGGTCATAAGTTGCTATTAGCCTCAAAAGTTGTATTTACCCATCAATTCAGCCGCAAAAACGCCTTCATCAAGGAGGGCTTCTTGTCGGCCACCGGCGTACTTTATCCAATTCTTAACATCACAGTTTTTCGTCCTCAGCCTTCAGCGTTGGGGTCCGTTGTTGCTTTAAACCTGTGATATTATCTATGGCCCCTTTCACCTGCTGCACCTCATTGCAATCCAAGAGAACGTTTGCCTAGAGAATTTGTCTGAAAGGTGTTAGTGAACTTAGTAGTGTTTTGATAATTTTAACGTACATAATTAGTGCTTCGCAGTTAATCGTGTCGGTTAAGCTATAAAGTGTTTGCACCAGGAGGCGAGTTTAGAGGCCCTTCTATAGTGCAGCCACATTTACTCGCTTATTAAGGTAGCAATTATGCATCACATAAGGGGATAAACTTTGCTCCTTCATAACATTGTCATGACCATAACAATGGCTAAATGGGCAAAAAATACAATGTTCTCTTACAATACTTATTTTAGTAAAAAGCAAATGGAGAAAGTCACTCAAGCCGGCAAAGTTTGTATTTTCGAGTTGGACACTCAAGGTGTGGAACAGATAAGAAAAACGGAGATTCACCCCATTTACGTTTTCATCCGCCCAAGGAACTACGCAATTCTCGTAAGGTTTCCGCAATGCTTAAGGCCTCTTGAAGCTTGCCTTTTCCAATGTTTTATGCACGTAGATATCAAACAAAATTTGCCGAATGCCTCCATTCTCACCTTCTTCAACTTTCTTCTGCCGCAGAACGTAGTCCTCCATTGAGTATTCCTATCAAGTTTAGCCAACGTTCTTACTCAAACTTTATACCATTTGCGCTAACACCCGGAAGTTGCTTCCATATTCGATAATAAAACTTCTTAAAATGCAGGAAGGATAAGTTTTAATAATTTTATGGGCGGCTTAGGGTTGTGCAGAAGATAATGATAGGTGTTGCGGATTATTTTAGGAGAAGCGACTCCGTACGCATTCGGTTGAGTCGGAGGAGCACATCCTGCAGCGATTGGCAATTGCGCATCACGAGATGCAGTACGGTGAGTGGGTCACTGCTGAAATGTGCTTGAAGGTAAACTGTCTGAATAAGGACACTTTGTCTTTTTAAGCCCTTGATGAGGAAATTTTCAAAAAAGTCGTTACAAATGAAGATCTAGACGCTGCAGTTCAGGAAATTGAAACTCTCCTCCAGCAGGTTAGCGTGGCTTGGTTCATGGCCTCTTTATCATAAAATTGCTCATTAAAGTTAAAACGAATTTAGCTTTGCTCATTTCTGCCCTTGGCAAGATTTTTTTTGACTCAGCGCGTAGACCAAGAAATGCTGGAGCTGATGAAAAATGCTCATGCTTACCATCAGTGGAAGAAAGTTGCTTCTTCCAATCACACACTTACATGTAACCGAAAGCACTTACAAGCCTATCAGCACCACGATTAGGAGAGTGGTAACAACTTAAACATAAGCGCCCGCATTTAAGGTGTGCCATTATTGAGTCTTGAGGGCTTTAGCATGCAGACAGTGTGTTTGAGACGAATTGGAGCAGAGGCACATAAAAGGCCATAAAAGGGAGGCGAATGGAGTGAACAAGTCATTTTGTCTGTATTAGTTATGACTTGTGTATGCTATTGCAGATTTTCTTTGTGAAACAAAAAACAGAGCCGAGATTGGAGTGTCTAGATGATTTATGAGATGTTACCGATAAACACCGTGGTTGGCTCGGTTCTGCTTAGTTTGCAATGCACGTCCGACTCTCCACAGATCACTTTTCACATTTTAGTGTCTCCCTCAAACCACTTGTGATGTTAAATCAATACTGTTGGATGAAAATTTGCAGAAATGTGAAGAATAATAACTTTTTAGTCTTCGGTCCTGCCATCCATCAAAGCTTAAAAGAAAAGTAAAAAAAGTTTGGCTACTTTTGACACAGAAGTATCTTCCATTGTGTGCTTGGATGCCTTCATAAGCATCAATTGTTAATTTGGAGTTTCCGTTTCTTCTTTAATAGTTCCACTCGATAAAAGTAACCACGAAAGGCTGCAATAAACTCTGCAAACTCTCAGGCAATAAATACTCCCAGTGACACTAATAAACCCCAATAAGACTAACATTCTTACTTTTTAATATTGAGAGACACTAGTCCAACCATCTCACTACTGATTACAGATTAATTTTTTTAGGATGAACGCCTTCAGCATCTATTCAATGATCCGTGGAAAGATAACAAATAGATCGTCGAAGCTATTGACTCTATTCCATTCATGTGTTGTAAATAATAATACGTGTCCTCTCTCACACCTGTCTCGCCTTTAATCTGAACAAGCCATCATTCCACCCCGTCCCCATGTGGGTAGCCATGGTGATACGAAAGGAATTACTTCACCCAGGTTTACTTGTACGCGTATATGAATGGGGTGAAGTGAGGCGGTGCTATGTGAGTCCCAGAAGACTTGTCTACTTGATGAACGAAAACTGGAGGAAACCTTGTGTAAGAGTTTTTACCTCCCGCTATTTGTGTAAAACCCGAAAACGCATCCTTCACCGCTAACTTAACCTTCAACTGACTGAACAAAAATGGCCAACTTTGCTGCACAATGCGTGTCAGAATTCGCTCTACTGGTGCAATGAAGAGGTCGTTATTACTACTGCAAATTTGTCGTCGGGTAATTTTTTCTCCGCAAGAAGTGGAACCAAATCTTAAGGGCAGGAGCATGGACCTGCCGCGACGCATCTACTGAAATTGCAGTACAGCAGGCCACTGCGTCCTTAGCAAAGCTATGGGGTGGGAATTTTTCTACTGCACTGTGTTTAAAAGTTCAAGGGAAAGCAATTTGGAGCCCGTTTGAACGGTTTTGGCAACGCTGAAGAGGCGAGGTTTTGTACATCTACTTCGTATGCTTAGTGAAGTTCTCGAAGGGATGCAATGTCAGGACAGTACCATGTTAGTATTAAGAGCATAATTTTTATGCTTTACTCAATACACCTGAGTTTGCTTTCCTTCAGCTCCCCCTCAACGCACTTAAAAGGGAGCCCAAGCAGAAGTCTTGATATTGAAGCACGCTGCCAAACATTACTGTTTCCTTTCAAACGGACGTGTAAAATTGTTTTGGCAATTTTACGAGATGATTAAAAAACAATGCTAAATAGACAAGGGCTCTTCTCAACTGCACAACTAAGCACTCAGCAAGGATGTGTTAGATCGGAAAAGTCTCCACTTTTATCTTAGCTATAAAACCATTTCCTAAGGGAAGAGTACCCATAAAATTTTTAGTTAAATGCTTCAATTGTAGATTTTTTGCTGTTGCATGATTGGGTTGTGCGCTTTTGGAAAACGCCTTTTTAATGTATTAATTTCAAAATGCATAAATTGGTGCAATGGAAAAAAGTGAAGTTTGGGTTTCAGTGCATGTCTCATTAAACAGCACCGAGGATTCCAATTATAGCCTTTGCTTTTACCAATCGTTCTCAGTGAGGAGAGCCTTTGCACGGTTTTGCCTGGCAACCCAGTTCTTTATGTGAGGAACGCTGGTGTGTCTCTCATGCCAATACGACGAAAGTTTGTTCCGCTACGAAATGTTAAATCATATGCGATCTGCAACGAAGGGTAAAAAATGCGTTCGCTGATCACATGAGCTTCTGCGATTTGTTTTAGAGCAACTCCACTGGTGCCACTTAGCAAGATTAGGCAGGTTCGCCCCTTCAGTCAGTCACCTACCTGCATACATTCTTGGTATAAATGCTCCAAATTAGTTATTTAGCCTAGCCCGCCTGATTCTACATGCACCGAAGGAGGGCAGCTGGACAATCATACTCTTAGAACACTTTTGCTGCGAAGTAATGCTTTCCATTTTGCATAACTTTGCGTCAAGTGCGTGGACAAGTGATGAAGCTAACTCCACTGGTCGTGTTTTGTGGCTTTAATTTCTTTAGAAAGGAACTATTTGTTACACGAGATTTCATTGCATAATGCAACATTCAATCTCATCTAGAGAAAACCCATCGCTTTTTTCTAGCTGCCAAAGTATTTTCGAATGACATGCTCCTATCGGATAGAAGAATGAGTCTTGATTAAGGCAATAAATATGACAACCTTGTTCGTAGTGAGTTCACATTTCTTACATTTTTATCCGTCGGCGTTGAAGTTACCTCTCTACTAGTGGGCTCTGTAGCGGTGACTACAGGATTAATGTACCGTTGCCTTCAACTCAAATATGTTTCGAACAATTTACGGGGCAAAACCTTTTTCAAACACTTGTATCTATACGATTAAGCACAAGGAACTGTTGTAAAGCTTCCAAAGGAAGGTAAACATATGAGATGCAAATGCACCATCAAACAGTAGTCAAAAGTGGTCGATGAGGAGAGAGATAAATGAGTCGGCGACTTCGTAGGTCACCGCAGCTCCACTTCCGTCACTCTCCAATCTGCTTTGTGATCTGGATGTGATGGTAGTTGGTGTTGGTGAGCATCTCGATGCCTCTGTAACTGATGTTGGAGGAGGAGCAATGCGCCATTGACATAGCCCGTGCTGCCGCGTCTCCGCCTCGGAGGCAGAGGTTGCACAATCCGACTGGGTCGCTGCATGCATCACACGTAGGCTCCACGATGACGATGGTGACAGCGAATGCATCAATTCCTCAGTCTCTGCTCTCCTGCTTAAGTTTCCATCCCCAGGTTTACTATCAACACCACCCGTACCATCTTCAGTGCCCACACAGCCTTCCCCACAGTGTGTATGGAAACGCGGCATCGTCAGAGTAACGGGCTTCTGGAAACGCAATCCCCGTGGACCACACATCACCAAAGGACTGACTATGTGGGACCTGTTCACTGCCTTCTCATCATGCTCCCCATTTTGGTGTTTCCCTTCGTAAACCTACCAAAAAGGGTCATCTCATTTACTTATCTACCTTACTGTTTTATATGCAAGCGTTTCTGGTTTGTAAATCTCTCTTAGCAAGCATTTAAGCATACAACTTCATACAACAACAACACATTCCCGTCTTGACCATTCTCTACGCATGTTTTAAGGGGGAAGTTCACAAAACCTCTGAAATCTTTTAGTACAAAAAAGCCAAGAATAGAGTTACTTTTCTGTCAAAGTCCACGAAAATGTATGGACTGAACAACTGAAACCACTTTTTACATGTTTAGGTAACCCAAAACATTTGCCTACGTGTTTGCCTGATGAGATTCTTTTAATTTACTTAAGCATTTTTCCTCCTAGTTCATATTGTTTCCATTTTCTTAAAGTTTCTTCCATTCTAAAATGAAATGCTTGAAATTGAGCAATGCAGTATGATTAAATAATAGAATTACTCAAAATAATCAAAGCAGGTCTCTCTAATTCATTGGAACTCGCCTAAAGGCCCCATTGGACTTGAAGGAAACTTGTAAAAATTCGATTGAACAAATGAAAAGGAATTGGTTCGCTTTAGCATCGAAAATCCTAAGTGCTTGACCGCATGATGCCAACCTCACCAACGAAAGTATGCTAGAAAGGTCATACGCGGAGGTAAATCTCCTGTTTTTGGCCATCTCCATCGTCAGGAATGGCACCGGAGGGAATGGAGAGTCTGACACCATGTTGCGGTATTTGTAAGCTCCCTCCCTCGGCTGGGACGAACTCGCCACTGGCCTCAGCCACGACGTGCTGTGGCTCTGAGATAAGACCACAGGGCACATTGCGTGAAGAGAGTGGGCGGTGGCGTCTCAATGAAACCGAACCAACAAATTTTCGCCTCTCCTGTTCATTCTCATCACTATCTCCCTGAGAGACGGTATTAATACTGGTCTCCTGAACTCTTGGTGACTCCGTTTGAGTTGATCTGCTATCCGGTCTGAAAAAAAGCATTTGATACGTTTGGGTTGTCTTAACATTATTGTGCCTAGCCAGCTGTTTGGTAGTTTAAATTAGGGTAACCTGCTTTCGACTGTTGAAAGGAGGTTGACACGGTAAATAAGACTGTAAGACAGTAGTTCGATTCAGTTGTTATAGGTTCAACATTAAGACGTGACTTTAGCGTATTTCGCACAATAGCTCCTTGTGTAGCACATGTATGCAGTTAAAGCACTTAACTCAAGTCATTTGGTTGTTATGGAGGGAAACTTGACTCCACTGCCAATGTGTGTGTATGTGTGTTCTTATATAGTCTTTTGGTTGAGAGCACATCTTCGGCAGAACAGAGAAGCGAGGAGCAAAGTGGTACAGGCATACATCGCGTAATGCGTAAATGCGCATTATGGTTTAATTAGTACAGCAAGTACATACGCATCGGCACAACAATTACAGTCAGGTAAATGAGCTAATCTTAAAGAGCGACAGTTATGTTAGCGCTGGAGGCACTCAGCGAGGTCTGCCTAGTAACTCAAGTTGAGCAAGGGAGGATAGCTTAGATAGAAACAACAAAATGGCAAAGAAATGTTAAAGCTTAAAGTCCCCATCCAGTATAAGTTCTCGAAACCGAATCAATTACAAATTTTTTTTTATTCTATTGCCCTGGAAAAAATATTAGGTTTTATAGTGACTACGACAACCGTGTTTTGAATCTCATCGTCATTAAACTCTTGATCCACTAATCTTCAACACAAATTTTCACCTCATTTTACTTTCTTTTAGCTAAAATCCTGGACAATAACAAATTTTAATATCTCGTGAAGTAGAATTTCAAGGGAAAGCAGCTAATTGTAAGGGAATGGCTGAGCACTCCGCAGGACGCTGTCACGAGAGCGCACGTGATTGTCCCATAAATAGCGACGAATGTGGTGAGTTGGTTATAAAGTTTTTAGCTTGATGTCCCACCGGTGTGGAGAGGTCGCATATTTGCTCAATTTGTTACATTTCGAGAAAGTAGCTAAACTATGACGGTGTGGGTTTATGGAAAAGGGAACAAATGGAAAGAGGTATGAAAATTTGACCCATTCAGCTGCTAATTTAAAGGATCAGTAACCAAATTTATTTTAAATCCACCTTGGTGATTGAATTCGTACTCGACGTAAATCATTATTCTTCTTTGAGGGTGCACTAGTCGTCAATCTGGTTTCAAGTTCATCCTTCATCAGCTCTAGGCGATTCGTTACACCCCATTCCTCGGAGCTTCGGCCAATAGATGAGATGTCCCCGTGGTAGCCCCCGTTGGTTTCGAAGTGAATTTCTTTCCTCGAACCTAAAAAAATAGACATAATAAGTCCAAACGAGCAAACTGGACAATAGCACTTGCCATAACTTCGCTACATTCCAAGATCGAAAGTTTTGAATAATGTTATTTATTAATGCTAAAGTTGAATAACCATATATTTTCACTTTTCATTTTCCTTCTTAACTCTATGCAAAAAAAATTAATTAAAATAGGAAATTTTTGTATTTGCGTTAATTACTAAATGAAGTTCACCAAAGTCGGTTAACTTCATTGCGCAGTAGCGTTGAGAGTTAGAGCCAGAGGAGTTCGCTTCCTGTTGGACTACTTCCATAAAAGCAATTTGAGAGACATTACACTCCCGGAAAATGAATGCAATTCATCACACTTCTAGCCCTGTGGTAGGCAGATCTTTAAAGAACACTGTGGGTTATCTTGACTCGTTCTGGCATCTCTACTGGACGTCAGATCCATAGGCACTCAGTTTCTCTTGAGAGCTCTGTGACACTTTCATTAATTATTAGTTCGGTGCGAGAAGCAATCTCAATACCTTCAGACTCATTTGGAACAATTCCAATGAAGCATTTTTTTAATTTCAGTAAATTGCAAAAAATGTTGCACGAGCAAAGGTACCCTCTAGCAATCATTGTTTACTATGTGTAAGAGTAAATCACGTACTCCTTAAGTGTGCGTGTTGCGCAGCCTCAGAGGTAAGTAAAATGAATGAAACGTTAGTGAAAAAATTAACGAGAAGGTACGCGTTAAAACCCTCAAAGCAGTGAATGAACCGATGATTAGACTAAAACTGGTCAAAGGCGAAGTGGTTTATCAGCTCTTAGTAAACAGCACATAAAAGATGTGAAGCTTTTGAAAGGAGATGAAAGTGAGCACTTTCAGTATTGTCCTTAAAATGTCTAGAGGTAGTCACCTACACTAAAACAAACCGCACTCTTGGTAGATGCAAAATGTTTCTAATGAAAATAGCACACTTTAGGGGAAAAGGCATTTTGAGAGACTCGTCTGGAGATCATCAAAGTGTAAGCATTAAAAGAATGAGCCCTGAGAATCAGTGCGATTACTGGCCTTAAATACGTACTAAATATTTGCCCCCTTAAAGTGCGACAGCATTCTTTCAGAACTGACTGTCTAGGGTATTTTGTGAGCGGATTTCTGATCATCATATACGTGCACCTCGTAAGCTGCAAATTAGCATGTCTAGTGGTTTTAGGAGTCTTCCAAAGCCTTACCTATGTCGCTTTTTTCGGAGACCGATTCGTCGATCGATGCAGCTGGAGTAACAACATTTTCACCGGCCTTGCAAAATGCCACAGAGTCTTCTGCAACCCACACCTTGATTAGAAAACTGTATTAGGAGGTGGACTATACGAGACTATTCCATACTGGCTGGCTGACTTATACATGCAAAAACAGTAGCATTTCACACGGTGTCGTGCATCTTTTTCGTATCCTTCACGTCACTAACGATCTTGTATTAAAAAATAACAAGACTGCGTGCGTTGGTGCACCAAGCCAGGAAGTGTTGACCGCTCCCTCTGAGACTGCGATCCGTACTTCACAAAGGTCAGTTAATTCAAGTAATTTATTAATTTACTAGTGGATGACTTAATTCAATTGTTAAAGCCTATCATGATTGAACCCAAAGGTTGCTTATGCAGAGTTAGCTTGGAACGTCTGTGCGCCTTTGCCTTTGAATGGTATTATACAGATAGCTAGTGCTAGTGCTAGTGCTAGTTTAACAAAGAAGCGTAGCTCATTAATTGCGATATCCTTGTTCATGCTGCTGTATAACAGTGAAATTATCCCCTATCAGTAATCACTGTCGGACCACCGTTTTCCTTCGTACGTGAAGAGACATTCTACCGAAGAAAGCAAATGGAGTTATGACTACTAGCATACCGGTTGGCTTTGATGATGCCTGATGATGGAGATGAGGTTGTGCATCCACTCCGTTTCGTTAAAGTGCATCTGCGTGGGTGAGCTAAGAAGAGGAACGGTGTCGGTGAGTAGATGGGAGATGTTCTGACTCAGGCTGACCACATCCGACCAAAGGCGTCGACTCATCTCTCGCACGCCACGTTGACACCTTGGCCTATAGAGCTCTAATACCTCACGGATCTGCTGCGCACTAGCGGCGGTCACGAGAAGGACAATGGGGGTGATGCCGCTACTCAGGAGGCCTTCAATTGCTGAAGGCCGCAAATTGAGCACCGCATGCTTCCCTTTTTCCATCAGCATCTACTATTCACACATGCACACATAACAGTACTTAATTTTGTTGCACCCACTTATGCGAGCATTCACATATAAGCGCAAAGCAAAGCCTATTTTCGACTTCACAACTATAATTGTTTGGCAAAAGTTGAGCCGCTTATCATTTGACGCAACATTCACTTTAATTTATATAAATGGGCACATTTCGTGATTTGTTGGTTTTTGTGACTTAGTAGTAATGCCTAAAAATTGAGTGTGACCAATTGGTAGAAATCAGTGTGCAGTGATGCAGATTTTGCGCAGAAATACGAGTGTCATGGTTTTTTATATTTACGAAAAACGAAGTAGGTTCCACAGCCTGGCAACATGTGTCACCTTACATTTCAATACTGTACTATGATTGTTAAAAGGTTATTATTGGATTAAATTACTGTTTGATCAAGCAAATTTGCGGTTCATATTGCAAACGGTGGAACCATTTTATGCACGATGCATATCAGACTGTGGAAGCATTAAAGACTGTTGTGAATCAAGCCTATTTCTATACTCTGAATTTGTTGGTCCACATAAACTTAATTTTGACAGTCAGTCGACTCAAACCACTTATGGCAACTCAACTTTTGTAAAAACGCGACTACTTATCGTTGCTTTAGTCAGAAAGAGGAAGGGGAAGCGAGTCGAAGTCCACCTCACCTGAATGGCACTGAGGCGGATGACTCCAGAACTGTTGGAGCAGAGGTGACTTGCCCAGGAGTCGCTGGGAGGTGGTGGAGCCCCTGATATCGGAGGAACCTCGAATCGTGGCTCTCCATCACAGTCGTCGAGTGTAGAGATCTCTTCAACTAACAACTGCATCGCCTTCTCGGCCAGTGGACCGTAGATGATCACGGGTCGGGGATAAGGGTAATGATCTAGACGACCCACTCGAAGGTAGGGTCTGAGTCTTTCCACAGAAAACTTTTTGAAGGAAACAGTTGTCAGATGCTTTGCTTCAGAAAAGTCTATTTTTACAATCCTAATTATAAATTGAAAAAATAATAAGGCACTAATAACCGAAAGGTTTGCAGACTATATTAATAATCTTCTTGCTCACAATGGACTGCTTTATCATAAAAAGTTAGGCTGGTAGTGTTATAAGAAGAGAACTGACCACCTCGCATTCTACTAGATGTGGAAACCCTTTAAAGCCCCGTTCCACAACTGTGCAGGTATATCTTTGGTGGAACTCATTGGTTGTTAATTCATTCAGTTGTCGTTTATCTTGCAAAATCTGCTCACAAAATTGCCACCGTAAAAGGTACCAAAGTAAATGATGGTATCGTTAACTTTTTTGGACCAGTTGTGCTTCAATTTTTTAGCTTGAGACGTTATTTGAGGCTGCATAGTGCAACAAGCACCTTTAGTGTTTCCTCTTTGCATTAAAGCCTAGTAACAAAGCGGAACAGAGGTGGGTCGTATGAAAAATGGGTGCTTATTGCTGCATTTTTTCCAAGTCACAATTTAAACGCCTGACTACCATAAATCTCAGCGAAGGAGAGAATTCGGCTGGTTACGGTGGCTTACAGATGTAGGAACTTGAGCCTTCAGGAGTTGAAGAGCTTTTTCAGTGCTAGGAATGCTTCCAGTAGCTGATTGACTGGGGAACACTTTCTGAGCCTAAAGACGGAAATAAATTTTGTCAGAATGGTTTGCATAATTTGCTGTTAGGTAAAATTGTAAAGTCCCTACCAACCATGAGGTGAACGAGCCGGCAAGTAAACTGTCCGTAACATGGAAGATGTCTCCATGCGATATGTGAAGAGCAGGTACAGGTACCGACGGATCAACTGGCAACATAGTACTTCCATTCACGACGCTTGGAACATAGGTGAAAGCGGCTCTCACGTGGAAGTCATCCCCCGATCCCAGTTTATCATTCATGAAGGCCTCATATTTGTCAACCGCTTTTCTCACCTCCAACTTCAGCACCTTTCCTGACTTAAGAATTCGTACTGCCGCTTCTGCTTTTGTCATCCACTTTACCGACTCACCATTTATCTAAAAACAAAAACTCAAATGGGCCCTCCATAAGCATTACTTGTGGATTCAATTCCGAAGCAACATATGCGCATTCGGATTAATAGCAATGTGTATTTGCAAAAAGTGCGGATCTATTGCAACATTAATAAAAGCCCTGATTTGCATCCATCACGTCATTTTTTTAGATGATGAGTTTTAGAAAGGTTTAATAGTTTGCCCAGCTTCCCCACCAAAAGTCCAATGCAGGCTCTCCACTGTTACAAGTCATTGGAATCCATAAAAGAACCTCAATCAGTAGCTTTGCCCCATAAGTGATAATAAGGGAACACTTTCGGCGGTGTCTTCCGCTTCAGTATACGAATGCGGATTAGTTTCCTACATAAATCAATTTTGCATGGGATTTTTCCCTTCTTCCTTTTAACATAATGCAGCAAAGCTCAAAAATTCGTTTAGTTTTTACAAAAATACTTTTCGCATACCTACTGATGTTGGTGTTGATTATTGTTGACGTTAACTTCCTTTAAGTGAAAAGTCATGCGAAGACATTTTTAATAAAACTATCGTTTTTACATCCTTAACAAATCACATTTAATTTTGGATGTCAAGTTTATGAGCATTTTCATCACACTAAACTCTTCAAACTGCGGCAATAAATAGATCTAGACCGTACACATAAACACGAGCATTCATGGTACTGCTTTTCGACAACATTCCAAGATCAGACCATCGGTAATGTCAGTCCTTTGATCAAATCTCCTCATACAAAACTGATTCCATCATGATGCGCCTCACCGCCGTAATGGAAGCTACTCGGGACGGCCCTCCTATTAGCTTCAGGTTGTGTTTCTGATCAGCGAGTCTAACCTCTTGACCTGTTCTTCCACAGTACTCCGGCTTGCCACAGTGTCATAGGAGGCTCGTAGTGCTACTTTGGTCTCATGCGCTCAAGTTTATGAACGCAGTCCTGGTATTCTTATAGATAGTACGGGAATTCTAACTCGTCCCGAATATAACCATGTAGTAAGCACAATGCTGAACACTGAACAACCCTCGCGCGTGGTGCCTGTACGATTGTGTATCGTTTCCTGTAATTCATTGCATTCAACCCAAACATTTGTTAGACTTTGCTCTCGGAAAGGTGAACATTCCTAAGTGGCAGCTTTAATGGCATAATCTCTTCTTTTGCTTTGGGAATCAAAATAATCGGATTTGATTGTATTGCCGTCAGATTGCGTGACTCTAGGCCAAAACTTATTGCTTGATTAATCAGTTAATAAGTAACTCGGATTAATAGACATCAAGTACTTACAGAGATGATCTCGTCCCCGGGTCTGATTCCAGCCTCGGCGGCAGGTGACTGGGCATTCACCTCGGAGACAAAGATGCCCACGGCATTACCCCCAATGATTCGAATGCCTGTGCCAATCACGGGATGACGATCAATGCTAACCATTCGGAAAGCACTGTCTTTAGCATTGAAGCTATTGTCGATGGTGCTGAGTGGAGATGGATTCCTCTCATCCGCCGCCGTCTCGGGATAAACTTCGCGGTATCGCGGAGTCATGTGGCAGTTGCACCAAACACTGGATGCAGTGCCAACTTTCTCTGCATTGATGCCAGTGCGGATGGGCCTGTACAGGACCGGGGAGTATTCCGCGGGGGATGTCAAAACATGCAGTGGTTCTAGCATGGGGTACATCCCAAGCATTTTAAATCAATTAATCCATCTTTCGAAGCCCTGTATCTTAGTATTTTAAATGATGACGCTTTAAAGCACGATCTATAGCTCACTTCGTTCTCCACGAAGTTTATCTAATCTCTTTTTAACACCGCAATATGCTCAAGGTTGAATGTGAAAGATTAATCTCACATCTAGTGTTTTGATTATGAACCTTTACCGAACTAGTTGAGTGAAAGGACTATTCTATAGATGCTTAAAAAGTAGTCTTCTTGGTTAGAATCGATGTTCATTGCTCTTTGGAGTTGATTGTTTATTCAAAACTAAGTATTACCCGATGTCTACCAACTATCCGCAGTTGCGATTAATCTTCCAAGTCGGACCTTCCGTACCAGTCGGTATTTCAGAATTTTTCTGGACTATGTGAGCAGTTTAAATTCCAAGTGCAGATAATGGTTTTTGGTTTAACAAAACCATGTCAAGTAATCTGATATGTCTATGCCTTAATAAAAGTTGTAAGACAGCCTTTACCTTTAACAAAAATATATTGAATTTATTCGTAAAAAATTTGGTTTGTACTGTGGATTACATTTGTACGCACCTTCTAAACTTCATGGCAAAATCGTAGCTATTGAAGGATGGTGGAGTAAGGAGCGGATGAGATAAGATTCTCTTTAACATTAGCGTTGCAGTGACATGCTTCGTGTGTATGAATGGTGGGTTGTGGTAATCTAAGACGCATTCATAGGGTTACACGCTGCCTGCTCCTACCTGTCTGTCAAATATTTTCACACCTCACCACTATGAACTGGTGCATTAATCGACGCGAACCGATTCTTCAAATGCTCCATTTCGAAGAGGGGATTGTGGAAATCTTGAGCTGTTGTCGGCTAATCGTTGCGAATTTAATGGAATCCTTCTACGAAAAGTGAATTTTGGTCTATCTGTTGCCCAAACCACACGAGAATGTGAATCAAACGGCAACTGAATTACTTTAAATTGTCTAGCACAATCAATCGCGAGCGCTATCAACAGACTACCAAATTTGACAGAATAAACTCATTTTTTATGTCATTAAGCCCATCCTTGGCTCTAAAGTTGGTAGAATAAAATAACATTTTCTTGAAAATTTGCATGGGCTCCAAAGCTAGTTATACATTTACCTTGCAGTTTACAGCACGGATGCCCACGATGGGTAGAATTGTCACAGACGGGCAGTTGAGTGACCTCTGGTGAGAGGCGAGCGCCCTCCTCCTCCTCCTCCTCCTCATCTTCCTCTCCCTCATGTTCAACCCGCAGCAGAGTGACATCCGACTGCTCCCTGCGCATCAGATAGGCGGCATCAATCAAGCTCAAGTGGGCCGTGTCTATCCCGTTTAGATTGACAACTCTGTCTCCGACTCGAATGCCAGCATGATGCGCTTTGCCGCCAGGCGTAACCGAGGTTATCACGAACTGACCTGAGAGCTCAACGCCTAATCCTGGTGAGAAAAATGTATGAAGGCATGGTCAGTCTTGACACTCAAGGTGGAAAATATGATTCATGTCGTTTGCATAAATTATCATCCCGACTTATTGATGTTGCTTAATATCTTGTTAAAATGATTTCCCTTTCGGTCGCGTTTATCCCTGATGTTTTAACAATACCCATGGATTGCATTATTGACAGCTGCGTGTTGCACAAATTGGATTAAAAACTAAAGCCGACTGCATTTGAACCCTAAAGTAGAGGAGGTTTAATCCACGACTGTGTATGGGTGATTCTTAACCCACCTGATTCCTTTCCTTTGAAAGTTGAATGCCATATATCAAACTGATAGGACCCTCGAGGCGCTTTTAAGCTGAAGTACCTCATTTACTTTAGCACTGGAACATGGCAACAAAGAGAACACCTAAACAGCACTACCTACCCCAGATTGTACGTTTTGACAGGCGACTGAAGCATATCAAAAGTTTCTGTGATGGTAAGATTGTTAAAGGGATTTATCGTTGCATCTATCTACTTTCCCTCTGCTGCTTTCGCCAACAAACCCGTTATGTCAGAATAACCCGTTGTCGCTTTCTTCGGCCTAATCCTCAGGAGCAATATCAGCGGCGCTTAGATCTCGAACAGCAAATCCCAACATGCAGAAGGACTGAACCGGTAACCCTTCATTTCCACCGTCTGTTAGCAAGAAGACTAGCACAAATGCCATAACAAACGAATGGGGGCCTACAGCGCTAAAGTACGTTTATACAGTATCAGATGCTTTTAACACTGGCTACGGGATGCATTGAGATCAACGCCTTTCATCCATGACCTTACCATCTTGTGGATTCTGCTTGGCTAGATTGACCTTGAGAAGACTGGCCTGACGTCGGTCGCGGGTAAGCGTGGAGGTGTGATCCTCTGACCGCACCGACAGTTGTGGTAAAGATGCTGCGTGTGCCGGAGGCAACTGTGGGCTTGCGAACCCTGGCATGCTGCGAGTGCGTTTTGTCGCGTTGGTGATACTACAGATTTAAAGCCAGACAGGGGGATAGACACAAACTTGAAATTAAACTTTTAAAGTTCAAATTATGGCTTGCTTTTAAAACTAAAAGCATGTTTGATTTGGCGTGCTTTTTGAAGTTACTTCCATGGATAACCAACCAACGCCTTAGTAATAATCGCTTTATTAAATGTCCTGCTCATTTCCTAACCATATCGGAAGCCGATTATCATTAATAACTAATCTGACTTTAGTAAAAACCATTTTACATTTCACATGGAGAGGGAGAAGCCTGCCTCTGTTGAGAGCCGGTGGAGAGACCGTCGGGGAGAAAGAGGGACTGACATGAAGTAGAAGTCGCAGTCGCCGGAGCCCGTTGAGTCTCTTCCAGGACCTCCATTTCCTCTCGTCGATAGACAAGGAGGGTCACCATGCCCTCAGCTCTTCGAAGAAGATCCAGTATTTCCGAGTGAGATTTTCCTTCCAAAGAAACACCGTTCACCGACATTATCACGTCTCCCGGCCTATGGAAGTATCGACTGAAAGTATTTATCCAGCCAGAGGGAAATGAGTTATAAAACAATCTACCTTTTAAGATGCTTTCTTTCTAACACAATCCCATCAAGTAAATGCTGCTCCCTTAAGTTTAGGCTTTAACACCCCTTAAATATTGGCAGAACCTGTTTGGCCAGAACCCATAGCATCGAAGTAGGCTCTTCACGCATGTGATGGGTGGTTTTCTTAGGTTAGAGCAAGAGCGCATAAATATGCACACTTATGGGAACTGAAGGTCTGCCGGCCACCTCGCCTGATACAAAGCTGTTTCTCTTCTCTATACGTCTTGTGCTTTTGATTAATACCTCGCCTAATCAGGCGGACTTCTTATTGGCCACGGAACTGAAGCATTCATCTAATCCTCCTACTCCGATTCGGTCAGGACATTTCTTGTTGAAATTTGGAAAGTAAAGTGAAAACTTATTATGATGCCGCCAATGTTTTTACAGGCTCCATTTTACTCAATATTAACCGATTCTGTTTCTTTTAAGTTAGCTGAAGCTTGCTACAATTCTCTAAGGATGCTTCAGAGGACTGGGTTTAGAGAAAAGCGGGAAGCGTGTTTTGGAGCTGAGGAAAAGACTTTTAAACTGTAACATATTAATTAGAAAATTGGTGTCGATTTCTGCCTTAATTGAGGCAAAGGCCATTTACATAGATCAGGGCATTTTATGCATTTTTTGAGCAAACTTGATGGTAAAAGAGGAAGACTTACTGTTGTACTTACCTTAACTTTCCAAAAGCAGGACCACTGGCTAGAATGTCTACAACCAAGGCCCCGCAATTGGCCCATTCGCCCGCATGGCCGCGCTTGATGGCAAGTCCAAGACCCTCCTGTGCCCGTCGCTCTAGCACCACGTTGAAGATCATTGCTTTGTCCAAATTAATTCAACTACTGAGTACTTCCTCTGCCTAAATTGGCCATCAAGAATATGCCATTCAAAGACGCATTTATTTCTATTATTGAATAAACAAAGCGGGTTAACAAAAATCCTTCACACTAATCCTCATGCCTCCTTCGAACCACGTGCCTTGCGTTGACTAAATAAACGAATGCTTGACTTGTTTCCCTTTTTATAAGTGCGTAATTATTTAATTTGTGGAATTTTATAAAGGCAATTAAAAGTTTTTGCTTACCACATACATACATTTTGAATGAGAAATGCTTGCTTAGCTGCTCTAGCCTAACAGTGAAGTTACACTCGATGGGTTGACGGCTGTTCAACAAGGCGATCGTGGCTACATTTTGTCTTGGTTGAAACTGCTAAAGTGAAGCGACATCTCCTAAGATTGACGTCGGTAATCTATGCTCTTTACTCAGATACGTCGATTAGGAAATGCGGTTGCTTTCTTCAGTACTCTCACTTGAACTACTTTGTTTTGCAAAGGTTTGTTATTAAGCGTATCTTAAGGAATGGATCGTAATTGTGCATTTGGACAAATTGGTGATTTATACGAAAAGTTCATAATATAGGATCAAATTTGGGCAAACCAATAAGAAGAGGAAAGAACAAACCGATTGATGTGAGATTATGCAAAGCTTGTAGCCGACGAAAGTTGAAGGAAGGTGGCCTTCATTTGTGGACGAAATATATCCACTGGTGATAGCCTATCGTTGCATTAACATGCAAAATCGATTCATTTGCATATCCTCAGGATGTTCCAATGAGGACCAGTCCCTACGTAGCTGCGATAGGGTACTTGACACCTTGACGCCCCACCAAACGAATATGCAAATATGCACTAGCACAAGGTGCCACCGACAACAGTGCTATTCACCTGTTAACCTTTGGTGGGGTTATGTGCTGTTGAAAGTTCTTTTCCAACCATAGTATCGATGTATCTCCTTGCTGCACTGCAAATATTTTGCCCCCAAAACCTTTCTAAAGGACTCACTTTGTATGGAGGTCAATTGTTGTGCTTTTCAGAACATCATGGGCATACTTCTTTGGGTGATGTGAGTGAGTTTGAGATTCTATGCGGGTCATTTTATCAGCACGAGCAGGAATTGTTATGTTTCGTGTATCTTTCATACTAAGCAAATGATGGAAACAGTTATTGACTTTTATGCGCAACGCAGCGCTGCTACAGCCTCATAGGGAACTTAATCACTTCCCATGGCTGAAATCTCGCTAAAATAGCCTAAATGACCAAGTTGTATCACTCTTTATGTACGTTTTAATTTCCTAAAAAAAGATAATATTGAATTGATAGGTTAAAATAGCATTATTTTGCAAAAGCGGTAATCAGTCATTTATCAAGATAAGAACACGCTGTACCCAAATGATGTTAGGTGAGTCGTAAAACTGATCAGAATGACAAACGATCTCCAATCAACCCATCACAACATCGGGACTCAAATTGCGTGAGAGGGTTTTACTGCTGTTCTTAAACCTGTGGATTTGTATTTCTTTCTTCAGTAATTGAATCACACTCAGCGCAACTTCAAACCAGATCAATGGCGGGTACTTCATTGGCATCAGCTAGACTACATTGCAGACTAACCCAAACCGACACCGCCTTAACCTATCTGCCCACTAAAAACCTTAAACTCATCAAAATTGTTAGAGTACTTTGCTCACACTAGGTGCAAGAGCTGAGGGGAATTTGCCCTCTCGTCTGACTAGCGAATCAAAAAATACTCCCCTTAATTCAGTTAACAGCTTGACTCATAAATTGTCAAATTTTACTGTTGATAAATAGCAAATGTGTATTTACGTCCGACTTGAAAATCAAACACCAGCAGCTGCCCATCAACAATTCTCAACTCTGAACATAAATGTTCAATCCGAGTGACGTGCACTGCATAAATGAGAGCGATCTTCCACCTTGTACATCCCAATCCACTCTTCGATTGCGGTGCTGCAGAAAAAAATACTTTGTCCAATTTTCAGTCGCCTATGAAGGTCAAAATCGCAGATTGGATTGAGTTCCCAAATATCGAGTACAAAACCGGACTGATACTTGTATTTATGGTATTGGGAAAATTGGGAGAAGGGATAGATGGACAGCCGATGCCATCCATCACCATCATGATCCTTACAGATGCGGAACAAAATGACTCTTTCAACTTTACACAAAGCAGCATTCCCGTAATTCCGTGCAGATACGCTCCATTCGCATCAAAGAACTACCCGTAATTTCTACATAAGCACATTCGACCTCCAGTTACTTAAAACAAGATAATTTTCCAGAACCCTTCGCTAGACACTGTACATTACGCCTTCAATGCATAGATTCAATTCTCAAAAGAGTGTAAGACAGGAGACAATGAGGTGATGGATTGTTTGGGAAGAGTTAGAGGCGTATGGGCGAAAGATAGCTTCATTGTTCATGTCACCGTTATTGTTGTTGTTTAATAGAAGGAATAAAATAAAACCACAGCGCTAGATATTCGGGAAAATAAGTGATGAACATATGTACACATGGCAGTGGTGCGAACGTCTTTTGGTTGCGTATTTAAGTGCAGCAGGAGACATTTGTGAGCGAGTTGGAGAGGAAGTGTGTGAGCAGGTGGATGCGTGTTTGATTGTCAGACAAGAAAAGATGCTGAGAGGAGTTATGTGAGGAACCGGAGGGGAGATTAGGAAAGCCAGTGCCTTTTATTGTGTGGGCTCACTCGAGGATGGCGTGGCAACAACAGGGGCCGATCCCTCGTCCATTGGCGTCGCGTAGGCCCTATTGCCACTGTGAGAGGTGGTGGGAAGGGTCTCCGAAAATGAGGAATAAGAGGGAGCGGAGGAGGACACACCACCTGTGGCGAGGCCTCCTTCAACTGTTGGATATTCGAGAGAGGGCCGCTGCTGTTGATGCTGTCCCGGTGGCATCACCGGTGCAGTTGGTTGCATCACCTGTCCCATAGAGGCTGCTGCTGCTGCGGCCGCTGCAAAAGCGGCTGCTCGCATCAGCTCCAGAGCCGATTGACAGTGCTGACGAGGTCCAAGTTCTGGCTGATAAGTGAACGTTGACCCTGTGGCATAGATGACACCATCGTTCCGAGCAATGCTTATTGGAACCTATAACATAAAAAAGACTGGTAAGTTTTAGGTATGTTGCTCAACGAATTTAAGTTTTGGCGTTTCATTTACATCTCGTAAATCGCTTTGAAATCGCACTGTTACCATAATTTCACTGTAGCACTTTGTGTAAATCACCCCCAGATGCTACTCTGAACTAGAATTGCATTGTACACGTATCACCTTGCTTCTATCGATTGCAAAGCAAGATTGACAGACGGCAAGTTTCGAGCTGATTGCAGTCACATGAAAACTATTGCGCCTATGGGTATCGGATCCTCCCAAGTGAAGCAAAAATGAACACAACTTCATTCTTTGGAACTATTGCTACCACACAATGCCGTATCTGTACTCTTTATAGCGGAAGAGCCAGTGCTTGTACAAGCCTCCATATGCAAATCGAAGCAAATATTCTCACGCTAAAAGTTGTTCTCACAAAGTGGTGTCACCAGTGCCTTGGTATTTCAAAGCGCAGATTCTCAAACGCTATGAGAACGATAGTGACAGTATCAACAACTTTGGATCCCAAATAGAAATTCGGTAATCAACACCTGGGACTATATTTCATTATGAAGACGTGCCACAATTCCCTATTTTCCCAATGTACCTTAAATAAAAGTCCGAAATCTTTGAATTCACTAAGAAGGATGATATTCTCGTTCGAAATACCTCGAGTTCATATTGGATATAAGTCCATTCGGGATGGAATTCGGAGATATCGGGAACCAGACAGAGTAGGAGCTCCTGACATCTATAGAAAGTCTGTGCAGGCACATCACCAAACCAAACCTGGTGGTTGGCACTGAAATTCTCGCCAGACACCTCCACCATGGCAACGTCACCTCCACCATTGGTGCGAATGCTGGTGACAATGGGGACAGGGGTAACGGGGTGGTTGGAAGGCGGCGGAATCTGCGCGACCAGTGCTTTGGAGACACTAGGGTCATCACGAAGACTGGATATCTCGAACCACCGATACTCCGCTCGGTCAGTACTGATGATAGTCCAAGCGGCGGAATCGTTGATTGTCTCCCGGTGAGGGTTGTCATCGCAGCGCACCGCTTGATGCTGAATGATCCTGTCCTGAGACAGGCAGAGGTACATCCGGTCCGTGTCTTTCAGGTAGAAGGCACACTTGTGCAGCTGACTTACAGGATCATCCGCATCCAGCATTACCACTGTCTTGTCCACCTTTCGAACGATCTGTAACGCAATGTTCCAACGGAAAATTTCCTGTTTTAATGTTTCCATTGTGCAAGTTTGCGTGCCGAGTGAACAATTCGCGAGGATTTAAGTAAGGTGCACCCTGCTCATTTGACACCCAAGGTAATAGTTCTTTAGCTAACGCAAATCATGAAGCTACACAAATGACTTACTAATGAGCTATAATACTTGACCTATGGTTAATGTTTGCAATACTTCGAGCATTCATTGAAAACGGTGCTAGGAACTCACCAGACGGGGCAGAGCCATGCCAGTCTCAGAACAGACGAGTTTTACAGTGTGCCCGTAGTGGATGTAGCCGTCGCGCACATTGAATTCTTCCGCCTCCGACTCATCATCAGAGAGGAGGTGGATTGTGAAAGCACCCCATCGGCTGGAACTGGCATGGAAACTGCCTGCATCAACATGAAGGTAGCGTGTGCTCACCGTCTGCGACCGAAGGCGATTGAACAATGCTATCTTCGTGCCTGAGGCGATGCATACTAAGTCGTAAGGCATAAAAGGAATTGTTTAATAGATCATACGAAAGATGAGACCAAAATGCTCTCAATGTAGCTTTCTGTGTAGACGGCAGTCAAAAATATTGAGATGATTTTGTTGAAAAGTCTATTCTCTAGCATGTCAAACAGTGCGGACAGTTCCACGGTTAATATGAAGTAGGAATCTGGGAAGGAGGATACCTAGAAAAGTGGACCGACATATCTTTTACGCACACTTATGAAAAATTTTTGACCCAGGGGACGCTGCGATGCTCAAAATGAGTTGATCTAAAGACCAAAGCCATGACCTCATATGAACTCAAGTAAAAGTTTCTCCGTCAAACCATAAAATAACCCAGAAAATCTCGTAAAATTCAGGTGTGACCAGGCAGGTGGCAAGAGGACAAGCTCGTCTAGGTTACTGCAGGAAATGAAAACACTGCAACCCTCTGCATTTCTTGGCAAAGCAAAAGTGCCACTTATTGGCCCCCAAAACTAGTGTTTTGTTGAATTAACTTTCCTATGAGCAAGTCTCGCAACTCATCTGAACTAGTCAATCCCTTTATCCGTTTACACTTCGTCTTTTCCTAATGTAAAGTAGAAATAGTTGCTGTGATCTATAGCTTTGCAATTTTACTCACGATCAGTATTCTTTAGTGACTGTTTCTTTTTGCTGGGTTTTGATATGACCTTGATGCGCCGAGAATTAAATTGACCGAGATCCTTCCCATTGGAGTAGAACATTTTGACTGTCAGCATAAAGTGCTTCCGCTTATCAGAGTCGGAGATGAAGAGAGTCTTGGCAGCTGAATAGTCCTTTCCGGGTTCCAGATTTAGCTGAACCATATCTTTTGCTGTTGAAGTTCCGCCAATGCCCATAAAGGCCAAAACCTAACATTTTTGCAGAAATTGCAAGAAGACAAAACTATCACTTTTATGCTGCATAGGATTGAGTGAAAAAAAGATGAAATTTTGGAAAATCCGCATAGGAGGAACCTTCCCCACGCATAGAATGAGGCACATTCATTCATGTTTCCAACTGTCCACCATTAGATGTGTTAAATTTTACTTTTACAGCGATCCATCATGGACACACACTGTTGCGTCGTGCCACAAGGTCTATGGAGTGGAATCTTCGTCAAAAATTGTGCCCACCGTTATGAGAACTAAGTACCAATTCACATCCTCGATTAGGACAGCCAACCAGTAGATGGAAATCCTTTCCGAATGAACTTTCCCAAAGCTGCACTATTTTTACATCCTGGCAAGAAAATTGCGCAGCACTCGTGATCTTTAAAAGTAGAAAATTGAACTTAAAAATAGCAAGTGCGCACACCGATAGCCGCTAACCTGCAGTAGATCGAATCCACGCAGACATTCTTATCTCAAACGCTGATGAATTCGTTGCAAAAATAACAAACCCCATGCTTGACTCAACTTTGTTATAAACGATTTTTAGATTTTGGTAAGTAATTTGAAATTGCGTAACAAAAGAAATGCTCCTCACCTGACAACTAACGATGCTTTGTGAACAAAATTTTGTTTCTTACTTATAAAGTGTGAAGTTCTGAGGCACCTATGTCATCTGGATGGCAGAAAAGGTGCAGAAGCAAATTTTGATCAACAAAGTTATTATGCATCCTAAAGGGGCTCCAATTTCGTTCGATTGGAACTCATTGAACTTCAGGTAATTCTCAAGCTGCGTCTATCTTCAAATAACCTATGGAGTAGCCTCAAATCTGCATGGGAAGAGCTCAAGGTGGGCCGTTGTTAGCCAAATCAGGAATAAATTGACACCAAAAATTACTTGAACTTTTTCCCCACTCAATTTACTGGTGTTGAAGTCAGCCTCTGCCTCCCACGGAAGGAAGGACCTCTGGAACGCTGGATCTGATGATGAACCAATGAGCTTAGTTGGACTGCTTGCACTCGGTCTTGCATCCCAGCCATCTCCTCGAAGGTAGATGCAGGGTGGAGGGCAGAAGAACCTTTAAAAAGAAATAGAAGGCATTTGCCCACGTCTAAAAAGCATTTGAATGACTCTGTTTATGCTACCTACTTAGTTCGCCTATTGTGATGTCTCAGAATTCCAAAATTGCTAAATTCAGAGAATCCTTTCATCCCTGAACTTCATCATCAAAAATTACACGGTCTTCAAAGTTTGTTCCAGCCCATATTTGAGGGCCTACTCCGCCTTTAACGATAAATAAACTCATAGAATGATCAAGTGAAACAAGTGCTTTTAAAGGTGTATAGCCAGTGTGATTAGGTATTTTACGAAAATATGTACTCACCTCTTCTCTGTTCCATACGACTTCTGTGCCACTTTGGCATGAAGCACAATGAGCACCTGATCTCGCCGATTCTTCAGGTACGAACGCATCATCTCGCGAGACACAATACCAACAGCACCGTCACCCGCACCACCACCGCCGCCCACTCCACCACCAAGGCTCCCTGGCACGTCAATCACGTTCTTCTCACCTCCAGCCCCTCCGCCACTGGTACTACCCCCAGCACTCCCGCCACCTGCAGTCGTATAGCCCCCTAACGCTCGCTGGTAGCTAGATGCTGAGGAGGACGGAGCGTTTGTCCCAGAGTAGTGTTCACCCCCGCCAACCTGTCTGGAAGGATCATAGTAGGGAGTGGCGGTAGCACCAACTTCATCGTCACCTCTTGTTCCAGCGGAAGCAGTAAAAAGTGTCGAGGCACGGTAAAAATCACTCCCACTCGTTGTCACCGCGGGTTGAAAAGAGGCAAAAAATGGATTAGAGGCGACATTAGCCCCATTGGGTGGGAATTGATTGGACGATTGAGGAAACGATGGAGGGAAACCGGAGGAAGCAGATGTTGTTGTTGTTGTTGCCGAAGTCTTAAAAGGCGAGGACGCAAATGTAGGTGGAGGTTGAGGCTGCGCAACATTTCCAGTGGTGTCAGGCGCCGCCTTTGATGTCGGATCAGTTGTAAGGTTCGAGTACCTGAAAGGGTTGAATAAAGATCGAAGTATAGTAAAAAGTGCGTAAACGTCTTAGTATGCCTTTGCCATTTACCAAACCGTAAGATGGCACTACTAATCGTTTCAAATCTGTTACACCAGATTCGTAGACGTCTCTCACAAATGGCAGGCTTAAGCATTACAAAAATTTACAATCAAGGACCAAAAGTACAAAGCACTTCAATGGATATAGGAACTACGTACTTACCAGGCCTCATTAGTGTGAGGTAGCGAATGCAGCTGTGCAAAATCATTCTGCTCACATAAACCTAATTCACCTGATTCTCGATAATCCTCAGCCTTTCTCCCACTTTTCCCACTTCCAAAAAAGAATGTTTCGACTGGACTCAGATCTGCATATGTTGGTGGCGCACTGAAACAACCCAATGAAAGCTGATTTTCTGGATTACAGGTCGAAGAGTACCAGGCACTGTCAGCAGAGGTCTGCTCGGTCCAGTAGACCGGATTGTCGTAGCATCGATTATCGGCAGACTGATAGGTGGATTGATAGCTCGTCGACGAGGGAAAAGAGGTTGGCAGATAGTTGTAGTACTCATCCGATTGCTGCATTGGCTGATGCGAATTATACGGAATGGAAGACGAGGGCAAAAAGTTGTGTGCTGCTCTAATACCACGCGATCCTGTGGGTGGTGTGGACGACGTGGTGCCAGAGGCCTCCATCTGGAGAATGGGTCCTGTCATGGCAGCGCAAGTCGAAAAAAGCTATGCGTCCATCTATTGAGCACTCTTTTCAACTATGCTAGCGTGTGTGCTGCGCAACCAGGCACGATTGGTGGATTTTGAGCGCCCCTGAGTGTGTGCAAGCACTATGAGCACAGCACCGTCACGCGCACAAGCACACGTGTTTTGAGAAGCTCCTTCCGCCAACATCATCGCCACCCCCACTCAACCTAACATCCGCTGCGTTTGGAGCAATAAAACGCTATTAATGGCACAGCGACAAAACACCGATGGCTTCAGCTGAATCGCATAGCAATTTTCAACTAGCTAAAGAGAAGGCATTAATGTGCGCAATGAGGCGTCCTGAAAGCAGACTCTCAAAAAAGAAGAGCCTTATCAATAAGGAAGGACAAGCATGATGCAACTTTGTTGTAATTTTGCTCGCGAACACTTTGTGTCTTTAGGTTGGACCACGGATAGTTGAACCAACTTAATTAACGTTTGGAGACTAGGGGCAACTTCTGACCCACAGCCCCATGTTCGGCGGGTATCAACAAGAACCTATCAACTGGTGAAGAGAGGAACACCTCATGATGCAAATAAAATTTGTTTGATATGAAGACCGATGAGCCCAGCTGAGGCGATATTAGATCAGCACTCAATGTGTGTCAAGTTCGAAATGAGGTTCTCAAGCTCTCATGGTGGACGCTGCAGTCGTCGTTCCCGCATTCGCAAAGAGCTCGTGGTCCGCTAATGCCCTCATTAGGGGAGAGAATGTCGCAAACTCACCATTCAACTGCTCGAAAATAACTTAAATTCGATATACATGCTAAAATATGCCTCACGGCATGTAAACAGCATTCTTGGGCAAATTTATTCCACAGTTAGATGCTTTCTGACCGCATATTAAAACAAGATTTAACCAGCAAGGCATGAAGAGCAAAGTACCGTGGGGATGATAAGAGTCCAGGCTATTTTAGATGTTGCCCAGTAGTGGCAGGATCTATGGTGAAAGAGTTACAAAAACATGGGTAAAATGAGACTTTTGAAATGAAAAATCTTGTTGAAAAGAAATCGTCAGTGATCGAATCATCAGCTTGACCATCCTATGATAATTAAACAAAAAGCATTTAATACCCCAAATTATACGCATGCTGCCATAACAATGTTTGGGTCCGATGGGCTCGACACATGCAAATAGGTGCATGAGAACCTTCCCACGGTGCTTTGAAGATGAAAAGTTTGTGCTCCCACAGAAAGATAACCTCCCCAAGGAGCCTTCTTCGTCAACAGATTCGAAAAGGCCTGCAATTCGTGCAGCACTTACACTTGCTTCAAATTTTCCAAAGAATCTTGTCGTAACTATTGCTTTAATTAACTTTCAATGTCACTTGAAACCGAGTTTGCACCTCAAAGTGGAAGGCATTCGAGGCCAGAAAACACGATGAGGAGTGTGAGGAGGCGGGAACAACACCGAAAAAGAGAACCAGCAGTACCAAATTCATTTGTTTACGTACTCATCCGCCAGCGATAAAATTACAAAATGGATGCTCTACGTACCGTGTTTAGTCTCGCGAGTGAGCTTCAAGGCAGTCGTTACATTATTTCATGGTACAAAGTTAGCATTGTGAGGCTCATGAGCAGTGCCGCAGACTTGCTACTTATGCGACGTAAGTACGAGAGGACGCAAAGATTAAATTTAAACTCGATTGACACGACCTCCAAGCTGTAAAATCGGCTATGTTCGTCCCACTACCACAGCCCCTACAGTGCTATCACACTAGTGTGCCGGGTGGATAAGCATTTCATCGTCGGAATACCAACCAGCTACACCTTAAAATCTTAGCGAGATTTCGCATACCTAGCAATGACCTCGAACACCAACGCCATCTCTTGCCTCCTGAATACCCAACATTTCTCTCTAGTTTCCACTGAATGAAGAGATAAGAGCAGCCCACAAAATGTACATTCAAAACGTTCCTATCAAAAGAAGATAAAATTTGAGTAAAATAACGTGAGAAAATGTACAGACAACTATTTTTTTATGAAACTTCAGTGACAGAAAGAAAGACAGCAATGGCAATCCAGTCCAACAGCAACCAAATAAACGAAGTATATTTTGTGAAGCGAGACTGTAGTCAGGATATTAGGAGTAACCCTACTTACGGCAGCTGGGCCCGATAGCATTCAAGGAGAGCCTCGGTTGAGGGAAAGCCCAGTGGTTCCGGTCTAGTGGTCTGTTGGCTACGCCATCCGCCCATCCCTCCCCCGGCAGATCTCGCAAACGCCTCGAGGAAATCCGAAGCATTCGCAAAGTCAGGTTTGCATGCCCCTTCACAGCCACTGCTCCCTGATGGTTGAGATGGCGATGGCGACAAGCGCTGTTGTTGGTGATTTCCGCTGCTCATTGGAGGAGGGGGAAAGATAGGCGAAGGCACGCTCATTATGCTCGAACTGGAGTCGGGGGGATAAGCAGCCACCGCCGCCGCTGCTGCAGCTGCAGCCATGGCCACTGCTGCCGGAGAAGCCACGGTCGAGCTGAATTCTGCTGAGGACGTTGCTGCATAAGCTGCAGAAAACACGGCTGCAGCGTCCTGGAGGCTGTTTGGGGTGGCTGCCGATGCTGTTGGGCTGTAGTGAGTGGCGGCCACAGCCGCTGCAAGAACCGCAGCCGCGTTGGCATTTGCGCTGTTTCCGGAGGGAGGAAATCTTGGAGCTAGTTGGGACGCATTCGGAGGTGAAGTTGTAGATGAGGTTGAAGGGGAGCTTCGGGTTGACATCATCGGACCTCCATTGTCGGTGCTATTGTTAATGTCGTCGAGGCATAGGAAATCTGAAAGAGAGAGCGAATCGTGGGCTGGTCATGTAGTTTTTGACACACCACAGTCCCAATTAACGCTGACCCGACGTACACCGAATGTAGATCGGTGAATAGATGATTTAGTGCAAGATGCCAGGGCAGGTCTGTGTGTGCGCGCAACCACGGACGCGAAATCGATTGTTTCCGCAGGGAGCCGCTAAGAGAGCGCACGCACGTGCGCACTATGAGCTCAGACGGGTTTCAATTGGTTGAATTTGCGAGAGCACGCGGAACACACGATGTCGTGGGAATTCAGTGGTTAATTTGTGCCACTTTTTGCTGGATTGCATAGCATGTCCACGAAGTATATCCGGGTAGGTGTGTGCTTATAACAGAGTACACAAAAAGCTTAGATGGCACAATTTTACTCAACCATTGTCTCAGATTGAGAATAAAGGCTGATAAAAAGCAACAGCGATCCGCCAACAATAGCTAAGCCTGGAAAATTGTAATGAAATATGGCCTTGTAAGCACCGAAATGAGGGGCGAACTGCACCCCATGAATGAGACAGAGCCTTAAAAACGAATTGTCGACAAATATAGTGATGTACCGACAGAGGTCAAAATCTAACATAAGGTCCACGGTAAACGCTAATCGATTATTAGCTAACGGAGGGAGCCGAGTATCCAAATTCCAGGACTGCCCAACCTGCAGGGTGAGTCCCCCAATCCTGCTCTAAAACCGGTGGCAATATTACTCAGGAGGCAAATTTGAAACAAAGTGCTGTGCCATGAAGAGAATGAAAAGAAGTGATGGTATTGAGTCGAAAGCACATTGTCCGTTCAGGATCTACGACGTATATGGTACTGCAAAGAAGTAATTTATTTTCACGCATTTTTTCACCTTGTTAAACTCCACAAATGCTAAGCACTACTTTAGCAACCATAATATCTCCGATCGTGGAATTGCGTACATGAGGTCGTCCTAAAAGGAAGGGGGTGGAACCTAAACCTGGATAGGCCCACCTTTCATGGAAGGACAAACTAGGAATGATACGCAAAAAGTACTCCAACACTCAGTGAAACAGCCTCGCCTGAAGACAATGACTAGATGTTAGGAAGGTACACAGATGGAGCTAGGGTTAGTGTGCATGAGTGTGAAAAACTTGATCTAGGAGAAATCTCTTTTCTACAAATTGACTTATCAAGGCTTCAAAGATTGTAAAAGAAGGCAGAAAACACTACTTGAACGCATCCGACTTACTCTGAGATTAGGGTAAATTACACGTTCGCAAAGAAAGTGAATTCGTTAAAAGGCTGTAAAACTACAAAAATCGCATCTGAAGAACGCTGATAATGAAGGTATTAACAAGTATGGCTTTTTAATGCGAAATGTTAGAACCACTGCCAAGATAAATGGAAGCATCTGATATTAAGAAAAGCTGGGACAACAATGTTAACATTCTAATGAGCCTGCAAAACCAAATTTCAATAAAATCTGGTGTACAGTAGGTGCGAAAATCCGCCCGCATTGAGACTTTATAGAAGGCTGCTTGCAGCACCTGCGACCCAGGAATTCCAGCCAAAACTACTAACCAGCTAAGCGATAACCCACCTCTGAATTTGCGGTTAAACAGCAATTAGTCAACTGAAAGTCTGACTGTTTGCACCAACTGGAAAAAGTTCCCACGCTTTCGCGTTTCTCTTGAGGAATGTGCAAGCATGTGTGCATGCATGCATATATGCGCGTGTGTGTGCATGTACGTCTAACTGGGTAGTCTGAATTCTTGGTTCTGCCTTCTCCCACTTACCTGCACGCCACCCATGCAGGAGGTGATCCCGTGCATACAAATACACACGCACACACGTTAATCACCACATTCAGGGAACCAGAAATGCCTTGGGAAAATGCATGATCCCAAGCCCGAATAACGGCTAACCGCATGGGCGCGGGTGCGTGCGCGCTAAGGCATTAGTGGACCAGACGATGCTATGGGAAAATTTGAGCGATTTCACGTGTGCGATCGTCCGTGTTCCGCGTGGGGCAATAGATATAAAATTGAATAAGCAGACAAGTGTCATATTTTATCCCAATGTTTTCGAAGGAAAGATGGCCTTTACAGTGTTGGAGAGGTCTAACTCAGAAGCGTTGCATTAGCATTTCACTCATTACTAACCGTTAACAGAATGATTATGTGAAATTCCCTCCTATGAAGGAAGCAACGAACAAGCCTGGGTATCTGGTACGTCGGGAAAACGTTTCTATGTTCCATTAGATTTTGGTGACATTCACGTTCTTAGGAGTTTTCCACCTAAAACAATTTGACCTCTCCCTTCTCGGGGTGATCTTTAGTGTTAAGGCCGTGCCGAAGCAATCTTAATACCACTGACTACGTTACTTCAAGCTACTTTAAAGAGTAGTTATTAGAAACAACGATGAAGCCAATGTCTTCAAAACATCATTTACCATAAAACGGTCAAAATGCTTATAAGAATGAGATAACCAAGAGAATAAACAGGGGAATTTTATGAATGAGATGGAAGTAATTTACCGCAGTTTTCAATTACGGAATGATGGTTGCTTCCTCCAGACCAAATAGTGTTTGTAAAATCTAAAATTGGACTATCTTCCAATATTAAAACGCTGTAGTTAGAAACGAAAACTGAAAGTGAAGTTCGTGATACAAATTTAACTACGAGATGGTGCATGCCTTTGAGGACATGCCCTTCTGCACCCACTCCAACAGATCGCCATCCCGGCAACTGTAGCCTCAAAGACCTGTCTACTCTCACAAGAAACAGTGGGACTTTCTTTACTAGAGGCATCTCAGAGTAGACGGGGACTGTGAAAAATGGATGTTCCAACAACTCCTTTGCGTCGAATGGGATGATTCTTGAAGATGGAAAAACAATGAAATGTCTGTACACGCTCGCTAAAATAGAGTGCGCTGCAGTCACAAGCACAAGTAGTTTTAAACTGGAAGGGTTCGAATGAGAGGCAGGTGAACAAAGCACAGAAATCGCGATAATCCAAAAATAAAGTTGGGATCGTCCATGTGTCTAGACAACAACGCGCGGAAGCGCACAAAACCTCGGCGCGCACATTCACCAGAGCACTTCTAACAGTTAAGCCCTGTTTCCTTGACCTTCACACCACCATTTGCCCTTAAGGTCCATGCGGCACGACTACAGTCAATAAAATAACGTTTTATTTTATGTTCTCATCTCGATATTTGATTGAAGTATTGTGGATAAAGTATAGAATAACCCACCGAATTCAACGTATAAAAGTGGAAAATACAGCCAAACCTGATTCGGATGATGGCATGTAAATCGGAACAGAATTTGCTGTGAGTAGTTTCGCTGCACAGTTAATAAAGTGTTTTCATTAGTACAAGCAATGCGTGGATAGTCGATTTGTTTATCTCTACACTCTTAAGCCTTAGTCACTTTCATAACTTACTGCAGCAACACATGAAAGGTGCCTTAGACCGACACAAAGTCACTCGCATAAAAATAGCATAATGGCAACCTTATTTACGGTTTCGAATCAGGCGAAAAGTGGTGATGTGGGAAGCAATGATGTGCAGTTGTTCCCATTTTCACTCCCCTAGGGAGGTGATGGCGTTGGTGAATCGTAACACCCGACCTGAGGAGCGATGCGCTATTTTCGGCTATCCATTCTGTAAGTACACCCCCGAGGGCATGCTGACACGATGACTTTTGAAAACTCGCAATCAATTGAGACTCAGAACGGTATTATAGTAGCTGAGGCATTAAAAACACCATTTTAGATTAATGGAGTTTTTTTTTATCTGATTGTTACCTCACCTACTTCAAGTATGCGCTGTGTAAACTACTCTGGGCAGGATCTGACGGCAGCCCATCCAACACGAGTACCACTGCTCATGTTCTTGCCAAAACTGACAGTCATACCTTAATCCTTTTGTAAGTCAGTCCATTAACCTGCTAGCCCAAGAAATATAAGTATAGTACAACCACAAACTCCCAAAGACAAGGATTGGAATTAAGCCAAAACATTAACCACAATAATAAGTGTTCAAACGCCAGGCATGTTGACTACGGTAATCCAGATTGCCCATACAACTTGTTTAAATAGGCAGTCGACATGGCTACCTAATTCCAGCGTAATTTTGACTAGACGCTATTGTATTTCTTAAAATAACACAGCTTTTGGCCTAATCAAAGTGCTACAAATCCCACTAGTGCTTGGACTCCTTGTAGGTGTGGTAGACTATGCGGCCATGAAGACTCGGACACTTTGACTTTGGATAACAGGGTTAGTAGTTTGAATTTAACCAATGAAGAAGTCTTCTTTGCTTTTCCCCCGACCCCTAATTGGTCGTCCTTGACCTAAACAATTTTTTTTTCCTTTTAGAAAACCCATGTCTTTACTAAATTTGTGGATTAAATGTAAGACTAGGTTGAATCCATGAAAAAACTAGGGGATCTATGCCGCGATTCGTCAACTTATTTCCAGAAAAACTCCACTTCGAATGGTTTTTGAAAAAAATGAGAGGCGGCTAAGAATGACTAGTACTCCACGAAAAAGAATTCTTCCGTCTTTTTTTAAGGAAAAATATGTATATTGGTCTAAACATTCTTTGTGGGCATCGCCTTAAGTTGGAAATGGTTAGAAAATTTACTTTACAAGGGACTTTTTACGGCAAAGTAAACTGAAGAAGTCAGAGATTTTTTAAAAGCGCTGTTGTGTGGATTTATCTTTAAATGCTTTGGAGGAGGAAGAAGGGGGAGCGGCGGACGTGCACGCGTTTGGGAGGAAGACAACTTTGGTTCAAGAAAACGGAGCCACAAGTGGATGCAAAAAGAGAAAAGTGGAGAGAGAGAGAGAGAGCTAACCAATAAATTGATGTTAAAGGGAAACAATAACATAAATGCATACAGACAGAGGACAATTCATTTTCTTCCGGCGAAGTGTTTGAGAATGCTTAAACGCGATGCACAAATAATCGCATTCGCCTCGCACTCTACGTCCAAAGATCGGAACGA